GAGAGGAATTTAGAAAATAGCAAAAGCAAAAATACAAGCAAATTCAACAAATACTAGACTTAGAGATTTTATGATAGTTTTTTTTAAATTTATCATGAAGTAACGAGATTCAAGTATCATGTGCATTACTGAATCAAATCTATCATCCAAAACTATAGCGCTTGAAGCTTCCTGCGCTACTTAAGTACCTTTTTTGAACATAGATAGAGATATATCTGATCTTTTTAAAGCAGGAGCATCATTTGTACCATCTCCAACTGCTAATACAACTTCATAGTTTGACTAAAGGTTTTTTACAATTTAAAATTTTTAGGCTGGAGTGACTCTATAAAATACAAGGTTTGGTTTATTGATATAGAGCTTTTCTTTCAATTTTAGCATTTAGTCTCCACCAATTAGAATACTTTCTGTTTTATTAATTGCATCCTGAATAGAAAGACTAGGATCTTTTTCCATTAAATCTGAAGTTGATTCAACATTTTAAGGTAAAATATTAATTGCACGAGCAGTATATTGAGCTGAATATTGTTAATCTCCTGTCTGCAATATTGTTCTGATACCAATTTACTTAGCAAATTCTACTACTGATTTGGCTTCTGGTTTTATTTAATCTTTTAAACTAAAAAGTCCTTAGAATGTCAGTTTTTCAACAGAAAAAGGTAAATCTGTTCTATCAGCAAATTTAAAGACATGTCCTTTAGGAAATTAGCTTGCTGGAAGATGTAATTTAGCGAAACCTAAAACTCTTTCGCTTTTTTTACCTAGTTATTCCAAACAATTTAAAACATTTTCTTTAAAAGCGCTATCAATTTCTAATTTAGAATTATTTTTCATGTAGAATTAGCAAAGTGAGATAATTTTTTCTGCAGCACCTTCGATGTAAACAGCATAGTGACTATCTTCTGCTTCTTCTTCAACAATAGAAAATTAGTATTTGTTAATTGAGTTAAGTTCTAACTTAGCTGCTTTTCCTTCTATATTTTTGGCCTACTGAATGCTCTTTTTAAAGTTATCAACGTTCTTTATACTATGTAAAAATCTTAAAAGAGCTTAGTCACTTACTCCACCAAGCATTTTACATGTAGAATAATCGACATTATTTTGATCTCCTTCTAAAACGAATTTTGCATTACAAGACAATGCAGCATTTTTATATAGATTTTAGAAATCTTAATCATCAGGGTTGAAATTTTCGCCTTCATCAAAATTATTCTCAGCTGTTTTAAACAAATTTTAACCATAGAAAAGATGGGAAATAGTAAGTTAATTCATAGTAATAGTCCCTGTCTTATCAGCAAGGATGCAAGTTACTTTCTAAGCATTAACAAGCGTTTCTTTTTATTTCACTAATATATTTTGTTGCATTAAATTTAATAAAGACTAGTCTAATAAAACTTTATATTTAGTGGGAAGAGTGAAAGGAATGAAAGCAACAACCAATCCAACAATAGCATTTAAAGTAAGAGAAAGAGAAAAAGAACTAAAAATGAATAAGTGTAACATTAACAATGAACCTAAAATGAGTCCTATCAAGACCAGTAGCTAAGCTATTTTTTTTATCTACTATTCTTAACCTTCTGGTTAATATTCGACACATAGAGAAGAAATTTGTCCAAGAATAGTTCTACTTCCAACTGCAATAACAACACATTTACCACTTCCACTTACACATTTAGTGCCTTTTAAAACAACATTTTTGGATTCAATTATGTTCTGGTTAGATGATCCTGCTAAGCGTTCTATAGGCTCAGATTCTCCAGTTAAAGATGAGAGATCAACTTTCATTTAATCAGCTTGTAGTAATCTTCCATCAGCAGGGATATTTTATCCTTCTTCAATCAAAAGTATATCTCCAACAGCAATTTCTCTTGAGAAAATTTCAACTCTATCATTATCTCTGATGACTGTATATTAAGGTTGATATCTATTCTTGATAATTGCTTTAGTATTTTCATTATTTCTTTCAACATTCACTGAAATAGCACTAGTTATGAAAATAGCGATCATTATGACTAAACTAGAGTATAAATTAGTTATCTCATCAGAAAGACACATATAGTTGTAAAAAGAGAGCAAAGTGCATCCCCACAAAACTAAGCTTTATAAATTGAGTTAGTGTTTAAAAAAAAGTGCTAAATAAGACCTGGCTTCATCTTATTCATCTTAATTTTATCCAAATAGTTAGATATTTTCTTGAACTTTCTTAATCGTCAATCCCTTTTCTAAATCAGTCTTGAACCTAGATTTCAATTCCTCTAAAGGAATGATGTGGCTATCTGAATTCATTGTAGCTATATTAATTAAATTTAAAATTTTAAAGTTATGTGTCTCTAATCTGTAAAAAATGATCTAACAAGTATAAAATTTATTTCAATCTATCTATCTATTTATAAATCTTTTTAATTTTCTTCTATTTATTAAGATACAGTAAGTTTTATTGATTTGTAATTATTTATTTCTAAAAAATGTTTATATTATATTATAGATAATTTTTTTTAATTAAAATTTTTCTTATCTACTCATATTATAGAAGCTCAAATCATCTACACACCTACAATCTGATCTAAATTAAAAACGTCAAATCTAGTTCAAACAATATTAATTATAATTATATTCTACTTTGTATGATTATGATTATGGATGCCTTCATTCATTCATTTGTTGTTTCTTTCTTTCTTTCTTTTTTGTAGCCATAATAGTAAAATAATCAAGTACTCAAAAATTCTTCTTATTATCAACCAAATATTAAAGTTAAATTTCTTTCTATTATTGTAAACATAAAGGATTAAATGTCTAATATATTTCATTCTAAAATCAAAAAAGATATTTTCCTAATTAAAAATAACAGTAATTTAAGGTATAGATTATTTTATCTTAAGTCTTATATAATATATTAAGAGATAATTCACTAATAGAGATATTTTTAATCAAATAATTAATAATTGTTCATTACCTTAATTTTATAATATTAAAATTCATTAGTAGATTAGGTTGACCTTTACTTAATTCTACCTTAATTTAGAGTTTTACCATAATATAAATTAAATATTAAATTTTTATGAATAATTAAAAATTATGATTTTATTTTAACATCTAAGAAACGAATAAAAAAATATGAAAAACATAAGTTTGATTGATAATATTTGATAATTTTAATATGAAGTCAAAATATTAAATTAAAAGAAATAAAAACCAAAATAACTGAACTAAAAAATGATATTTAAGCCCAATAATATGCCTGAGTTGAGTAGCAACTACTAAGGTTGGTGTTGCAAGTTCCCCATTTCACACTTGGAACCCATTTTTTTGTTTAAGGATCGCATTACAGAAGTACTTATCTTAAATCATAGTGTCTCTATTTTTAGCTTAACCAGTCTATTTCAAATTTAATTTATTCTGTCTACATTTAATTCTCAAAACAGTTTCTGGATATTTTCTCGAGATTTTCATTATAAAACACTTCTTAGCCTGTTATTTGTTTATTTTAGAAAGCTGGTGGCTGATACCCTTTTATGTTTGCAAGGCCAAACACAGAACTGAATCCAAATGACTAAAAGGTGTAAATATAACTAACAAAACCTACTATCAAAGATGCAATAACTTTAACTGAGAATAAAGAAGAAATAAATGTTTCCTTGCATACAGGTTCTACCTTTTAGTAAATCTTTTTTAAGTTGCTGCCAGATGGCTTAGGATTCAAAGAAATAAATGTTGGGATGACATCTGTCAAGATTTAAATTAGTAAAATACTAAATGAGGAGAGAGGGAGAGGAATTTAGAAAATAGCAAAAGCAAAAATACAAGCAAATTCAACAAATACTAGACTTAGAGATTTTATGATAGTTTTTTTTAAATTTAGCATGAAGTAACGAGATTCAAGTATCATGTGCATTACTGAATCAAATCTATCATCCAAAACTATAGCATTTGAAGCTTCATGCGCTATTTAAGTACCTTTTTTGTACATAGATAGAGATATATCTGATCTTTTTAAAGCAGGAGCATCGTTCGTACCATCTCCAACTGCTAATACTACTTCATTGTTTGACTAAAGATTTTTTACAATTTAAAATTTTTATTCTGGAGTGGCTCTATAAAATACAAGGTTTTGTTTATTGATATAGAGCTTTTCTTTCAATTTTAACACTTAGTCTCCACCAATTAGAATACTTTCTGTTTTATTAATTGCATCCTCAATAGAAAGATTAGGATCTTTTTCAATCAAATCTGAAGTTGATTCAATATTTGAAGGTAAAATATTAATTGCGCGAGCAGTATATTGAGCCGTTAATTGCGAGTCTCCTGTCTGCATTATTGTTCTGATACCAATTTATTTAGCAAATTCTACTACAGATTTGGCTTCTGGTTTTATTTAATCTTTTAAACTAAAAAGTCCTTGGAACGTCAGTTATTCAGCAGAAAAAGGTAAATCTGTTGTATCAAATTCAAAGACGTAACCTTTTGGGAATTAACTTGCTAGAAGATGTAATTTGGCGAAACCTAAAGCCCTTTCATTTTTTTTATCTAATTGTTTCAAACAATTTAAAACATTTTCTTTAAAAGAGCTATCAATTTCTAATTTAGAATTATTTTTCATGTAGAATTAGCAAAGTGAGATAATTTTTTCTGCACCACCTTCGAAGTAAACAGCATAGTGACTATCTTCTGCTTCTTCTTCAACAATAGAAAATTAAAATTTGTTAATTGAGTTAAATTCTAACTTAGCTGCTTTTCCTTCTATATGTTTGGCATACTGAATATTCTTTTTAAAGTTATCAACGTTCTTTACTCCATGTAAAAATCTTAAAAGAACTTAGTCACTTAGTCCACCAAGCATTTTGCATGTAGAATAATCGACATTATTTTGATCTCCTTCTAAAACGAAAGATGCATTACAAGATAAGGAAGCACTTTTATAGAGATTTTAGAAATCTTAGTCATCAGGATTAAAATTTTCGGCCTCATCAAAATGATTCTCTGCTGTTTTAAACAAATTTTAACCATAAAAAAGATGAGAAATAACTTGTTAATTCATAGTAATAGTTCCTGTCTTATCTGCAAGAATACAAGTGGCTTTCTAAGCCTTAACAAGCGTTTCTTTTTACTTCACTAATATATTTTGTTGCAATAAACTTAATAAAGACTAGTCTTATAAAACTTTGTATTTAGTGGGAAGAGTGAAAGGAATGAAAGCAACAAGCAATCCAACAATAGCATTTAAAGTTTGAGAAAGAGAAAAAGAACTAAAAATGAACAAGTGTAGCATTAACAATGAGCCTAAAATGAGTCCTATCAAGACCAGTAGCTGAGCTATTTTTTTTATCTACTATTCTTAGTCTTCTGGTTCATATTCGACACTTAGAGAACAAATTTGCCCAAGAATAGTTCTACTTCCAACCGCAATAACAACACATTTACCAAATCCTCTAACACATTTAGTGCCTTTTAAAACAACATTTTTAGATTCAATTATGTTCTGATTAGATTCATCTGCTAAGCGTTGAATAGGCTCAGATTCTCCAGTTAAAGCTGAGTGATCAACTCTCATTTAATCAGCTCTTAATAATCTTCCATCAACAGGGATATTTTATCCTTATTCAATAAAAAGTATATCTCCAACAGCAATTTCTCTTGAGAAAACTTCAACTCTAACATTATCTCTGACCACAGTATATTAAGGTTGATATCTGTTCTTGATAATTGCTTAAGTATTTTCATTATTTCTTTCAACATTCACAGAAATAGCGCTGGTTATGAAAATAGCGATCATTATTACTAAACCAGAGTATAAATTAGTTATCTCATCAGACAAACACATATAGTTGTAAAATGAGAGCAAAGCACTTCCCCATAAAACAAAGCTTTATAAATTGAGTTAGTGTTTAAAAAAAAGTGTCAAATAAGAACTGGCTTCATCTTATTCATCTTAATTTTATCCAAATAGTTAGATATTTTCTTGAACTTACTTAATTGTCAATCCCTCTTCTAAATCAGTCTTGAACCTAGATTTCAATTCCTCTAAAGGAATGATGTGACTATCTGAATTCATTACAGCTATATTGATTAAATTAAAAATTTTAAAGTTAAGTATTTCTAATCTGTAAAAAATGATTTTACAAGTATAAAATTTATTTCAATCTATTTATTTTTCTACTAATCTTTTTAGTTTTCTTTTATTTATTAAGATATAGTAAGTTTTATTGATTTGTAATTATTTATTTTAAAAAAATATATATCATATATTATAGATAAATTTTTTTTTTTAATTAAAATTTTTCTTATCTACAAAAATAATAAAAGCTCAATCATCTACACAACTACAATCTGATCTCAATTAAAATCGTCAAATCTAGTTCAATCAATATGAATTAATTATAATAATATTCTATTTTGCATGATTATGGATGCAATCATCCATTCATCCTTTCTCTTTTAGCCATTACAGTAAATAATCAGATACACAAAAATTCTTCTAATTACCAACCTAATATTAATTTTAAATTTCTTTCTATTATTGTAAGCATAAAGGATTAAATCTCAAATTGATTTCATTCTAATATCAATAAAGAAATTTTTCTAATTAAAAATAATAGTAATTTTACAGGATAAATTATTTAATCTTAAGTCTAATATTATATATTAAGAGATAATTCACTAAAGGGAATTTCATATGTTTAATCAAATAATTTATAATGGGCAATTTTCCAATAAAAATTTTAAAATATGTTAAATATTTTAGCTTATATAAATAAATATCATCTCCATTTATTATTTAAATATATTTATTTAAACAATATCATAGCATATATTCATAAAAGGCTTGCTTATTTTAATTATGAATAATAGAGATAAAATATGAATTCGTTTTCTAATCCATTAATTATAAAAAAAAAAATTTATAAAAGGTTAAATTAAAAATTTAAATAAACAATAAATAAAGAATAATATAAAATTTATTTCTGGAATAACTAAGAAATCTAATGTTTGTTTTTTTATATTAAAATATTATAAAATAGACATTAAAAATTATCAAAAATTTATTTATTTATTTATTATAATAGGGTTTTAGTATACAAAATTTATTTGAAAATAGGTTAATTGTTTGATTGATAGGTTGTAGTTTGATTAAGTATTTCAATCGTTGATAGTGATTTTAGTATATTTTTATCTCATGATGAGTAGATAGTCAAATAAAAAGAAAACTAGATACATGATAAAACAGGATTAGAGAATAGGGATATCGAAAACAGCAATAAGCATGAAGCAGAGTATTTTAATTGCAGTTGACACAAAGTAGCATTTTTTGAAACTTTCTATGCTATTAGAGTGTTTTTTAAGCATTTATATAAGCTTAATCACTTGATTTAGATTACTATCATTTAAAATAATGTCATATCTGCTTTTTACATATTGGTCTTGGGTATTACCATATATGACACTGAGGTTTGAGTAATACTGAATCATTTACTGTCTTGAAACGTAGATATTGAAGGCACCAATGTTTTCTAAAATATTTTTTGTTTCGTAGCTAATTTGGGAAAATATTAAGAGTTTCTTACTTTGTATGATTTCTTTTAGTTTTTTAATATTATTTACTAAATAATCTATAACCTCTTTGTTGTCAATTACTAGCACTTCGCTTTCTTAGATGGAGTTTTCTAAACTTAATCCATTTTCTTATAACTCTAAATTATTTAAAACTCCACCTGATATTAATCCGCTCTTAATGAGCAGATCTTTTATTTAGCCATTAATTTAGGTGTTAGTTAAAACAGCTAATTTTATGTTTTATTGTTTCAATTTTTCTATGTCTTGTGAAATGCCTTAAGCTATTTCTTCCTTTTGCGATATCATTCCACAGAAAATAAAATCCTTCAAAGCAAATGGCAAATCGTATGAGTCTAACTATATATTTGAACCTCTTGGGAAAAAAATTTTACTAAGAGGGAGCATCGCAACTCCAATCACAGAGCTATCTGTTTTGCAATATTGTTTTTATTGACTATGAATTCTTTGCATCTGATAAAAGTCTAATTTGACTTTGTTGCCATTAACAAATAAGTATGAGCAATACGCTATAATATCTTCTACATTGCCTTTAATATAAGCAGTGTAAAAGCTATCATTTGTTTCTTCTTCAACAACTACAATTTATCCTCTAGCAAAAATTCTATTTCTGTTCTTAGCAATAGATCCATCTTTATTTTAAACTATTCTAAATAACTTCTAATGAAGAGCAACATCGCAGATATTTTGCAAAAATTTAAGCTGACCTACTTCCAAGCCACTAATACTGCCTTGTATAAGGCATTGATCATAGTTAATTTTATTAAATTTTGAGTATTCGTCAATATCAAAAGTTGCATTACAAGTTACAAGCAATCCTTTTAAAAGAGCTTAAAAATTTAAATCAGTGACATCGTAGTCCTTTAAATAGCTTCTTCCAGCATACCAAATGTGATTAACTTGCAGAGCATGATTAGATAGAGTTTTAATGTCTAGGAGAATTTAAACGTTTCTTCTAACACTCCTAAACTAATGATAAATCTGCTTAACCAAAATATTTTATCGATAGAGACTTTTAACAATTTAAAACTAATATGAGAAAGCAACTAAGAATAAATTAATAGGATAATTAGTAAGAAATACGCATATCATAATTGAAAAACACTCATAAATGTCCATGCTTTTATATTAGTAGGAAAATTAAAAGAAGAGAATAGAAATAATAAAAGCAAATAGAATGTAAATCTTCAACTTTTTTATAAAGTTCATATTATAAGATAAATCTTCATCTTCTTCTTGAATAAAGTAATTTGCAAACGAGCCTAGCATTGTCCTCAGACCAGTTTTTACAACAACTCCTTTTGCGCATCCAGAAGAGCAAATACAATATTTAAATAAAATGTTCGAGCTTTCTATATAATTTTGTTATAGATTTTGTTAATTATTTTTTTTTACAGGACTTCCTTCACCAGTCAAACAGCTTTAATCTGACTCTATGCTGTCATATTCTACAACTCTGATGTCTGCAGGAATGATTTATCCTTCATTGATAAAAATTATATCTCCCTCAACTAAATCACTCCCGCAAACCCTCAGCACTTTTCCCTCTCTTACAACCTTGAATTTTTCATTGGATTACTATGTAATCATAGACTTTAGCGATTCCAAAAACTACTTCTATACTAAGATAAAGATACTCCCCATTAAGATAGTTAAAAGATTGAATAAACCAAGATATAAAATAAATAAAGCCTCGAGCTTAACTTTATAAACACAAAACAAAGCAACGCAACATATCCAGCAAGGTATCTGGTACCTGCTAAACATTTCTTTAATAAGAACTTTTATTTTAGACTGTTTTTCAGATATTTAAATTTCATTCTTACCTGCTAACTCTAATAATCTCATAGCTCTATAATTACTAATTCCATTATTTAAATCAGTTTGCAGCCTTGAAATAAGAACCTCAAGAGGTAAAGAATGAACTGTATAGTTATTTATTTACGTTACGCCTATCTCAAATATGTCTTAATAGTTTATTTGTTGATCTTACTTTAAAATAGGCAGTTATTTCTGCTTTTCCGCTCCTTCTGTCATTATTGCTAATTAATAAATTAATAAATATATCAATCAATAGCTCTCGCTTTATTTGTTAATTTGCTTCAATTTAACAAAATGTAATATTAATTACATGAATAGAAAATTTATGATAGAAGAGCACTATCAATCAAAAAGAAAGTATTTGGATTCTATTTAATTATATTAAAACTGTAATATAGGCATTTAACTTCAAAATAGACATATTTTAAATCCCCAAAACCTCTTATTCTATTTATTTCCCTATTTCTTCTGATCAAAATCCTTAAAATATTCCAATTATTATCACTATTTATTCATACTAAATTGAAATACAAGATTCTCGTCTCATCGTATTTACATAGCCAAAATTACTTTTACATTATTATTAATGATAATAAATGACGTCATAATCTACATTTATCACATTTACAGTCACTTCCAATTATTTAAACTAGAATTATCTTAAACCATTATTTCTAAAATTATTTTCCATTTTTATTAGAAAAAATAAATAAATAACTAAATATAAGAAGTAGACATATAGATAAATAAATTAATATATAATAAATACTTTAATTATATATTTATACTTCAATACAAAATGTAAAGCTCTAATCAACCTTGAATTTAATATTATTTATGTATCTAATATTGATATTAATTATATTGAAAAAAGTTTAAAAATAAATCTTGTAAAAAAATACTTTCTTTAAAGTAAAATTAAATCTTACTTTTATGTATGTATATATATATCTTCTTATTAAAATTCAAATAAGTTTATTTAATAAATTTTTAAATTATAAATAATAATCTAAAATTATAACTACATAGCCTATTTTGAATCAATAAATTTCCTCTTAAATATAAACTTCTATTTGGAATAGCGAGTTAATAGATAGAAGTTTGCACTTATAAAAAAATTCTTATTTATTTTAAAAATATTTTTAAAATTGATAAATGTTAATTAATAAAATTTTTATTTATCAAAAAATAAAATTTTATAACAAAATATTTTTTTTTAGAAAATTTAATTGAAAAGATTAAAGATATAATATTAATAAAAAGACCTAAAGGAATTACAGTTAATTTAATTAAGGAAAGTATTATTAAAATATTTATAATCTAATATGCATCTAAATATTTGCTCAAATTTTTACTCGTGTTTTTTTTACATTAATATAATTAAAGCAATTACTGAATTTGCTTATTTTTAAATTTTGTTTATTTAAAGTATGTTTGTTTAAATATTCCAGTTAGAAGTATTTATCATTATAAAATTATTCATTCATTATCTAATAAAATTAACTAATCTTAATGCTTTCCTTATATGATTAATTGTCTTAGCTTAAACTAAGCTGTTGGTCCTAATTTTCAAATTGTTAAATTGAAAAAAAATAAAACAGTTAAAATTAAGTTATTTTACAGCAATTAAAGCTATTTTAGGTTTGACATCTTCCGAATTTTTCTCCCAATAAATTAATCCAAACAACTGAAGAAGCAATTACTATAATAATTTAAAGCTTTGGTAAGTAAGTATTTAAAAATGAAAAATAAAATTTACAATAAATTAATTGAGAGATTGTTAATATTTTAGCAATTTATTATTCCATCAAGAAGCTTAAGCACTCCTTCTGTTTATATGCTTTCGTTTCCTCTTAAAAAATATATTTTAATAATCTTTTATTACCAATTATTGATTACAGTAAATTTAAATTCAAAGATTTTAGTAATTGGCACTTGCTCAAACCATCACCTAACATTCCAGCTATATCCTCATTTAATTCACAATTTCTTTTTTTATCAAATTTTTTATGATTTTTCATCAATAAATTTTATGTTAGAACAATTTATTTTAAATATTTTTAACAATTCAATCATCAAAATTGAATAAAATAAAATTTTTTTTGTAGAAATTCAAATTATTTCTAAAATTAATAAAAGATTTACTTTAAATTTAAAGACAAATATTGCAGATTTTAGCATTATGAAATATCATTAGCAATTTTTAAAATAGTATCTGGCATCATAATCAAGAAGCTTTTTAAAAGTAAATTTGAATAGTAAATATAAATAATTATATTATTTACTTAAATGAAAGAGTTAGCTAATACAGATAGCTAAATTAACTAAATTAACTAGAGATATCAGTCAAATCTTCATAGTTCAGTTCATTTTCTCTATTTATATTTATTTAAGATCTTTCAATCAAAAATAGCAAACAAATTTTTTACGATAAATGTAATTCTAACTTTGAAATTAAAGGGCACATCTGAATTTTTTAAAGTAATATTTGCAGTTCTTCACCTTAAATGTAGCAAAAGCTTATAAAGGATGAAATTAATTTTGGCAAGTAAATTATAAAACAATTTTTACTTCAAACTTAAAACCAAGCAAAATAAATTTTAGCAATAAGAAATTCCTTCTGCTAAACCTATTACGCCATCTTAACCTATCTGGCTTCCACTTATTTATTTGTTTTTTTTGTTTAACAAATTCAAACTTTTTGATAAAATATTTTACTCTAAATTAAGCTAAAAGTTTTGCAAATTAGAACATTTTCCTATGGTATTACCGATTTAAATAGCTCCTTCACCATCTACTCCACAAAATCTAATATTGTAAATAAATAAGACTAATTCAAATTTTTTTTAAAAATGAAAGTTTTTACATTAAATTTAAAATAAGAGTTGATATATTCTTGCATTCTGTTATACCTTTGCATAAACCTCTCATACTTAGTTTATAGCTACTATAATATTGATAAATGAAAGAAAAGTACATTATGATAAGTTATACTTATTTTTTATCTAAATGGTCATATTCAAACTAATTAGATTTGTACAGCTGCTTATTGATTGTTAAATTCCATTCCCTACATCGTTTCCAAACTCATATTTTAACTCAAAGTAGCTATAAATATATAAAAAAAATAAGAAAAATTTGATATTTCAAAAGCAAAATTAACTCTTTGAATGCATCTTTCAAATGTTTTACTTTGTTATTTTAATTTTGTTCTAGCTATTATGATTTTAAAGTAAAAAAGAAAAATTTAAATTTGAAATAATGCTGATAAATACAATTTAAAAATGTTTACATCTTAAAATCTATAAGACTACCTCATAGTTTCATCTTAAATATTAAAACAAATTAATTTAATTTATTTTGATTTAATATAAATAACTACATATATCAAATGTATACTCATTTATCAGAAACTTCTTAAAAATACTTTACGAAAGTATAAACTTAAATGGTAGATCTCCTTTCACTTAATTAAAATTTTAATTAAAATAGATTATTTTATAAGTAAAAATATACGTTAATTCTCATTTAGGGTACTTAAATTGTCTACAAAAGGAAAGTAAAATATTTAAATAGCACACAATTTTTTTTATTTAACATTTTAAGCTCTTAAAGTAAGACTATATTTTGAGTTTTCATAATATCTGGCGTTCTGAAAAACATTACCATCTTTTAACATTGTTTCAAGTAATTCTTGCAACTCTTCTTAAAATATACAACACTATTGGCTCAATTTACCATTAATATTAAAAATTATATCATTCATTTTTTTGCTTTTGTTTTATATTTATTTAGTATTTGTTAACTTGTTTGCAAATAAAATAAATTAAATCAAAATTTTAATTCAAATCAATAAACAAATTTTACATTTATATACTTAAAAAAAAAATCAAACAAACATATTATTAATAATTATTTATTTTAATATATTAAATTCAATGACAATACTAAGATTTTTGATAGTTTAAACAACCAAGAACAATAAACAAAAATATTTTTCAGATCTAAATAAAATTGTAAAATATTTTAAAAATATACTAAATCCTCATTTAAATCACGCTTAAAAAATTGGAGAAAATAAATAGAAAATAATTTTTGAATTTGCTTCTGATATCTTTATCGACTTAAGGAAACAAACACTGAAGAAAAATTAAGTTAAAGTATATTTAATTTAGGGGAATAATATCAATAAATTGTATCTTTCTAGACTTAAGGACATACTGAAGCAAATGAAAGATACTTATTTTTATCTTTCTAGGCATAGGAAAGTTAATGTTTATCTCACATAGGAAAATAAAATAATTAAAGGTTGTTAAAAAAAGTTTAATATCTTTTAAATATTTCAGTCACACTTATTTTCTATTTAAAAGTATGTTGTGTAGCTAGTTTAAATGATGGATTAATATTAATTTATGTTTTTAGAAATTTGAATAATTTTTTTGATATTTTGATTTACTCTCATATTATTAATAGATTTTATTCTTTAGATGCATCTGTATTTTAGATATTTTTTTAATTTATCTATTTTTACTTCTAAAAATGATGTTATTATTAACCAGACACAATAAAAGAAAAATATTATGTTTATAATCTAAATTATAACATAAAAAACTGTCCTAAAATGTTAAATACTATCATTTTCATTCTATAGTAAGTAGTAGAGGCCATGAGCGAAGAGGGTTTCATTGGCTATATAGTAGGTATTAAAGGACTTTTGAAGAAAAATTTTTAAAAAAGGCTAAAATTAAATAATTAATTGAAAAATCATAAAGATTAATATAAATTAAAATTATTAGTATTATTAATGAAATTCTATTATTAAATTATTTATTTTTATATAAATAATGTTCAAATGCATTAGCTTTATAATAAAATAATAAATATAATAATATTCAAATCTTTTTATATTTATTTATTCTATTTTCATCATTTGTTTTTTATCAAAAATATATTTTTTTAACAATTAATCTTTTTAATTTAAGAAGCTTGCTCTTTACTTTCAATTAGTCTTAAAGATTAATTTTGTTATATCTTTTAATATAAATTAAAAATTTTAATTTAAATCATGAAAATAAAAAAAACGACTATAATAAATAAAATAAAAAGATAATAAATAAATGAATAAATTAAAAGAATTTTATTATTTTAAATTTATTTTCAAATTAAAAAATATCAAAATTAGTAATAAATAAACTATTTTTACCTAAGATAAAGTGTCAAATCTATTAGATTAGTGCAGTTTACAAAACCAATACCTAAATCTGATGCACCAATTACACTAATTTAATTGTCACTTTTTAAATATTAAAACAAAAGTATGTAATTAATTTGTTAATTAGAAGGAAAAAATTAAGAAAAAATGTGAAAAAGAAATAAATAACATAATTAATAATCAAATCAAAAGTTAAAAATGAAAAAAAAAATTGATTTAAATTAAAAAAGATAAAATAACTTAAGCAGAATAAAAAACAAAAATAATTCAAATAAAAAGTTATTATAAATAAATTAGTTTAATTGTTTTAAATTCATTCATTTTTATATTCAAAAATATCACAGCTCGTTCAAAGCAAATAAACTGTTTTTACTTAAGATCAAGTGTCAAATAAGAGAGATTAGCGCAATTTCCTAAATCAGAACCTAATCCTGATGCACCTTTGTCACCAATTTAATTGCTACTTTTTAAACATAGAAGAAAATAAATATAATTAATTAGTTAATTAGGATAAAAATGAAGAAAAAATATGAAATAATAAGAAATTAAATAATAAAAAAAACCAAAGCAGAATAATAAAAAACTAATAAATAAGCCAATAAAAGAGTTAAATTGTTTTAAATTCATTTTTTATTTTAAAAAATGTCAAATGAGAAATTGTTTTTACTCAAGTCGAAGTGTCAAATCTAAGAGATTAGTGCATTTTGATAAAGCATAACCTAAGCCTGATACACCTTAATCACCAATTGAATTCTTACTTTTTAAATATCGAAGAAAAAAATAATTAATTAGTAAATTACAACAAAAAATGAAATAATAATTAATTAATAATTAAAGCTAAATTAGAAAATAAAAAAATTAATAATTTAAATTTTTAAAAGAGAATAAAACACATGCAAAATAAAAAAGAAAAAAAATATAAATAAATCAAATAAAAAACTAATAAATAAATTAAAAGAATTAGTTAGTTAGTTCGAAGGAAAAAATGAATAAAAATATGAAACATTAAGAAATGAATTAATCAATTAATTAAAAGCAAAATTTAAAATAAAAAAATGAATGATTTAAATTAAGAAAGAAAAAAAACCAAAAAGAATAAATCAAATAATAAATAAATTAAAAGAGTTAGTTTTATTGTTTAAATTAATTTTTATATTTAAAAAAAATAAATATCAAATAAACTGTTTTTACTGGAGATTAAGTGCCAAATTAGAGAGATTGTTGTGTTTTGCTAATCCAGAACCTAAGCTTGATGCACCAATTGCACCAATTTTATTGTCACTTTTTAAATATTTTAGAAAATATAAAAAAATAATTTATTAATTAGAAGGAAAAGGTGAACAAAAAAAAATTAAATAAAAAGAAATTGATTAATTAACGACTAGTGCAAAAGTTAAAAATTAAAAAATAAATGACTTTTCTGAAAAAAGAAAACACAATCTGGATAAAAATAATAAAAATAAAATAAAAAGCTAATAAATAAATTAAAAGAATTTTATTATTTTAAATTCCTTTTTTTTAATAAATATCAAAATTCATAATAAATATATTGTTAATACTTGAGATAAAGTGTCAAATACGACAGTTTAGAGTTATTTGCTAATGCAGAACCTAAACCTGATGAACCTTCATCACCAATTTTATTGTAACTTATTAATTATTGAAGATAAAATATTTTATTAATTAGTTAATTTAGAATGAAATATTAACAAAAATAAACATGTAATAATAGAAAATAAATTAATTTATAATCAAAGTAAAAGTTAAAAATGAAAAAGTGGTTTACTTAAATAAATAAAGAAAAAAAATCAAGCAGATTTAAAAATAAAAATAAATCAAATAAATATCTAATAAATTAATTAAGAGTTTTATTGTTTCAAATTCATATTTCTATTAAAATGTTTTACAGGCCAAAACAAATAAACCAATCATAAAGTTGAAAATTGAATAATAAGTGAATGACTTAAATTAAGAAAGAAAAGAAAATATAAGTAAGAAGAATAAAAAGAAAAATTAATCAAATAAAAAGCAATAATTTAAAAGAGTTATATTGTTTTAAATCGAATATCAATAAAACTTTTTACCCAAGCTTAAGCGTTAAATTTTAGAGATTAGTACAATTTGCTAAAGCAGAAACTAAGCCTGATGCACCAATTGCACCAATTTAATTTAAACTTTTTAAATATTGAAGACAAAATGTTAAATTGGTTAATTAGAATCAGAAAATATGAAACTATAAAAATAAATAAATTAATTAATAATCAAAGCATAAGCAGAAAATAAAAAATGAACTATTTAAATTAATAAAAAAACAAGCAGGATAATAAAAAAAAATTAAATAAATTACTAATAAATAAATTATAAGTGTTTGTTTTATTATTTAAAATTCATATTTATATTAAAAATTATCATAATCAAAAAACAAAGAAACTGTTGTGTGATAAAGCTGAAAATAAAAAAATAAATAACTTAAATTAAGAATTATAAGCAGAATAAAAATGAAAAACAAAAATAAACGAAATAAAAAATAATAAACAAATAAATAAAAGAGTATTATTGTTTTAAATTCATTTTTATATTAAAAATATTAAAATCAGAAAAAAGCAAATGACTTTACCCTAGCTTAAGCGTCAAATTTGAGAGATTAGTACAGTTTGCTACAGCATAACCTAAGCTTAATGCATCTTCATCCCCTATTAAATTCCTACTTTTTAAATATTGAAAAAAATATAAAATATTTGTTAGTTAGTTAGAAGGAAAAAATGAAGAAAAATCATAAAATAATAAAAATTCAATTCATAAAAAATAAAATCAAAAGTTGAAAATCAAAAAACAAATGATTTAAATAAAGAAAAAAAGAATAAAACAAGTAGAATAAAAAAGAAAAATAAATCAATTAAAAAGCAAATAAATAATTTAAAAGATTTTTAATGTTTATTTTTTTTAAATATTAAAACTTAAAATAAATAAACTATTTTTACTCAAGTTATAGTGCCAAACTTTAGATATTAGTGCACTTTGTTAAAGCAGCACCTAATCTTGATGAACCAATTGCACCAATTTCATGATGACTTTTTTCAATAAAAAAGAAAAAATATATTATTAATTAGTTAGTTAGTTAAAAAGAAAAAATATGAAATGATAAGAATAGAATTAATTAGCAATCAAAGCAAAAGTTGAAAATAAAAAATGAATGAGTTATATTAATAGATAAAATAGAATAAAAAACAAAGATAAATCAAATAAAAAGCTAAAAATATTGTGAATACCTTGTAAAAAAAAAATTAATAAAAATAATAATAATATAAATAAGTTAAATATACTTTAGATCAATATCGAGAACTGAATGAGATTATAGCGAAGACTTTAAAAACTTTTTTTATAAATAAAAAAAATTTAAAGTATTTTTATCAGAAAAAAAATAATTACATCCTCTAGATCATCGAATAATATTTTCTATTTTATCATTTATTTATTTAATTTAAAAAAATATTGAATAGAATTAAGAGAGACTTAATTAATTAAAAATATTAAAAAGAATAAATTTAGTTTTATTTATATTCAATATCTTTCTAAATTTAATAATTTTAAGATTAAAAATACTAAAAAATTTAATAAAAAATAAGGGTCTCACAGTAGGCTCAAAGATGGGGTGGGGGGTGCCCTTAATTAATGAGGATTTAGAGTAGATAAATTTTCATTTTTTTAATAAGCTATTTATTAATTTACCATAAATAACAAATGTATATAAAATAAATTGAGGTGAAATTATATTATTACAAAATAATGTTTAATAAAACATGTTATTTTCTATTATTAAAATATTTTATATTTATTCATCTTTTTATCACCACCTATCAAAACTTATTTGAAAGACAACTAATCTTTTTGATTTAAGGCATTTCTTTTATATTCTCAATTTTTATTATGATAATTCATTGATTTAGTTTTCGCTTATATTATAAATTAAAATAAATTACTAAAAACAAATAAAATAGAATAACATTTTTAAATTAAACATTAGAAATTAAAAAAAGAAAAGAAAAATAAATCAAATAAAGAGCTAGCATAAATTAAAAGAGTTTTATTATTTTAAATTAATTTTATAATAAAAATATCACAATTTAAAACAAATAAACAAACTGTTTTTACCCAAGAAAAAGTTTAAAATTTGAGAGATTAGTGTAATTTGCTAAAGCAGAACTTAAGCCTTATACACCTTTTTCATCAATTTAATTGTTACTTTTTAATTATTGAAGAAAAAATATAATACTAATTATTTAGAAGAAAAATAATAAAGAAAAAATATGAAATATTAAGAAATAAATTAATTAACAAAAATAAGGGCAAAATTTGAAAATAAAAAAATTATCTAAATTAAGAAAAATAGAAATAAACACAAGTAAAGTAAATAAGAAAAAGAAATCAAATAAAAAGCTAATAAATAAATTAAAAGAGTTTAAATAATTGTTTTAAATTCAATTTTATAAGTAAAAATATCGCAATCTAAGACAAATAAATTGTTTTTACCGAAGATCAAGTGTCAAATTTGAGAGATTAATGCAATTTGCTAAAGCATAACCTAAGCTTGATGCACCTTCGTCATTAATTTGATTGTCACTTTTTAAATATTGGAGAAAAATAAATATATAAAATTATTAATTAATTATTTATTTTTTTGGAAGGGAAGAATGAAGAAATAATAAGAAATAAATAAATTAACAATAATAAAATCAAAGTTTAAAAATGCAAAATAGAGTTAAATTATGAAAACTAGAAGAGTAAAAAACACAAATACAATAAAAAAGAAGAAAAAAATTAAAAGAATTAAAATATATTGTTTTAAATTCATTTTTATATCTAAAAATTTGAAAATCCAAAACAAAAAATTCTTTTTACCAAAGATCAAGTGTAAAATTTGAGAGATTTATGCAATTTGCTACAGCAGAGCCTAATTTTTATGCACCAATTGAGCAAATTTAATTGGAACTTTTTGAATATTAAAGAAAGAATATGTTATTAATTAGTTATTTAAAAGGAAAAAATGAAGAAAAAATATGAAATAATAAAAAATTAATTAATAGTAATAAAAGTAAAATTTGAAAATAAAAAACGACTCAAATTAAGAAAGATAGACGAAGTAAAAAAAAAGTACAATAAAAAGAAAAATAAAAATTAAATGAAATAAAAACTAATAAATAAATTAAAAAAGTTTAAACATATTATTTTAGATTCATTTTTATAATTAAAATACTGTTTTTACCTTAGGTAAAGTGCCAAATTCGAGAGTTTAGTGCATTTTTCTAAGGCAGAACCTAAATTTGCTGCACCAATTGCACCAATTTAATTGTCACTTTTTAAATATTGTAGAAAAAAAATATCATTAATAGTTAATTAGAAGGAAAAATGAAGAGAAAATATAAAAAATAAGAAACAAATTTATTAATAAATATAAAAGCATAACTTGAAAATTAAAAAAATTGAGTCAAATTAAGAAAGATAGAAGAAGAAAAAAAAGTTCAATAAAATATAAAAAAGAGAAATAAATTAAATAAAAAGCTTAAAAATTAACTAAAAGAGTTTAAATATATTGTTTTAAATTCATTTCTATAACTAAAAATATCAAAATCCAAAACAAATAAACTGTTTTTACTAAAGACTAAGTGTCAAATTTGAGAGATTAATGAAATTTGCAAAAGCAGAACCTAAAGCTGATGTGCCTTCATCACAAATTTTATTGGAACTTTTAAAATATTGGGCAAAAAATATAATACCGATTTGCTTTTTTCGTAGGAAAAAATGAAGAAAAATATGTAATTAGAAGAAATAAATAAATTAATTAATAAGAAAAAAAAAGAAAAAGAAAATAATTAGCTATTTATTAAATTAAAAAATTTTTTGTTTTAAATTCATTTTTTTAACTAAAAATATCATAGCCCAAAATAAGAAATAAATTGTTATTACGAAAGAACAATTGTCAAATTTGAAAGATTAGTGCAATTTGCTAAAGCAGAACCTAAGCCTGATGCACCAGTTGCACCAATTTAATTGTCACTTTTTAAATATTGAGAAAAATATATTAATTTCGAAGTAAAAAACAAAGAAAAGTATGAAATAATAAGAAATAATTAAGTAATCATAATAAAAGCAAAATTTTAAAATAAAAAAATGTTAATTTAAAAAAAACAGAAAAAAAAGAAACAAACACAATTACAATTACAATAAAAAAGAAAACAAAAATTAATCAAATAAAAAGCCAATAATTAAATTAAAAGATCTTAAATATTTTGTTTTAAATTCAATTTTATAACTAAAGATATCAGAATCCAAAACAAATAAACTGTTTTTACCTAAGATAAAGTATCAAATTTGAGAGATTAGTGCAATTTGCTAGAGCATAACCTAAACCTGATGCATCATTTGCACCAATTTAGTTGTTACTTTTTAAATATTGTAGTAAAAATATGAAATAATAAAAAATAAATTTATTTATAATAATAAAAGCAAAAGCTAAAAATAAAATAAAAAAAGAGAGTCAAATTAAGAAAGATAACAGAAGAAAAAACAAGTAGAATAAAAAAGAAAAAAAAATGAATTAAAATAAAAAGTTAATAAACAAATTAAGAGAGTTAAAATATATTGTTTTAAATTTATTTTTATAACTAAAAATATCATAACCCAAAGCAAATAAATTATTTTTACCTAAGATAAAGTACCAAATTTGATAGATTAGTGCAGTTTTCTAAAGCAGAACTTAAGCATGATACACCAATTGCACCAATTTGATTTTTACTTTTTAAATATTAAAGAAAAAATATAAAAATAAAAGCAAAATTTGAAAATAAAAAAATGAGTTAAGTTAACGAAGAACGAAGAATAAAAAATACAAGTACTTTTAAAATAAGAATAGTTAAAATAAAGTTAAATATATTATTTTAAATTGATTTTTATAGCTAAAGATATAATAATCCTACATAAATAAATTGTTTTTACTTAAGATTAAATGAGATATTAGTGATATTTGCTAATGCAAATCCTTAGACTGATGCACCTTCATCACGAATTTTATTATCTCTTTTAAAATATTGATGATAGAATATATTTTAAATAAGTAATTTAGATGGAATAATGAAGAAAAAATATGAAATAATAAGAAATTAGTAAATTGATAATTATAAAAACAAAATTTAAAAATAAAAAATTATTTAAATAAGAAAAATAATAAAAGCACAAATACAATAAAATAGAAGAATAAAATTAATATCTTAATAAATAGAGAAATTTAAAGAGTTAAATTACTTTAAATTCATTTTTATAACTAAAAATATGAGAATCCAAAACAAATAAACTATTTTTACTAAAAAGAAAGTTCCAAATTAGAAAGTTTAGAGCAATTTGCTAAAGCAGAACATAAGCCTGATTAACCATTTGCACCAATTTGATTCCTACTTTTTAAATAAAGAAAACAAAAAAAATTAAGAAATAAATTAATTAATAATAATAAAAGCAAAACTTTAAATAAAAAATAAATAAAATTAAGAAAAAGAGAAGAAGAAAAAATATAAAATAAAATAAATTTAGTAAAAAGCCAATAAATAAATAAATTAACAGAGTTTAAATAATTATATTATATTAAATTCATTTTTAGGAATAAAAATATCTCAATCTAAAATAAATAAGCAGATTTTACAAAAATGTAACATTCAAATATGAAAGATTAGTGCAATTTGCTAAAGCAGAGCCTAAGCCTAATGCACCTTCATCGCCAATTTAATTGTCACTTTTAAATTATAAAAAAAATCATGTAATTAATTAGTTAGTTTAGAAGGAAAAAATGAAGAAAAAAATGAAATAATAAGAAAGAAATAAATAGTTAATAAAAATAAAAGCAAAATTTAAAAATATAAAAAATGAGTTCAATCAACAAAGATAGAAGAAAAAAAAATCTTTAAAATAAAAAATAAAAAGAAAATTAAATAAAAAACTAATAAATAAATTAAAAGAGTTTAAATATACATAGTTTCTTATCAATTAAAGAATATTTTAGAAATTATCTATAGTTTTTTTAGTGAAGGACCAAGAAAAAATTCCTTCAAAATTTTAAAATCACTTAGTCCTTAATTAATAAGAAACTAAAATATTCTTTTAAATTAATTTTTATTACTAAAAATTTACAATCTAAAACAAATAAATATTCAATTTTTACCAAATATAAAGTGTTAAGTTTGAGAGATTAGTGCAATAAGCTATAGAATAACCTAATTTTGAAGCACCTTCATCACCAATTTAATTGTTACTTTTTAAATGATGAAGAAAAAATATATTATTAAGTTTCTTAGAAGGAAAAAATGGAGAGAAAATATGAAATAATAAGAAATAAGTTAATTTATAATAGCAAAAACGAAAGTTGAAAATAAAAAAATAAGAAAAAAAAACTCTAGAATAATCAAATATAAAGCTAATAAATAAATTAAAATGTTTAAATATATTATTTTAAATTCATTTTTTAAACAAATAATTTACAATCTAAAACTAACAAATAAACAATTTTTACCTAAGAAAAAGTGTCAAATTTAAGAGATTAGTGCAATTTGCTAAAGCAGAACCTAAGCCTGATGCACCTTCGTCACCAATTTGATTGTCACTTTTTAAATATTGAAGAAAAATATATAAAATTATAAATTATTTATTTATTTAAAACGAAAGAATGAAGAAAAAATTTGTTATAATAAGAAATAAATTAATTAATAATAATAAAATTAAAAGTTAAAAATAAAAAACTGAGTCAAATTAAGAAAGAGAGAAGAAAAAAAAAGCACAAGTAAAAGAAAAAAAGAAAAAAGAAAAATATAAATAAATAAATAAAAAGAGTTTAAAATATTGTTTTAATTGATTTTTGTAAATAAAATATCACAAACCAAAACAAATAAACTCTTTTTACCTAAGACGAAGTGTCAAATTTGAGAGATTAGTGCAATTTTCTAAAGCAGAACCTAAGCATGATGCACCAATTGCACCAATTTGATTTTTACTTTTTAAAAATTGAAGAAAAAGTATATCATTAAATAGTTAATTAGAAGGAAAAAAAAGAAGAAAAAATATGAAATAATAAGACGGAAATTAATTAATAATTATAATATAAAAACTTGAAAATTATTTAAAAAGATAACTTAAATTAAGAAAGATTGAAGAAAAAAAAACAATTACAATAAAATAAAAATCTTATAAATAAACAAAAAGAGTTTAAATATATTATCCATCTCAAAATATCAACCCCACCCCCATTTTTTTTGAAAGAGGAATATTTGAAAAAAAAATAAATAAATAAATAAATGGAGTGGGGTTAATATTTCGAAATGACTGATAATGTTTTAAATTTATTTTTTAACTAAAAATATCAGAATCCAAAATAAGTAAACTGTTTTTACCCAAGATCCAGAATAAATGTTGAGAGATTAGTGCAATTTGCTAAAGCATAACATAAGCCAGATGTACCTTTATCGCCCAATTTGTTGCCACTTTTTAAATATACAAAAAAAATTATTAATTAAAAAATTAAAAGAAAAAATGGAGAAAAAATATAAAATAAAAAGAAATAAATTTGTTAATAATAATAAAAGCAAAGGTTTAATATAAAAAAATTAGTCAAATTAAGATAGATAGAAGAAGAAAAAAACACAAATACAATAAAAAACTAAAATAAAAATAAATTAATTATGACTTTTGTTTTAAATTTTCTTTTTGATTAACAAAAAATATCAGAATCCAAAACAAATAAATAAACTATGTTTACCTAAGATCAAGTGTCAAATTTGAGAGATTAGTGCAATTCGCTAAAGCAGAACCTAAGTTTGATGCACCAATTATACCAATTTAATTGTAACTTTTTAAATATTTAAGAAAAATATATTATTGTTATTTAAAAGGATAAAATGTAGAAAAATAGGAAATAATAACAAATGAATTAATTAATAATAAAAAAAGCGAAAGTTGAAAATAAGAAAATGAGACAAAATTAAGAAAGATAAAAAAAACACAAGCACATTTAAAAAGAAAAAGAAAAATAAATCATTTAAAAAGCTAATAGATTAATTAAAAGAGTTATATTTTGCTTTAAATTCTTTTTTATAACTAAAAAATTCAAAACCCAAAATAAATAAACTTTATTTACCTAAGATCAAGTGTCAAATTTGAGAGATTAGTGCAATTTTCTAAAGCAGAACCTAAGCCTGACACACCAATTCCATCAATATAATTTGATCTTTTTAAGTATTGAAGAATAACATATTATTGATTAGTTATTTAGAAGGAAAAAATGTAAAAAAATATCAAAAAATAAGTAATAATTTAATTAATAAAAACCAAAATAAAAAAAATTGAATTAAATTTGAAAAAAATACAATAGAATAATAAAAAACAAAAAGAAAAATAAACCAAATAAATAAATAAATTAAAAGAGTTTAAATATATTGTTTTAAATTCATTTTTATAACTAAAAATGTCGCAATCCAAAAAAAATAAACTGTTTTTAGTTAAGAGTATTATAGTTTTAAATTCATTTTTATAGCTAACAATATCAGAATCTAAAATATGTAAACTTTTTTACCGAAGATAAAGTGTCAATTTTTAGAGATTAGTGCAATACGCTAAAGCAGAACCTAAACTTGATGCACCAATTGTGCCCATATAATTTGAACTTTTTAAATTTAAAAAAAAATGTTTTATTTATTCGTTATTTATACGGAAAAAATGAAGAAATAGTAAGTAAGAAATAAATTAATTAATCATAAAGCAAAAATTGAAAATAAATAAAAATTAGTTAAATAAAGAAAGTTAAAAAAAAAATAAATCAAATATAAAACAATAATTTATAAATAAAGAGAGTTAAATATATTGTTTTAAATTTATTTTTACAACTAAAAATATCCAAAATAAATAAATTTTTTTTATTAAGTAAAAAATTAATAAGGAAAATATTTTTTAAAAATATCAAATAATAAAAAATTTATAATCAATTTTAAAAATTAAAAATGAAAATTAAATTTGAATAACAAAAAAATATTTTATAAATAAAATGAATTAATGAATGAATATAGGTAAGGATATAATATTATAAATAAATCTTAAGTTAAATATAAAGAAAGTGTTAATAATGATAATATTTATAAATTAAATTTACCTCAAATTAATATGGAGAATCTAATGAGATTAGAGTGAAGAGTTTAAAAACTTTTTATATTAATAAAAATATATTTTCACTATTTTCATTTAAAAAAACAATTACTTATTCTAATTTGTTGTAATTTTTAATCTATTATATCATTTATTATTTTTTCTTCAAAAATATTGAAAACAATTAATCTAAATTTAATTAATTTTAAGTGATAAAAAGAACATATCAATTTATAAATTTGCTTTTAGTTAATTGTATCACAATAAAAATTAGTGTAACATATATTATTTAATCTTAATATTTCTATTAAAAATGCGTACTTAAAAATATAGAAGTAATTTGAGAGGGGTAATTAATTAGTCATATGTTGAAAAAATTAGAATAAATACTGAACATAATATTTAAGATTAAAAGCTTTGATTTTTTTGGTGAAAACAGAAGGAGGGCTGGTTTTAAAGAAATTAACATATTTATCTAAATTTAATTTATAAATTTTAATTTATTTAATTAGTTATTTATTAATTTATCAAAATACGATATTCATTAATATAAAAATAATAATAAATATATCTAAATTTTAGGTTAAATTATTTTAATACTAAATATAATATAATAGTAAAACATATTATTTTCTATTATTCAAATATTTATTCATCGTTTTTTCATTACTTACCTATTTATCATCAATAAAATATCATTTGAAAGACAACTAATCTTTTAGATTTAAGACATTTGTTTTATACTTTCAATTATTATTATGATTTATTAATTTTGTTTTCACTTTATTATAAATTAAAATAAATTACTAAAAAAAATTTTATAAATTAAAATTTTAAATTAAAAATAATTTTATAAATTAAAATTTTAAATTAAAAAATATTTTTTAAATTAACATTAAAAAAAGAAAAGAAAAATAAATTAAATAAAAGCTAGCAATTAAATTAAAAGAGTTTCATAAAGTTTGATTCATTTTTATATTAAAAAATAAATGTCACTCTCCAAAACAAATAAACTGTTTTTACTTAAGATTAAGTGTCAAACTTGAGAGATTAGTGCAATTTGCTAAAGCAGAAGCTAAGCCTGATGCACCAATTGCACCAATTTAATTGGAACTTTTTAAATTTTGAAGAAAAAATATATTATTAATTTAAAGAAAAAAATAAATGAAGAAAAAATATGAAATAATAAGATTAATTAATAATAAAAGCAAAATAAATTTTATTCAAATAAAAAAATGAGTTAAATTAAGAAAGATAAAAAAAGAAAAAATAAAAGAAAAATTAATTTTACCGAAGGTCAAGTGTCAAATTTGAGAGATTAGTGCAATTTTTTAAAGCAAAACCTAAGTCTGATACACCTTAATCGCCAATTTAATTCCAACTTTTTAAATATTAAAGAAAAAATATATCATTAATAAGTTATTTAGAAGTAAATAATGATGATAAAATATGAAATAATAAGAAATAAATTAATCAATAATAATAAAAGAAAAAGTTTAAAATAAAAAGATGAGCCAAATTAAGAAAAATAGATAGAACAATATAAGCACAAATAAAATAAAAAAGAAAAAGAAAAATAATCAGTTATTTAAAAAGCTAATAAACAAATTAAAAGAGTTTAAATATATTATTTTAAATTCATATTTATAATTAAAAATATCACAATCCAAAACAAAAAATTGTTTTTACTATAGATAAAGTGTCAATTTTGAAAGATTAGTGTAATTTGCTAAAGCAGAACCTAAGCCTGATGCACCAGTCGCACCAATTTAATTGGAACTTTTTAAATATCGGAGAAGAAATAGATATTAATTTTTTATTTAGAAGGAAAAAATGAAGAAATAAAATGAAACAATAAGAATGCAATTAATTAATAAAAATAAAAGCAAAATTTGAAAATAAAAAAATATGTTAAATTAAAAAAGATAGAAAAAAAATTAACATAAATAAAAAAGAAAAATATATCAATTAAAAAGCAAGCTAAAAAAAATTAATTAAATGAGTTTAAATATATTATTATAAATTCATTTTTATAACTAAAAATATCATAATTCTAAACAAATAAACAGTTTTTACGTAATATCAAGTGTCAAATTTGAGAGATTAGGGCAATTCGCTAAAGCAAAACCTAAGCTTTATGTACCTTCATCACCAATTTAATTTTTACTTTTGAAATTTTGTATAAAAGTATGAAATAATAAAAAATAAATTAATTAATAATTGCAAAAGCTAAATTTAAAAATTAAAAAATGAGTGAGTTAAATTAAGAAAGATAGAAAAAATCACACACAAATAAAATAAAAAATAAAAAAATAAATCAAATAAAAAGCTAATAAAGAAATTAAAAGAATTTAAATATATTGTCTTAAATTCATTTTTAAAACGAAAAATAAAACAATCCAAATCAAATAAACTGTTTTTACCTAAGATTAAGTGTCATATTTGAGAGATCAGTGCAATTTGCTAAAGCAGAACCTAGGTTTGATGCACCGATAGCACCAATTTAATTGTAACTTTTTTAATTTTGCAGAAAAAATACATTTATTATATTATTAATGAGAAGGAAAAATGAAGAAATAATATTAAATAATAAGAAATAAATTAGTTAATAAAAGTAAAACTTTAAAATAAGAAAATGAATGAATTAAGTTAAAAAAGATAGAAAAAAAAATAAACACAAATAGAATCAAAAAGAAAAATAAATCAATTAAAAAGCTATAAACAAATTTATAGAGTTTAATATTTTATTTAAAATTCATAAAATAAATTAGTTAAAAAAGTAAAACTTAAAAATAAGAAAATGAATGAATTAATTTAAGAAAAATAGAAAAAGAAATAAACACAAATAGAATCAAAAAGAAAAAGAAATCAATTAAAAAGCTAATAAACAAATTAATATTATTTAAAATTCATTTTTATAACTAAAAATATCTCAATCCAAAACAAACAAATAAATTTTTTTTACCCAAGATCAAGTGTTAAATTTGAGAGATTAGTGCAATTTGCTAAACCAGAACCTAATCCTGATGCACCAATTCCATCAATTTTATTCGAACTTTTTAAATATTGATGAAAAAATATATTATTAATTTGTATTTTAGAAGGAAAAAATATGAAATAAATAAATATATATAATAAAAGCAGAAATTGAAAAAAAAATGAGTTAAGATAAAAAAAATAAATATTAATAAAAAACAAAACAAAACTAAATCTATTAAAAAACTAATAGACAAATGATTTTTGGGGAATATTTAGATTTTTGATTAAACATTTTAGATTTTTGATTAAAATTCTTGTAAATTCATTTGTTTCGATTGATATTTTTCTAATTTTCTAAATATTTACTAACTTTCATTAATAAAGATTAAACGGAATATTAATAAATTTGCAATTCAAAAATATTTTCAAAGATTCCATCAATCAATTTTTCATCAAAAAATTAACTAAAAAAGATTTTCAAAATTTAATCTAATTGTTTTTTTTAAGCTAAGCATTTGTATATATTTCTTTTAATTAAATAAATATTCATTAGTATAGAAGCCTATCAAAAATTAGAAAGGCACTTATTTAACTCTATTTTAAATTCATTTTATAACTAAAAATATCACAATTAAAAACAAAGAAAGAAATAGTTTTTACATAAAATAAAGTGCCAAATTTGAGAGATTAGTGCAATTTACTAAAGCAGAACTTAAGCCTGATGCACCAATTGCACCAATTTAATTGTAACTTTTTAAATATTGAAAATAAAATTTATTATTAATTCATTATTTAGATAGAAAAATATGAAATAATAAGAAATAAATTAATTAATAATAAAAAAACCAAAATTTGAAAATAAAAAATAAGTTAAATTAAGATAATAGACAAAAAATAAAAACAAATCAAATAAATAAGCTAATAACAAATTAAAACAGTAATATTGTTTTAAATTCATTTTTATAATTAAAAATGTAACAAACACTCTATAACAAATAAACTGTTTGTTTTTACCTAAGACCAAGTGTCAAATTTTAAAGATTAGTGCAATTTGCTAAAGCAGAACCTAAGACTTACACACCTTCATCACCAATTTAATTGAAACTTTTTAAATATTGATTGAAGAAAAAATATATTATTAATTAGATATTTAGAAGAAAAAAATATAAAATAAGTACAACAAAAAAGAAAAAGAAAAATAATCAAATTAAATAAAAGTTTTAAAAAAATTAAAAAAGTTTAAATATACTATTTTAAATTCATTTTTATAACTAAAATTATCACAACCCAAAATAAATAAATAAACTATTTTTACCTCAGATAAAGTGACAAATTTGAGAGATTACTGCAACTTACTAAAGCAGAACCTAAGCTTGATACCCAAATTCCATCAATTTAATTAGAACTTTTTAAATATTGATCAAAATATATAATTAATTAATTAGTTATTTAGAAGTAAAAAATGAAGAAATAATATGAAATAAAAAGTAATTAATTAATTATGAAATAATAATAAAAGCAAAATTTTAAAATAGAAAAATATATGAGTTAAATCAAGAAAGATAGAAAAAAAATAAATAGAAGTACAATAAAAAAGAAAAAGAAAAGCAATCAAATAAAAAGCTAATAAACAAATTAAATGAGTTTAAATATATTGTTTTAAATTCATTTTTATAACTATAAATATCACAATCCAAAATAAATAAATAAATAAATAAATAAATAAATAAATAAATAAATAAATAAACAGTTTGTTTTTATCTTGTAGAATTTATAGAAGAAAAAAATAAATAAAAAATATTATTAAATAATAAAAAATGGATATTAAATTTTAGAAATTGAAAGTTAAAATAAAGTTCAAAACAAACTAAAAAAATATTTTTATTAATAGTTTAAACAAATAATAGGTGAGAATTTCTTTTAGAAAAATAATATTATAAATAAATTGGAAATTAAATGTAAATAATAATAATATTTATAAATTAAATATACCTCAAATTAATATCGAGAACCTAATGAGATTAGAGTGAAGAGTTCAAAAACTTTTTATGTTAATAAAAATAAATTTAAAGTATTTTCATTAAAAAAACAATTAATTACTTATTCTAATATGTTGTATTATTAAATCTATTATATCATTTATTTTTTTTTTCAATAATATAGAATGGCAATTAATTAATGGAAATTTAATTAATTAATTTTAAGTGGAATAAAGAACATATAAATTATATCAATTTATAAATTTGCTTTTACGTAAAAGATATCACAAAAAAGTTAGAGTAAATAACATCAATTATTTAATCTTATTGTTTCTAATTTAAAATTTCTACTAAAAGGGTGCCACGAAAAGGTTTACCAGCTTGCTTATTCGATTTAATTTCCATAATTATGAGAAGCATGTTATTAAATTATTAATAAATAAATATATTCAATAAAATAGAAATAAGATTTTCCTTATGATGAAAAATTGAATGACTCTATTTAAAATTTCAAATAGAATTATTGTGAATGATAACCAAAAAAGAGAGGGTGGTATTTAATACTTTTTTTAGTTAGGTTTAGAAAAAAATATAGAATAAATAAGCAGTCCATTTTTAAAAATTTTTTTCAAAAAAATAGAAGGCCTTAATATAATTATTTACATACAACATAGAGGTAAACAAACTTTGAATAAATTTCTATTTAATAAGTTAAATAAATCATTTATTTATTTATTTTTCAATTTATATTAAAAAAACAAAATTTTGTAGTTTAAGAAAAAACAAAAATATTAAATTTTATTATGATATGAATAGAATACAGACAGACAGACCACAAACGATTTAAATAAAAATCTTGTAAAAAAACAAATTAAATATTAAGCTAAAATTGAAGGCAAAAGAATTGAATTAGAAAGTAGAGATAAAAGCTTGATTTTGAATTTAATGGTAAATATATATATACATACATACACTTATTTGCATTCATTTAATAATTTATAAATTTTATATATTTATTTATTTAATTTTTTTGTTGTTGATTAATTTATTTATTTATTTAAAAGTTTGTTTGTTAATCAGAAGAGAGTAGAACGCTTAGAGAAGATATCATCAGAGAATATGTCGTCAGTTTTACGGGATTTGAGATCGTTTTGGATCATTTAGATACCACAGAGATTCATACCTATGGTGTCTCTTTCTTTTGAGATGTTTTATCTGAGGTGTTTTTGTATATTAATAAGTAATTTAACGAGCTTTTTAGAATTGAGAATGTGTGTTTCATGAGATTTGAGAATAAAGAAGAGGATTCTGGAGGCTAATTCAGTATTTATGTTGTTTTCTACGTAAAAGTTGAGATAGTAAAGAATCTTTTCAATGTAGCTCACATGCACGAATTTGAGAGAGTTTTCAAGTTCAATTGTTTTAATTTTTCCAATGACAAACAGAACGTATTCTGGGATGGAAAGATTTTAAAGAGTTTGCAAGTTAGGCTTTTCAGGTTCTTTCAATTCTTTTAAAATGTGTTTATTCTTTTCATAATAAACTAATTAATTTTCATAGTCTACGTATTGGTCTCTTAATTCTTCAGCTTAATCAATAGCAGCCATAATTTCTTCACCATACTTTAGATTTTCAAATTTCTTTTTAATGACTTCACCAACTTCCATATTTTGTTTTTGTAAAATCTGTTTGTGACTTTCTTCTCCTTCCCTTTTAAGCTATTCTTCAGTATAGTCTTCGATCATCATTTTTTCCATTCTCTTTTCTTCTTCTTCTTGAACGAAAACTTAGTCTTTGTTTTGTTTCCACATTCTTTTTAAATTATTTAATTTACATCAGATATCATAATAAGTTATTTTAATTTTACCTAATAAGTCTATCTCCACTACCAGTAACGAAAAAGTCACCAATAGAGCTGACAGCGAGAGTCCAAACTTCTCCGAGACATTCATCGAATTGCATGACTAATTGATAAGTATCACCATCCCAGTACTTGACAGTTCTGTCCTTAGAAGCAGTGAAAAAGTAATGAGTATCTTTAACAAACTTAACACAAGTGATTGCATCTTGATGAGCAAATATAGATTTATGACAATTACCATAATCCATACCCCATAATTTAACATTTTTATCAGCAGAGCCAGATAATAACAAGGCGTTATCGCTAGAAATATCAAAGCTCAAAACTGGAAGTTTGTGACCATAGAAAGTCAAAAATAGTTTATCAGAGTCAGAGAAGTTAATAATGATGCTCTAATCAAGTAAAGAAACAGCATAGTGATATCCGTTAGGTGCGAATTTTGCACATAATACTTCTTCGCTCATATCTAATTAAATAACAAAAAATTATTTAAATTCGTTCAATTAATTTTTAATTATATTATAAATTCTTTAAATTCTAATCACATAAGAAATAAATAAATTCACCAAAACAAACTTTGTAATATTTCTTTTAAAAAAATGATTTTTAATCTATTAAATTAATTTTTAATAGATAAAATAAATAGCTTAATAAAATTCTAGTTTTCAATTTATTTAAGAAATTTATTCATTAAAATTTTCTATTATTTCTTAATAAAAAATTAAATTTTGTATCAATTAGCATTTTATTTTCTTCATATTTGATTCAAAATAAAATTAATCTAATTTTTATTAGATAAATTAGCTCAAAAAAATTAGATAAATTAACTCAATAAAATCTAATTTTTATTAGATAAAACAGCTCAATAAGATATAATTTTCAATTTGTTATAGAAATTTTATTATCAAAATTTTGTAATATTTCTAAATAACAACATATTATTTTTGTACCAATTAACTTTTTATTTTATCATATTGCAGCAAAATATTTAATTTTAAATAAAATCAACCAAATTTTGGTTAGTATAAATCAATCAATCAATTAAATTAGATTTATTTTGTTGAAAAAATATTATTTGTTTTAATAGAAATATTTTTTTTGATGAATTTTATCAATCATTCATTAATCATTGTTTAACACTATTTTATTATTTAATCAATAATTTTTTTCATTTTTCTAATAAAAAATATTTATTCTATTAAACATGAATAATTTTCTTTGTTTTTGATTGATTAGATTTTAAGAATTTAATTTTTTAAATAGTAAAAAGAAGTTTTTTGTAAAAATTTACATAAGGTTTTTAGTTCTTATAACTCAAGCAACTTTGTTTCACTGTTGAGGATTAATTCCCAGAATTTTAGCTTTCTGTCAGCACCACCAGTGATAATTACAATACTTTCATAGCCATGAGGACTTTCATGATAATCAATACTCCAGATTGAAGCTTCATGGGCATTTTATATGGTTTAAATAATATCACCTTTTGGGATATCAACTAAATAGATGGTGCCTTCTTTGTCTGCTGCTATGAAAAATCTGTTTCTTGGCAAAAATCTGACTGCAGTTATATGACCAGTTTCGAAGGTTCTAACGCTTTACAAATCTTCAGAAGACCATAATTTAAGACTTTCACCACCACCACTTGCAATCAATGCATCATTATCAGAAACAGCCAAAGCTCTAATAGCTTATCTATGACCTAATCTATTGTAATCTTAATTCATCTTTTGTTCTAAGTAAGAGTTTTAGTTAACTTAGAACTCATACAATTCCATGTTGTTGTTGTGGTAACTAACTGCGAATAAATTGTGGTTTCTTTTACCCTTTTATACTTGATTGTAAAAAGTGAAAGAACGGAGTTTCTTTTAGAAATGGAATGTTGTATGGTATTAAATTCTTTCTGTGAATAGAGATTCTTTAATTAATTCTTCGCCTTCAACTTCTTCCTCTTCTTCTTTACCTTCGATTTCCATCTTCTCTTCTTTCTTTTTAAGTTTTTTTTGCTTTCTTTTTTGTTTCTTTTTATTTTCTTCATCACTCAAAATCTTGTAAATTTCAACTGTCTTGTCATTTGCTGCATTAATTACATTAAAAATAAATTTAATTTTCGTTATTTATAAATTCTATTTTACTCATTAAGAAGAGATATTCTTGGCTTTGATTGAATTCCATCTAAATAGGGCGTTGGAAAGATTGCTTTTTATAGTTTCCAACATGCTCGATGAATTTCTTTTGGTTTGTAACTGGATCAAATGAAGGAGCAAATTTAAGAATGACTATTTCGTCATTATTTGTGCCTAAAAGAATAGTTTTCTCTTTCTTGTAGAATGTCATATTCCAAACTTCATTGCTCAATGAAGAAATAGTTTGCACACTGCTTGAAATGCTCATATCCCAAAGCTTTTTATATAAAAAATATATTTAATTTCATGAATTCTTTCTTTTATAATTATGGAGTTATTTCAAAATTTCTCTACTTGCTATTTTTTATTCATTCATATAAAGCATTTTTTATTAAATTCTTATTCTAAATAAATGGTGTAAAAAACAAGTTATTTCTACTAGATTATTTGATGAAATTATGCAAATCAAAAAAGATTTGTTTATATTTTTATCTTGTAAATAGTTTTGCACTATTAAAGAATATCTATTTATCTCTATTTATATATATATATATTTTTTTGAATATCCTCTATTATTGAAATAGCTAAATTTAAAATAAATGGTAATGATGATTTTAAATTACCTTGAAAAGACCATCCTTTGAAGTGGATAAGATAAACTCGTGAGTAGTAAATTCATTTTCTTAATATTTGTAATAAAATAAATCTGTAATTGCATTCTTGTGACCTGCCAATTTGTAAAGAGGCTATTCACCTAAGATATCCCAAACAATTATTGATGTATCGCCACTTCCAGTAATTAATTGAGTTCCATCATCATTGAATTGAATATGACTAACATTTGACTTATGTCCATTTAAGTTGCATTTGTATGAAAAATCCTCCCAATTCCATAGAATAACATCTCCATCAGCAAAACTAAATATTTTTGAAAAATAAGTATTCCATTTATTTGAATGCTTGCTTGCTAAAAAATTGAAAGCATTTATTTAGAATCCTATTCGATTTTAAACAATAAAATAAGCAACAAAACTTTATTTATTTACCCTGCAGCTAATATAACATTGTGCTATTTGGTGGCATTGGTAACTGAAATAGCTAAACTAGTAACTTCACTATTTTTATTATTTTCATATAATGTCTGAACAACTTCTCCTATTTTATTTAATCAAAAAAATGTTAATAACTTACAAAATTGTTAACTTAAACGAACAGAATTAGATTCAATAAACAAATTAAGTAAATAAATAAATAAAAATATATATACCAGTCTTTATATCAAGGATTAGAACATACTGACTATTACCAGAAATGATCATGTTATCTATTTTAATGATGAAATATTGTTATTAAAAGCATACTAACTTAAAATATCATTGAATGAACGAAAATATTTTAAATACCATAATAAATTATATTGGAGGAATGTCCAGTTACGAGACCAGCGGTCTTATTAAATACGTACCTAAGATATGCTTTAACCATTTGTTGCTTTTAAATTAAATGCTAAGTTGAAACTATAAATGTTGTATTTATGTATGTATGTGTTGTTTTATAAACTTAATAATTTATATTGTTTTATTGAGTTTTAATTAAAGATTTTGTTATCCTTTGCTTTATATTTATTAATGTTTGTCTTTATTTCTAAGATTTTTAATACTCTACTTTGTTTCTTTTGTTAACTAATTCTAAGGATAATTAATCATAAATTAATTTGCCTTATATTTATTCTATTAGCATTATCAGTATTTTTATGCCAAATTACTTTAACCAAGCATGCTCGGTAGAAATTAAATTTCAAACATTGAGCAAATATCATACTAACATACATAAAAACATGCATACTTATTAAATCACATTATAAATTGTTAATCTTATTATCAAAAATATATAAGTTCCTTGTAAAACTATTCAAAATATAAAGAAGAACTATAAGCAAAAAATATATTCGCTTTTATTTCATTTCAATTTTATTATCAATAATTTAACACGCTTTTCTCATCTCTATATAAAATATTTTTTTATAATTAAAAATTTTTAAAATTGAATCAAATAAAATACAAAGAGTGTAAAATAATTTATTTCAAAATTTAATTATTTATATTAGTACTTTAAATAAATTTATATGAATAATAAAGAGAGCATATTGATTGCAAAATTAAAATTTTAGAAAATCTGAAAATCTTATTATTGAAAAAGTTAAATTTTCGATAAAATATAAATAATTATTATCATGCACTTTATATACAATATATAGTAAAAATTAATTAAGTCAAAATTATTTTAAGACTGCTAACTAAATATTTTTAAATTATTAATTAATATTTTGATTGATTGATATATTTATTTATATATATTCATATATATCCTGTTATTAAAATATCTAAACATGATATTTCAAATACCAGGAACAGCTATATTTTCTTAGATAGCAAAAGAAGCTTTTGGTGAAGAATGAAAAGTCATATTATCTTAAAGCTTTTGTTCAGGATTTTTACTGTAATCTCTGTATAGATAGAGGTATAGTGATGATAAATAAATCTATTAATTCAAAAACAAATTTTATTTTATTATATTTGTTAAATTTTCTTACTTTAAGTGCTAAATAAATACAGCTTAAAACAACAACTGCTCTCTATAGATTTTAATTAGGTATTTCATCAGACCACCATTTCTATTAAATAAATAATAAACAAATAAACTTTAATGTAAAATTTATTAAACTAGATTAATTAGCTTTAAATCAATAAATAAATAACTAATATATTAAATAAAATTCATCTTTTGAGTAAAAAAAATTTAATATTTTAAATTTATATTTCATAAACTAAAAATATGCTTCAGATATTTCTTTAGACTGAATTTAGAAAATATATTAAGAAATTATAAAATTCAACTGTTTTTGTTTAAAGCTTCTTACTTAAAAAATAGACAAAATAAATCATAAAATTACTCACAAAATAAAAGAAAAATGACATTTTTTATAAATTTGTTTTTATTATTATTTGCTAAAACTAAAATTTTGGTGTTTGTTTTATTATCAATATCAATTTAATATCTAAAAAATCCAATAATTATTTCATAGCAAATTATTTTGTCAAATATTTTTAATAGAATATAAAATTTTAAATAATTACGACTGTGAAAAGCACAAGCCAAATGATATCAAATGTTATAGAAGCAATTGTGACTAATGAATATGATTTAAAATTATTAACATTATATTCGCCTTTAGTGTATATCTCAATGAAATAGCTCATACATATAAGCATCTATTTTGAAAAATTTTAATTAATAAAGTTTATTGGATTGAATTTTATTTACATCTAACGTTAGGACTCTCTCATAAGACAGTATTAAAGCCATTATCATATATGCAAAATTTGAATATCCTAAAGTTTTGAACACATCTTGAACCTCTATTTTAGAAAATAAAATAAATCCATAAATTAGCAAGCTAGCTAGCTTTAAATGTAACTTTACATATGCTCTACTGAGAAGAAGGAATTAAAATATTAGAATCGTATGTAAAAGAGTTTCTATTTTTGAGTTCTCTAGTGTTTAAGTTCATACCACTTGTTGACTCAAATTGAAAGTTTTCTTGTTAACTTTCCATTTATTTAATTATAGAAGAAAGCCCAGGAAAAGGTTCCAATAAAATAATAAGATCATTTTAGTAGCCATTTAAATCCTCTTCATTTTGCCTTATTTAATTATCCCAGTCCTAAATAATTTCTTCATATATCTCAGTTTTTGAATGAATCCATTATAGCTCTAGCTAAATTTAGTAGAATTGTTTTTTCTTGCCATCAAAAGAGTTCATATAAACATCACTCTATACTTTTTTTTAATCCCTCAATCCATTTAACTGAATTAAATCTGTTTTTGCTACTGGCTCATCTCCATCAGTTTTAAATAGAGCAACAAAAATATCTTCTGTAGATGTTTTAATTGGACTAAATATTTATTAAATTAATAATTAAATTATTATTTTTAAATACAAAGGTTTTATTTCAATAATTAAAAATAAATAATTTTATTTATCACCCTATTAATATTCGCTTAATATTTTAGCAAATAAATAGTTGTTAAATTTTCAATTTAAGAGGGTTAATTAATTAATTAATTTAACACTTTAAGTAAAATGAGCTTTTAAAGAAATAAATATTTATAGGAGAGGTAAGTAAATTAGCGAATTATTTGAAATAAAAATAGATTTTATTAATAAAATAACTTAAAATTACAAAGAAGATGTTTAATCCCAAGCTACATTGTCGCTGTATTTATCACAAATAACTTTGACATAATATTCTTCCTTAAGATATGTTCTATCTTCATCTTTCATAATTTTTTTATCGATCGAAAGAATTTTAATTGGCTTGATTGAGAATATCGATCCTTCCATAATATTATACTCATTTTTCTTTTCTTTTTGCATTTCTTCTTCATATTTTTTGTAGACATTTTTCCTCTTTTAAGTTAGCTCCTGTAAAAAATCTCTATTTTACTCTATTTTATCTTGCAGGGTTTGGCTTGCTTCAATAACTATGCTAAAAAACTGGCTGGCTTAGAATTTTCCATCCTCATCTGTATCTAATTTATCAATTAACTGGTTTGCTATAGATCTATCATACTATTTTCCTAGCTTTTCATTCAAAAAGAATAATTTTCAAACCATTTTAAGTAATTCTTAGTTTTGCATAGACAGAATTGAAAGTTTAGTTAAAAGACAAAAATTTGATTTTTTGACTTGAAATGCAGAAAAACAATTTACTTTTTTATCTAAAATCTAAAATAACTCATCCTTGTTCAGCTTCTAAGTTGAAGAAACTTTTAGCTTCTAAAATTCTTTTATAATAATTTATTTTTGCGCTTCAACACTTAAGCTCATAATTGACTTTCTGCTACTTTATTTCATAACTATATTAATTATTGTAAATAATTAATTAAACAATTTGACAGTTCTAACACTTAAATGAATGTAAATATTATTATTTAATATCTTATCAATCCTCAATGCATTCTTTATTTATTCATCGATCAATTGCACTATTAATTTGTAATTATTAATTAATTATGCAAATTTTATTTTATTGAATCCTATTCAATAAGAAAAAGATTTTTCTGTTATAACGAAACTATTTGTTAATCTTTCAATCAATTCATTGACTTCCTTATTTATCCATCTATCTATCTATCATTATTTTAAATAATTTTTCTAAACAAAAAGCTAATTAATAATAATTTTTCATTTCAACTAGTTTAATCAGAAATATATCTTTAATCATTCAAAATTCTTAAATTTGAATTAGAAATACAAATAATATTTTAATTTATTTATAAACATATTTTATAATAATTATTTAACTTTGCTTGATTATTAGCTACCCAAATTTGTTAAATGACAGACAATAACATGAATAAGTAAATATTAATCATATATTGATTTTATTAATTTATCATAGATAAACTCTATGTTTGATAATTTATTTGTTAATAAATACTTAATTTTATTTTGTTAAAAAATCATTTTTATATTTATTTTTTTATTTAAATTATATAAAATTAAATGTAAAAAACAACATTATTTCCTTCAAGAATCAGGATTAAGATCAAATCAAATTAACATATAATTTTAAAAGATATTTCATTGCCAATTGATATGAATATAATTAGAATAATTTTATATCTTTGATAATTATTGTATATGAAGAAATAATATGTAAAATGTCACAAAAAGATCTATTTTTATTTTTAATTATCTTACTTCCATCAAAGAAGGTATTGATTTTCAAGCAACTAAATAAAATGGAATCAATTTTATTTTTAATAAATGCTAAAATTAAAGATTTTTTTTGCAATATTTCTTCTTCCTTTTTGGATATTTTTGTAAATAATTTTACTTTTTTATAATTTTTAAAACAAATTCGTTTATAAAACTTTAAGATTTGAATAATGTATTTAATAAAAGACTTTTACTAAATTCAAGATTTATATATTGTTTTTTATTTAAATTAATTCTCTTTTACCTTTTACTGTATTTAGTATCTTAAAACAAGAGGACATATGATAATAATATATTCTAATTGAACAATTACAAAAATAATTTAAATCTTTTGAACAAAAAACATAAATTGAAAAAATAAGGTTAGAAAATGTAAAAACAAGGTAGTTTAGAAGATTACAGTTAATTGAAGAATTTTTTGGATCAAACATTGCTGCAGTTAGGACTTGTTTCTGCAAGATCTAAAAATACTATGAGTTTATTTTTGTAGATGTCGAAATTAAACGAAGCTGTTCGTTTTCTAGATAAGATTAAAGACGAAGATAGATTGGTGGTACAATAATTTTATCGCGTATTCAGAGGCTTGTTGAAGAGCTATGAGAATAATGGGATTATGTCTGAAGTAGGTCTGGTTAGTGGTTTCGAAAATCTTTCAGACGAATACATTGTAGAAATAAAGGAAAAACTATTTAAAATGACATAAGGTTTAACGGGCTTATGTAATAGTATTGTTAATAACACTTCGGTACACTTGATGTGGTATTTTATATCACCAGATTAAGAAGACTAATAAGAAATGAATTCTATTGTTGAATACTTATCAAAAACCTATTAAAAAAAGGGTTTAGTAAAAACTTATTTAGATCAGGAAATATTCCTCAAAGAAATGAGAGAATATGGGTTGAAACAAAACCCAATAATTGCATTCATCTCATGCAACAATTATAATAAATAAAATGAACAAATTATAGATTGTATATTCAATATATAGAGCCTTATACAAGACCACAAGGATATTAAGCTTTAAGGATTGATTTTACAAGTTGATAGTGAAGAATCATTTAATTAACTTAAAATATTTACTTAAGATATTTCTATTAAACATGAAGTAACTTATGATTATTTTGAAATCTACAACGAAGTCTTTAAGTTTATGAATCCCCAAGAATTTAGAAGAGTAATACCTTGCGATGACATCAACTTGTACTATCACACGATCAAAGAAAAGTTCTTTAAATTGCATATTGATGACTTTTCAAAAATAAGCATGTTTGATTTTGAGCCTGAAAGAATAAATCTGTAGAATAAATTAGAATAAGCAATAGATATTATGAAAAAAAGAGATATTAAAGTAGACAAGTTCATTTTAGCTCCAAATATGGCATAGAAATTAACTAATGAGATCTCAAAACAGTACTAATAATCAAATAAATCTGAGTAAAAAATTTGTGAGGGCATTCTTAAACTCTATACTATGGAATCTGTAGGTTTTTATAAATTCATAAATGGATGCCTAAACACATTAAATGAAGATGTTGTAATTCTAATTTGGGATTTGGTTATGATGCTAAGAGTTGCTTTATAAAAATATGACGACACTCCTTACACAAAAATACAAATTCAAAATGCAGTTGCTCCCAAGCTATTCAGAGGAATAAACCTATCTCAAGACTACTTCAACAGAATCATAAAAGTGGGAAAAATAATATGTCTAGCTTCATTTAGCTCTTTTACTCTATCTTAAGATGTAGCATTATAGTTCATCCTCCAAGATGAAAACTTTAGTAAAGACAGAGCTTCTATTATATTTGAATACGAGCATAAAATTAGTACACATAACTATCCTCAGAGACCAAAATCTGTATCTTAATTAAGTGCTTATAGTAAAGAACAAGAGTATCTCCTACCACCCAGCTATATGTTCAAAATATATAAAATAGATGAACCAAATAATGATTTCTAGTTCTATAAGGTTTATTTAACTCAAGGTAATCAAACTTCATTTTAGTAAAATTGATAAAAAAAATATAAAATCTTAAAAATAATAATTTTGTTGTTTAAATTATAAAAATCAACTTTTAATCTCTATATAAAAGATATAACCAAGCATCTAAATTAATAGCTATTTTTTTAAAAATATCTTCTCAAGAATTTCTAAATGAATTAATGTGATATAAAAAACAAAATTAATTTTATTATTCATATCTAAGTAAATAATTTTAAAAATAAAAATAAATATTGACACATTATTTATCTGTACTTCCTATTATTAATTTATGTGATACTTATTGCAAATTATAAATTAAAATATAGCCAAATGCTTTTTTATTTGTTCATTCTGTATTTTTATTTATTATTTTTATCAAATTTTAACAAACTTTTGAATACATTTAATGTCTTTTCTCAAATTTTTAAGCTAAAAACATTTTAGAAAACATTATTTTGAATTATTAGAAGCTAATATAATTTGGTAATAATTTAATCTAATTTATATATTGATTTTATTTTATTTTTATATAATTTAGCAGTCCAATTCTATCAACTCAAATTAAAAAGTTGTCTATTAATTTAATATTTCTAATTTATGTTTATTGTTAATTTTCTTATTTGTTTTTGATGAAAAATTAATGTTTTGATTAGCAAAAATATCTTGGTGAATAGTAATAAAATTAAAAATATGTTTTCATGTATTAATTAATTTTTTTTAATGGCTGAAAGTAACTCATTTAGTATTTACAATTATATAATACATTCATTTTTTATGAGGAATTTGATTTTTTATTATTTTGTATTTGTTTTGAATATTTCAGTTCTATATATTTAATTAATTAGAGTCTTTTGATTTTTGCAGAAGACTTATTATTTTGAGTGAATGAGTGAGTGCCTTATTTTTGAGGGTATCTTAAAAAGAAAGTTCTGTGCAAGAAAATTGATATTTTAATATCTTAAAAAGATTTAATATATATCAAAAGTTTATTTTTAGTTTTAAGATTATTATAAAATGAATCAGTTCTTCTAAGATTTTAAAGAGGCTTTTAAGGAATTTAGATTTACAAGTCCTGATATAGATAATACTACTCCAGCATAGAGATTTTTAAGGGGAATTAGGCCAATTATTTTGACTTCTACTTTTGTGTTAATTATAGGGATTATGAATTAAAATAATAATGAATATAAAGACACCAAAAAATAAAAGGATGAGTATTTTGAAGAAGATTTTGTGCAAGAACATTATAGCAAACTAAGAGCATATATGAGACCTATATTTCTTAGATATCTTGATTTGAAAATTGAATAATAGCCATCAGAAATCTAATAAGCACCCACTGTATAATAAATTTAATAAGAAAGTCCTAAAAAATGATAAATCTACTGAAAAATAAATAAAAAATAAAAGCAAAGCTAAATTAAACCAAAAATCAACACTGTAACTAAGTTAAATGTTTAAAATAATTATTATATCTATAAAACTATTTATTTATTTATTATTTGCAAGTTTTTTATTGTCTTTTAAAACAATTTCAAATTATTTAACATTCTTTATATCAAAATTGTTTGCTATATATAATAAAGGCTACTTTTTAATTTTATGATATTAAAAATAGAAAGAAAATATTAAAATAAAACAAAAATTTTTTTAAACCTAAAAAAACTTACTATTTTTAGTTTTTTTACAAAGTATTTGAATTAACATTTAAAAAGCACAAAAAAATATATGATAAAAATAGATAGCTAAAAACTAAAAAGTGATCAGTAAAGTATTAATCAATCAGAACTAACCAAAAAAAAAAAATCTAAAGCTTTAAAGAAATAAATAATAATTTTATTACTTGCAATTAAAAAAATTCATAGAAAAGTTAAAACTTTAAATAAGATTTAAATTTTAAAAATTAAAGATATTCAACAAATAAAAATTATTTAAATTATGTTATCTATTATATTTATTTTTGATATAAGAAAGATGAAAATATATATTAAGAAGTCTGCTCTTTATTTTTAGGTTTCTTTCTTTTGCAAATTACTTTTAAATTTATTTAATCTCTTATTTTTGCTGCTTCTCTTTATTTTATTTTTAGCTTTATACTAAAAAACTAACACTTAAAATGGTGAATTTATTACAATATTTTACATTCTATTAATGTTTATCATAAAAAATATATTTTCAATTGAAAAAATAAAGATTATTTATTATACTTACATAACAATTTTTTATACGAACTCTTAATAGCTCTTTTTGAAATTTGATATTTTTAATTGAATTAATTAATAGATGGAAGATGAGTAAGAATGAGTTATTTTTTATTAAAAAATACTATTTATTCTAAATAAATAAATAAACATACAAAAAAAAGTAACTAGCTAACTAATTAATCAATTAATTATTTAGTTTATCGTATCCAAACATAAGCAAAACCTTTATATATACACATACAATAAAACAATAGAAGTAAGTATATAAGTAAGTAAGTTAATTTGATTATTTAACATAATTCAATTGATAATGGCTTTTTACTGTCTTATTAAGATAATTAATATAAATGAATCTAATTTTATTTAAATTAAATACAACATCTATCATTTTGGTATGTAGTAAAAGGTTTTAATTTTATAGTTTATCTAAAATTTTGGTTTATTGATTGATTCATCATTCTTTGTTCGTTTATTATTTATTTGTCCTAACTAAGAGTATTATTATGAGATGTAATATAAAGATTAATATATGTTTGTATTATTTTAGTTTTTTTGATAGCAGATTGATAGGTAGGTAGGTATGTATGTATGAATGTAGGTAAATAGATTAAAGAGATAGATATTATTGTTGTTTTAGAGGTAAAAATGATGATAGTTATTACTTACTTTTTAATTAAATTTAGTATTATAATTTTAACTACAGACAGATTCTTCATTTTTCGACAACCTTCATCCAGTTTACAAAGAAAGGTTTTAACTAAGCAGTTTTACCTTTAATCTTTCTTAAGAAAGGATGTTCCTAAATAGATTAAAATATTTATAAATACATTAAATGACGAAAAAGAAGTTGTATTTACTAAGAGTTGAGTGATATCGGCACGTTCATTTTAATCAGACTTTAAGCATATTTCAATAAAGTTAGTAAATTCAGGTGAGTTAATATTTTTCAAAGGAGGGATTTTGAAGTCGATAATATTGTTTAAAACTTCAAAGAAGTTATTTGATCTATTAAATAAAAAAATAAAAAATGATAAATATCAGTCCATTAAAAATGATGATTGAATTAAAGCTCTAAGTAAATAATAGCATAATTTCAAAAGATTCCTAATAAAAACATTTATTAATTCCTGTATTTTTCTGCTATTTTTACTAAATTGCTTTAGAAATATTTATTCATTCACTATTTATTTTTTATTTAATTCATTACGCTTATATGGGGTGTTTTCCTTCAGAAAATTCAATCAAAAGTAGACCTACACTCCATATATCGGTTTTCATTGTGTAGCTGTCTCCATTGAGTCTTTCAGGCTAATTGATTAAATAAACAAAAATGTTCATTTTAAAATATAGATGTATTAAAGTAAGATTTATTTACAGACATATAGATGGTAGTACCAACAAAGGTATTCTTTTAATCCATTGTGCCGTTAACTTTACCACAAATACCCAAATCAGAGATTTTAATTTCTCCTTCAGAATTGACTAGAATGTTACCTGGTTTAAGATCTCTGTGGATAATTTTAAGATCTTTGTGTAGGTAGTGAATACCTTTGATAATTTGATAAGTGGTGTAAATCAGGATGGGTTCGCTAACTTATTTGGTCTTCTTCAAGATAGTATCGAGAGTACCCATATCCATATATTCAAGGATCAAGTGAAGCATGCATTCGGTATAGAAAGCACAGTAATATTGAACAATATGAGGAGAATTACAAGAAAAGAGTGTTTTGATTTCCCAGATAAGCTACTTTTAAAACATTTCATCGTCATTTATTCTAATTTCCTATTATCATTTACAATTTATTAGGTATTTCTTATAAAATCAAGCAAGTCAATAAGTAAAATGAATAATTTGTAAATTGAGTTGGCTGGAGCACTTTTCATAATAAATTCTTCTCATGATTTTGTGAGAAAATTAAATAATTTATGTTAGAAAATTTAACTTATCTTTGAATTTGTAAATATTACAATGCATAAGAATAAATTATTTAAAAATTTATGTGATTGTAATAATGATTCGCTAAATTACTCTCTAACGCGAGAGAGCGTGAGAGTTTTATTATTTAGCTTATTTGCATATAGATGATCATATTTGTACAAATCGGCTAGTAAATATTAAGTTTTTGATTAATCGATTGATTGATTTATTAATTAATTTATTAAATTTATGCATTTAATAAAATACTGGCTGATTTAGCTATTAAGACATTTAGTAATATCTATTAATCACTCTGTATGTTTTTCTATATGTAAATATATATATATTCTTGTATATATATGTCTATACTCGTATTTTATTTGTTTATTTTATTGATTGTATTAAGACTCTACTTTTGCAGGAATAGTATAGAAATTATATTCATTATTTTGAGTTATTTCTGATTAAAAGTAGCTTTTATATTTTTTTTTTACTTAAAATTTAATTCCAAGTAGAGAAAATTTAGTCCATAAGTCATTTTTTATGTATTTATTGATTATTGATTCTATTTATGCTTACTTGCTTGCATATATTAAAGGAAAATTATATTTACCTTTTTAGCGTAGAACTTTCCTGTTTCTTTATGCTTAACCTTGAAAACTCTGCCTGAGGCACCTCTACCTAATTCGCTGATAGTTTCGAAATCTTCAAGCTTGAAATCTACATTCTTTTGCATAATCTTGAAAATCTTTTTATCGTGGCTAATGTATTCATCAAAGCAATTAGATTATTGCACTAATTCTTTGAAACGTTCTATTAATTATTTATAAGTATAAAATTAGATGACACATTCTCTACTAAATCTAAAAATTTTGGCTAAATAATTTTGAATATCTCAGATTGGATTTTCATCCAACGCTAACTTTTAAATCTTCTAAGATACAATTTCTATTTTATTTTGCACTTAAACTTTAATTTAATTAAATTGTTTACATAAAATCAAGATGTCGACATCAGATTCAGTCTTTTTCATGCTAATTTATTTTTTAAAAATTATTAAAAATGAAGATAAAATAGCTCTCATTTTCCAACAGCTGTAGCTATTCTCTAAATATTTTTCAAATTTTCAAAATTGCCTCTTTTTATTTCCCTGATTTTTAGTAAAATTTAATGGAATCGCGGGAAATTTTAATGAGACAGCATACTTTTTAGGCATAATAGACTAGCCAGCTAATTTAAAAAATATTCAAAAAAAAGCTTCTGCTGCATTTGAGGGCTAAGACAGTGTTTTATAACTAAGTAAAAATTGCAATTACTTTTCTTATGTTAAATTCATGTTGAAGGATAAACCTTTCTTCTTGTCAGCCATTTCTCTAGTTTAGGGTTATTTAATTTGATTGATTTTTTTTGTTATTTTGTTTATTTATTTATTTAAAAGCTAATAAAGAGCTAATTTGATTAATTTTTTTCAAACTAATTGAATGAATGAATCAATGAATGTTTATTTGTTTGATTTTTGTTTGTTTGTTTGTTTATTTGTTTATCAGCTTGTTTGCTTATTTATCTGATTATTTATTAATTTTTTTTTTGATAATTTTTAATTAATTTTTCTTTGATATTTGTTTAGTCTTTATAGTTTTGTTGTCTTTCTTTAAATCCTGATTGACTGTGATTGTTTGCTTTTTTGTTTGTTTATTTATTTGCTTATTAATTATTTAATTAGTTATTTAATTTATTTATTTACAAGTGAAAGGAATATCAAATGATTAGTGATTTTGTTTTGTTTTTTTTTACTTGTTATTTAATTTACTATTTAATTGTTAAGTTTTTAAGATCTATCTTCCGCCTGTTTATCCTATCGCTATTAGCTATCAGAAGAATAAATATATTTAATCTATGAAACTAACTAGCCTATTTATTGACGACAAAATTCAATCAATTAATAATTAAATACTGCTTCACTTCTATAATTTTCTTCATCTTAATTCATTTAGTGGATGGGACCAGCATGAAAATTTTAAAATATTAAATTCTCCACACCATAAAAAAGGCTATAAAGCTTTAAATTGCATTCATATATTAAATAAAATATAACAAAGATAGAACTATAAAAAATAAGATTTTCCTTCTCATTTTTTGCGTTTTTTTAACTCATTAATTTTTATTTATCTTTGATTTACTATTTATCACCATTTTAGGCAACATTTTTCTTTAAACAACCTTTGTTCGAGTAGCTTTTATTCACAATTAACCATTTTTATAAATCTTCTACTTTGTTGAGTAAATCGTTTAAAAGCTATTAGAAGAAGTAGATTGATAAGTTTGCTATCATGCAAAATGGAATATAAAATTTACAAAAATCCAATAAAATGCAAAAAAACATAAAAATAATTCAGGTAAATATTAATCTTTGGTAAAGAAATTAATTCTGATTGTAAATTATTATAATTATTATTATTTAATTCAAGCATATTAATTTTTGAATTACCTTTTGCATTATTTAACAATGTTTTTAAACTTGTTAAACTGACAGAAAGAAATAATAAATAAGATGAAATCTCTCATTTTTATTTTTGAATGAGCTAATTAAAATAACAATTCAATGTTAATATTCTTAATTTCAACAATTCCTTAAAAAAAAACATAAATAATGCCTTGATTGCTAAATCGTGATAGATAATTTTGAATTCAAAAATACATTAAATAGCTTTAACGCAAAAGGAATTAATTTAAAACGAGAGTTATAGGCTTACAACTGATAAAAATTCTCTAACATTTAAAAAATTGAATTCGAGTAATAATTTGCGTTTTTTATTTGCTTTAGAATCTTTGAAGTATTTTTAATTTGAAATTTATCTATTACTTCTAAATTCTTAAATCATTAATTCAAATATTATCCTCCCAGAAACTCTCAGTTAAATTTTGTAACTTATTTGTTATTTCGAGAAGAGAAACTTAAATACTATCATAGAATTAAAACCAAAATATAAATAAAAGTTGTTAAATTTTAAGCATTTGTAGATTAAACATACTTGATCTTAAAAAATAACTCATAAAATATAAAATGCCAGAGTAAAGGAAAAATTAATACTAGCTATAATATTAAATAAGTTTCACAAAAATAAAAATCAACAAAGTACAATTAAAAATATGATCATTGAATAAAAAAAAATGGTGTAAATAATATTTCTAAACAAATGCATTCATTAAAATATATTTATTAATTTACTATAAAAAATTAAATCAATCATTAATAAGCTTTGATTAAAATTAATCGGGATTTTATTAAAGTATTAAATATAAAATTGAGGAATATTATTTGAAGATAGATTATAAATCAGCAATAATAGATAAAATAATATTTTATAAATTGAATATTCTCATTTTCCTGTTTTTTGATTAAATATAAATTACCTACATTTTTATTAATATAAGAATTTCTAAAAATTTCACTAAAAAATATTATTCCTCTTAACAATCGTAGCGAGGAAATAAGGTAATAATTAATTAATATATGTATTTGAAAAATGTTATGAATTTAAGACTTCAATTTTCCTAATTTTTTATAAAGAGGTAAAATAAGTAGGATATTTCAAATATTATTGGGGTATATTTTACACAAGAGAGTAGCTTTTTGTATTTATTTTTTCTATTTTTTAAGATTTGAAATGAATTATGATTGATATATTTCTACTTCAAATTTTAAGAGAAATCGCCTTTAAAAGTAAAAAAAGGCATAGTTATTCAAGTTAAAGATTTCTCTTTTTTTATGAATAGTTAATATTCAATTTATTTTATTAAATCTCATTTTTAAGTTAAAAAATTAAAATAGTAATTTAAAAGCAAAATAAATTTGAAGAGTAATAAAATAGTTTTTTTTATATAAATTAAAAATAAATTGATCAGGAAACATTTTTACAAATAGATTGATACCTCATAAAAATTTTAAATCATAATTCAAACGAAATAGGAAAGAGTAATTTGAATGAAAATACATTAGAGGTAATAAGGTAATAATTAATTAATAAATGTATGTGTTTGATAAATGTTATGGATTTAAGACTTCAATTTTCCTAATCTTTTAAAAAGAGGTAAAATTAGAAGGATATCTCAAATATTATAGAGGTCTGTTTTATACAAGAGAGTTGTTAGTAGTATTTATAATTACTATTTTTTAAGATTTGAAACGAATTATGATCAATCATATTTCTTCTTCAAATTTTAAAATCGCCTTTAAAAGTAAAAAAAGTAATAGTAATTCAAGTTAAAGATTTCTCTTTTTTTATGAATAGGTAATATTAAATTTATTTTATTAAATCTCTTTTTTAAATTAAAAAAATTATTTAAAAGCAAAATAAATTCGAAAAGTAATAAAATAATTTTTTTTTTTGTTAAAATTAAAAATAAATTGATCAGGAAACATTTTTATAAATAGATTGATACCTCATAAAAAATTGTAAAGCATAATTCAAAAGAAATAGAAAAGAGTAATTTGAATGAAACAAATTTTTTTTTCTTATTGAAATAACAATAATAGATTCAATTAATATAAAAAATAATTTTATTTAAATATATAATTTTAATGAGTAATTTTTTTATTAATAAAATAAATAAATTATATTTAATCTAGATGATTTTTAAAGAGAAGTTTGAGAAAGAATAAATAAATTATGCTTTTGTATTATTGCTTGATGAAATATTGATAAAATAATTGGTTAAAATAATTTGTGGAAGTATCTATTAAATAAGTATCCAAATATAAATGATATGAATTAATTTATAAAAGCAATTTTAAATTACCTAGCCACCTTTGAAAGATTTATTATTACTTGATAAGGCTTATAAGATCTTTTAGAATAAATAAAAGAAGAGAAAAACTGTTTTAATCAAGTAATTTTACTTGAAGATTTTTGCTAATCAAAAAGATAAAAATGAAATTAATATTTTGGTTGGAGTCTAACAAGCCAAAAAAAAAAAATTTGATTTGAGAATAATAAATGTGAAAAATTTTGCAAAAATTAGATAATTGATAGATTTCTGCTAAAAAACTATTAATATTTTACTTTCTTGGGATTAAACAATCAATAATGCCGATCGTCAGATTTTAGATATTTATTTTTGAATTTGTTTGGTAAGAATGAAAATGATCAAACAAACAATAAACAGAATGGACTAAGAGAAATTAGACATAATTCATAAGATAAGTTGTTTGTCAAATAATATTAAGAGAAACTAAGATAGATTGATAGAAAGAAAGGAATAAAGAAACAAAGAGAAATAGAGAGGGAGGAGACAGACAGACCCCTTTTAGCTATAGCAATCAATGATGATAAAGAATGAATAGTAAATTTTAATAAATAAAATGAATGAGAAATGCATTCATTTATTTAGAGAAGATATATATATATCTTAAGATTAAGAAGAAGATCAAAAAATAAAGCAATAAATAATAAAATTTGTGAACAAAAGTTCAATAATTAAATAAAATTAAAAGAAAAAGAAAAGAAATATAATACAAATCTTTATATAATGAGTAAAGCATAAAGTTCATATAAACCTTTATCTGAAGAAGCCACTAAATAAGTTCTCAACAACGCCAATCAACTTCTTGATAGAGTCAGAAGAAACTTAAAAACCGGCGAAGCAATTAAGATTTCCAACGAAGAATATTGCAAGTTGCAAAGGTAAATAAAATAAATAAAAAGATGTATTCTCTGTCCTTTTTTATTTCTATGTATTTTAGCAGCATTCACTTCAATACATAAAGTGGCTAGCTGCGATTAGCAGGCGATTTTTTAAAGAGCGGATCAGGATAAAACAAATTCTAAGGAAAGGATAGAGTATATTTGAAGCGGTGAGATGAGTGTTGTCGTCTTCGAATTGGATATGGATGCAAAGATATTTTCTGAAGAGGTAGTAAACTACCTAACGTTTTCTGATGCCTTTCCTTTGTTTTTAGTTTTTTTCTGATCTGGCTTTTTGAAGAACAAATAAAAAAAAGGCATAAATGTCTTTACGAATGTGAAAATAACTTATTATTTTTAATACATAAAAGCGAAATCCGTAACACAGATCAATTCAACCTCATTGGAAACTGGCATAAGGAATAGATTTTAAATTATGTTAACAGCATTAAGATTGATTTAGATTCAAAGACAAATGTCCCTGAAGAAGAGTACATCAAGCTTATTTCCAAGCATTATTACGACTTTTAGATCTTAGTTATGTGGATTCAAAAGTTTTTGATGAGTCATGAAACTTTCTACTTTAAGGCTTAGTTATAAACAACTTGTTTCAAGAAAAGCTTCGAATTTTTCCGTGACGAATATTTCTTAGGTTTAAAGGACAGATTAATTGAAAAGGTCTTCAAGTTCGTCCAAAAGGCAAGACAAAACGTTGATGTCCCCAAGGAAGAACTGAAAAGAGTTGTATAAATTTATGATGATCAAGATTTCGGTAACGATATCAGAATCGAAGAAGATAGACAAAGTCACAAGTTGCGTGTCATCAGTGATTCTTCTTCCAACAAGCAATCTAATAATTATGTCGATTTGTTCGAAAAGCCTTATTTAGTAGAGGTATTTAAAACTATTTTATTTTAAATATATTGCATTTCCAAAGTCGCCTATCAAAACACATCCAACATACTCGAAAAAACAATCGAGGAATTCTAATTCGCCCAAGACACTTCCCAAATAATTTTATATTTTCTTTCATAAATATCTTATTTTTACTTTGATTTAAGACCTTATTTGATCTTATAAGCTAATTCTGATCGATTCCTTATCTTAAATTTTGTCTAATTCTTGTATATTAGAATATAGCTTCACATTTATTAACTGATCTTCAAATTTATAAAACAATTTTCTTTCCAAAGCAAAAAAAAATAGTAGCAAACTCAAAGGTCCAATAGTATTATTATCAAAGCATAGCCTTTAATTAAAACAGGCATCCATTTTATCCCATTTTTAGCAAGCATTAATAAGTAATAAAAAAGAAAACCGCACTTTAAAAAAAGATAGAAAAAATCAAATATTAAAGAATACACAAAATTTAGAAGCAATTAAACAAATAAAATATATCTAAGTCAAATAAATATAAATAATAAATAGCTTGATATTTTTTGCTTCTTAAGAGGAAATTTATAAATAAGATTTATATCTTGATTCATTCATTCATTGATTGATTATGATGAATATTCAATTCAAATATCTTAATTAATTATTAAATAGATTGAAAAGCATTTCCAAAAGCAAGCATCTTTATGGACTGATAAGACCACTCCTGAATATGTTTAGGAAGCCCTTATCGCCTTGAATAAGGAAGAATAATTGTGCTAGGATTACTATCCTCGTTCAATGAACCCAATCAACCAAACAATTAACGGAATTATTATTAAAGATCAGACTCAATACTTATTAGAACATAGCACTGGTATTGAAAATATGTTAAAGAATGGCAAGGATAATGAAATGAAAGATTTATACAAACTCCTCTGCAGAGTTAAAGAATCCCTCGCCTAACTTGGTCAAAAGGTCAGAACATACTATCAAAGCTGCATCAGTCAAAAATGCAAAGATGCCAAGGAAAAGATCTCTGCCTTCAAGCCTGACAAAACAAAAAATATCAGAGACTTTACCAGTAAATAAACAATTTTATTTAAATCCAAATTAAAAATATTATTCTTTTAACTAAAGAGGAAACTGCCATTGAATGGGTTAAGGGATTAATTGAATTCAAAATCTTTGTTGATAACCAAATCTCAACTCTCTTCTCCAACGATTTAGAATTATAAAAAGCTAGAGACAATGCTTTCTAAATTTCTCTCAGAGAATTCAAGGAGTCTCCTCACTTCTTATCTCAATATTGTGATGACTTAATGAAACAATGTAACAATTTATTCATTTGATTGTTGTAATTTAAGCTTCTAGCAAACTAACTAAATAAATTAATAACTATTTGAATAGAATTGACTGATCACGAATCAAACGATAGATAAATTGAAGTTAATGCAATTTTCGATTATATGAACACATCCAGAGATGAATTCTTACTCCATTATCAACAAGCTTTGTGCAGACGTTTGATCGGTTTTACCTCAAAGAGTATGGCTGCTGAAAAGCAAATTGTTACTAAATTCAAGGTATTTCAATTATCTTTTAAAATGCTCATTCAACAATTATAAATTATAATAAACAGAACTCCGTAGGTGCTCTCCCTACCTTAAATAGATTATAAAATATGTTAACTGATGTTGAAACCAATGAATAGTACAATAAGGAAAAAGTCTAAAATGACATCCTTAAAATTTATGTTCTCAACTCAGTTGCTTGGCCTCTTAAGAGAAATGAATTGGAAAAGATTATCTTCCCATCCTCTTTTGCTGGCATTATTGATTAATTCACTAAATAATATAACCAAACTTACAAACAAAGAAAAATTTTCTGGTTATTCAACGAAGGTTCTGCTGAAATCAACTTCACAAGTGCTAATAAGAAGACCTTCGCTGGTAAATATATCTTAAGAACCACTTCCTATTAAATGCTTATCTTGATGAAGATGAACGAAAAGGCCTCCATCACCATCCAAGATTTAATGGACTAAACTGGTATTAACAAAGACTCCTTTGATAATAATCTTAAATAATTAATTAAACTTAAAATCTTATCTTGTGCTGAAGAAGATAAATACACTGAAAGCTCCACTGTTCAAGTAAATGCCTAATTCGATTTCCCTAAGAAGGTCGTTCCTTGTCTCCCTCGTGCTCCTACTTCTGTAATTTATTCATCTTATTAATTTAATTTTTAAAATATAAAAGTGTTAAAATGCAGTTCAATAATATATTTTATTAATTTACAAAAAGGGTCCTGGTGCTAACAATCCTAACATCTAGGCTATTGTAGAATAAGAAAGAACTTACATCATAAAGGCTTATTTGGTAAGAATCATGAAGGGCAGAAAAGTTATGGCTCACAACGATTTAATTAAAGAATGTGTTGAACTTATTAAAACATGTGCTCGTACTTTCGAGCCTAGTTTCCCTCATATCAGAAAATGCACTGAAAGTTTAATAGAAGAAGAATACATAAAGCGTTAAGAAAACGATTACAATAAATATGAATATATCCCTTGATCAATTTACTTATTAATCTAGTATTTCATATGTATCTATTTATCAATCAACCTACATAATTGTCTACATTTTTTAATCCCTCGAAATTCTACAATTTATAAAAAACTTTTTATAATCTTCTCTCATATTTATTTTCCTCTGAAAAAAAAAGAATACCATATCAGCTTATTTATTTGTCTATTTATCAATTTACTTCCTTGTATTTTTATTATAATTACGAAAATTTCAAATTCTAATTAAAAAAATAAAATAAATTAAGCCTTAAATTGATGAGTAATCAATCAATCTTTCAATAAACAAAAGATTTATTTCAAATGTTAAAATCTTCTAAATTCTATTTTTTGTTATCAAAAATGATATTTTATAATTTTCAATAAAAAGTTAATAAACACCTTTTTTTAAATAATTTAAAAATGATAATTAATATTAAATTAAATTCTTAAATTTTATTTAAAAAAATTTAACATCGTCACCAAAACATAAAATCCAACACCTATTTATACAATCGCCTTTTTAATTTAGAGTTTAATATTTATTTTATGTAAAGTTAATGCTTTTATTTATGAATAATATAATTAAAACTTAATATAAATATATGAAATTAGTTTATTTATTTACTAAATAATTTTATATTTAAATAATAATTTATTATATTTTTATAGATAGATAGTTAAACTTATTTTTTTATTTTTTATAAATTCTATTTATGGAATATTTTTAGTAAATCAGTTTTCTTGAAAACTCTCGCATATATTTTTACTTTCTAGCTCAAAAGCTTAGAGTTAGCTGCTGATAAGGCCATAATGTTAAAATATATCTCTAAGAAACTCAAAACTTTTGGTTAAATAAAAGAAATCTTTCCATATAATATGAATAAATGAGAAGAGTTCATCAGTAACTTTTTGAAGGGAGTTTTTAAGAATCTCTTATCTATCAAATTCGCTTAATTAAACACCATTTTGGATTAATAAGCTTTCTTAAACCATATTTTGTGTTTCGTACTCCAATAAGTTGAATACTTGTAGCATAGCTGGATATTTTTGTTATTTTGATTTACAAAAGGAAAAGCATTTTTTATAGAAAGGAGGTGGTAAAGACCTTCTATTTTAAAGAAGAGCATTATTATTTTATTCTTAATTATTTACAATGATGTTGCTGCTAATATTAGACTAAGCAAATATATTTATTACATTATTCGTATGATTGTTCAATGTATTTATTTAATTATGACTTTGACTGTTATTGTCATGACTATTCAATAAAATAGTTTCTAATTGAATTGGATCTATGATGTATTGACTTACTACTTACTTCATAGAAAATGAATTTCCATGATCGAATTCATAACTTATTTCTTCATAGCACTCAAGAAGTTTTTCAAAACTCTTAATATTCTTAATTAATGGATACTTGTTAGATAATAGCTCTAGTTTTTAAATATAGTTTTATCCTTGTAAGCTCTTTTTTTCAATCTGCTAATCCATGTGCTTTAAGAAATTCCTAAAAGGTTCTTAAACTTCATCTCTCTATAGACAGAATATCAGATAAAAATTAATCTATTCATCTTTGTCTCCTTTGGTATCCAACAATTGTTTTTCGTTGGGTAGAGGTATTGGCTTTCTTTGAGCCTACTTCAGAGGAAAGTAGACACAAAATATGACATTTATGAGAGTTCTCAATTCATTACTTGCAAATATGATATAAGTTCCATAATCTGTTGAACTATGACAATAATTATGTAAATCTGCAATTCCAGCATATAAGGAATAGCTGACTACATTCAATATAAAATTAGAAGACAAAATAATAAAGATTTCTGTGTTCATTCTATATATCGGTGTCACATCTTTCATGAAGTAGAACAGTGTAAAGTAGATGATTGTCTCAATGCACTAAACAGGCACCCAAAATTACTAAACATTATTTGTATATCCTTTCTCAATAGGTAAGACAATTTTCTCTGCTTAATTGCTAAAAACCAAAGGAAGAGAAATTGTTAACGATACGACAATCGCAGCTATAATCAAATATAATTCTTTCTAAAAGAATTTGTAAATGAAGTTTATTTCTCTGATCCTAAAAGCATAAACTAACCTAGAAACCTTCGATATATAAATAGTAGCCATAAAAAAGCGAGATGTGATATAAAAAGCTTTAAAGACAGTCTCTGATTTACCATCAACAATGTAAGTAAGATTACTGCAAGAGTTGTAAACAATCAAAATAATAGGTTACATAAAAAAACTGATTCCGCTTGCTATCAAAAAGGATAAAGTGCAGTATGTCGATCTCTCTTTAACTGGAAACCAAAACTTTCTTTAATTCCAAAAAAAGATCAGCCAAATAAATAAGATCATAAAAACTACAACTAAAATGCAAAGTATAATTCCAAATGCTAAATTATCACTGAACATATCATTAAAACACAGCTTATCTTCAGGATTACTGTCTAGCTACTGCTACTATAGTCTATAAAACTTTTAATAATCTATCACATTTAAGCCATTCATCAATAAATTTGTATAAATAAATATCTTAGTTTTATTCTTTAATTTCTTTAATGAGTAAATATTCCAATTTTGATTTATTTCTTTTAATTTAATTACACTTATTTAAATGCACTTATCAATTGCTATGCATACTATTGTTAATATTTTGAAGATCAGCCTCAATTCAAAAACCTATGTATGTAAATATGTATAAACCAATCCACTCAAGTAAAATACATGAATAATTACACATTAAGAGCTAACCTCTTGTCCATTAAATCAATTTTTGGTAGTCAATAATTAGAATTATGAATCTATTTTAATAATAATTAATTAATGAGCCAATTCAATCCAAATAAATGAATATTTTTTCAACCTAAATTTAATAATTTTGTTTTCACCCAACCAAGCTCAATTAATCTACAAAAATCTTTTAGATAAATGAATATCTTAAATTTTACATCAAATAAATATTCTTATTTTATCTCTTACTCATACAAAATATAAAAAAGTAAAACAATATTAGCAATAATTCTTCTTTTTATTGGAAATTGAAATAGTGAAATTATTTTAATAATAAAAAGAATTTAATAAGTTTCTTTAATTTTTTTTATAAGCGAATATATAATATTTCAATCAACAAATATTTTTTCTTTACATTATTTTCCAATAAAACTATCCTACATAATAAAAATATTTTTAACAATAACTTATCTCATTTTTAATAAATATTGATCAAAAAATGTTTTAAATATTATCTTACAAAATACTTGTTTAATTAAACATAATGATACATTAATAGAAAAACTTAATTTTTTTTTGTTTTAAATAGAAATATGCTGTTATTTTTAAAAATATTCATATGAAATAATATTTAAAAACTTTAGTTTTTATTTAATACTTATATTTTTTCATACTTGTAAATCATATTTCATTAGAATTAACATAATTTTATTTATAACAAGTCTTTTATTTTCATTTAATATTTTAAATAAATTTACTTTTTTACTCAATAAATTCAATGTTAATTATATTAAATTTTTCAATAATTGTCACTTTTATATTTATTTTTATTTGATTTTAGAATATAATCTAATAAATAAATAAAATGAAATTGAATTTGTTTGTTTAAAAAAGTTTGTTAAGTACTCTATTAATAATATCAAAAAATTAAAAAAATAATAAAGATATTGCAATTCATTTCATAATGCCCGCCTAGCTCAGTCGGTAGAGCGCAAGACTCTTAATCTTGTGGTCGTGGGTTCGAGCCCCACGGCGGGCTAACCGCCTTTTTTTTTTTTTCAATAAACAATTCAATTATAAGAAAACTAAATTGGAAATAATTAATTCTAAAATCAAAATAAGTAGAAAAAATAAATTTATTTTTTAATTGTTTTAATAGTTATAAAAATAGAATATAAATTAAAAACTCAAATTAATTTTAGAATATTTTTATATTATGATTTGATGAAAAGGCAAAAAAATAAAAATATCTTTAATTATTGATTGATTGAATTCATTTTAATAAATTAGCTTCAATAAATGTTATTTGCTTCATTAAGCTATCAAAAATTGTTGGCAAGGAGTCATCTAGAGCGTGATCTGACTCTGGATAAATGTAGGTTTAAATGTCAGTACCGTTGAATACGCTTTATGCATGATAAGCTAAACTCTATTGGTAAGGAACTCTTCTGTCTTTTGCTCCAACTAGATTTAATGTAGTTAATTTATTAGGCAAACTCATGGGAGATTACTCAAACATAGTTTTGTAATCGTCTCCAGTCAAATTCCATGTCATATTTTTACCAAAACTTTCTGCAACACACCAATCAGGAATATCTTAAATGAAAAATTATGGTTTTTTTATAGGAAATTTAAACATTAAAAAATTTACCTGTAATATTTATATTAAAAGGAATGTTGACAACAGGATTTAATAATATGCCGCATCTGAATTTGTTTGGATGTCTAGCAGCTAATATGCCTGTCATATAACCTCCATAGCTTCCTATTTATTTTAACAAATTATCATTTAGTTAAAAAATAAATTATATTTTATAGAATTATTATTTTACCTCCCATAACAATAATTTTGGTTGGATCGCAGAGCTTCTTTTCTATTACTTAATCAATCATGTCAAGGATTTCTTTAGTGTCAGTATCACCAATTTTAGTTAAGAGCTTGTTGATATAATCTTGGCCGAAACCTGCAGTACCTGTGAAATTAGGTGCTAAAATATTGTATCCTTGAAGTAAGAAATACATACGAAGGGAAGTAAAATCTCCACGAGTGCTTCCGTGAGGTCCACCATGAATAAAGACAATTAAAGGTCTTTCTTCATTTTTATAAGAAAGTGGGTTCAATTTTTCATTATTTTCATAAAGTTCCTTTAACTCCTTTGGAGCTTCTTCATTATTGAATTGGCCAATTCTCCATAAAAAGCCTCTAGATTCACCAGATTTTAAGAGTGTTTCTTCTAAGTTTTCCAATCCAAACTTTCTAAGAGCAGGGAAGATGGAAGATGCTCCGTTTGTTAAGGTAACGTATTACCATTAAGCATTATTAACTATAGTTTTGACGTCTTAGGTTAAATCTAAGTTTTTGAGGAATGCAAAAGACGATGGTCCTTTCATATTTACATGAGAAGCAAAGAGAGTGTTGTAAATAGGGTTGTAGTTTAATATTTAAAAGACATCTGACAATGTTTGATTGACCTAAAATCTGCCAACTTCTTTAGTTTCTGTATTGACTAAGAATGTTCCAAGTGATCCTGAATAATTGGTTGTAAAAATAAAATGCTTGCTATCATTTAGCCAGAAGAAGTTCTTTAAATCGTCATAATATCCACAAATACCCATAAACTCTCCTGTTTCTGTTAAATTTTCCTTTCTGACTGGAATTATTTCTTTAATGCTCCAATCTTCAGTGCTAATAATCTTCATAGCCAGATAGTTTACGTGAGCAGGGCTAACTGGAGCACCAAAGTAAGCAATCTTTTTACCGTCTGGACTGATAATTGGTCTGAAAGATGCTTCATCATTGCTCAAAACTTTGAATTCAACTTACTTCTTCTCATTTTCTTTCTTTTCAGCTATTTTTATTTTGTAAAATTTTGATTAAAATTATCACTCATTTTTCTCACTTATAATTTATTTGTATTTTAATAGGATAGATAGATAGATAATAAATAAAGCTTTCAATTTGTAATTTGTTAAATGTTTTGAATAAAAAAATGATTTTATCAATGGTAATTTAAATCAAAATAAAAATTGTATAAAATTTAGGAAATCTAAATAAAAATGTTTTCTAAGCTAATTCTTTAATGAGAAAATGAAGGAAATTCTTTCTAATTTGATTTGATTTGCTGACAATATATAAAATCTTTTAGCTTTTTCTTATATGAAATGCCAATTTTTTATTATGAATTTAATATTTATTACCTTCTTATTTATTATCTTCTTTGCTTGTATCTTTAGGAAGCTTTGGGAAGAGCTAATTACGTTGTGGCTTTTCGAGGAAATAAATATCTGTGTATCTGTTGAAACAGTGAAGTATGCCATACTTAAATTCAGGGTGGATTTTATATCCTTAAAACAAGATTTACTCTCCTTTTTCATCAAGGTATTGAGGATAACATGGGAAGACATTTTCAGGAATATCAATTGAATAAAGAGTGGCTTGTTCGACATCATATTCGAATAATTGAGTTTTAATGGTTCCTCCTGACTTTTCACCAAAATCTTATTCGTATTTATTATTTCTAATAGCATCAGCCAAGTCTGCATCAGATTCTACTTCAAAGTAAGACTTAGTAGGCTTAGTTTTAGTCTATTTTTATTTTAAAATTAAAAATTAACTCATTTTAAGTTTGATTTATTTAATTTTAGATTAATTGAAATAAATGATGAATTACTTGAGCGATGTAAAGGAACTTGGTTTCAGATTTATTCCATACAAATGCTGGACCTACAATAGCATCATTTAAAACTTTTTCATGATATTCAGCCAAACTTGCTTGCTAGATTACATCTTCTCCTTTGTAAATCTCAATAACACCATTCGTTTTTGTTTTAGTTTTGTCGGGGATCTACTAGAGAGTAGCTCTGTATTAAAGCTTAGGTGATGTTGTTGAAACAGTGGGTGATATTTAAACGGGGAAGTCATTTAGCTTTTATCCGATTTCTCTTGATGAGTTATTAAAAGAATAAAAGTTAGAGTAATTATATGTGGCATTATCTCTAAAATTATTCTATGACCAATTTACTCGCAGTGCTTATTCAGATACCATTTCAGCTGAAGATACACTATGAGAACTCTAGAACACCCTCTCTAAGAATTTAGTTATTAATTTAATTCTTTTACTGTCCATCTATCTATCTATACCTATTTTATAATTTGCTTATACTTTTCTAAGTTAATATTTATAATTAAAAACAAACTTTTTTAATTTAATTTTTTACAAATAAAACAACAAACTAAAAAAATAAAAACAAATAAATATCTTTTCTGAATAGATTATATGAAACACTATTTCTGATATCTCTTTGTGCCTAAATTAGATTTCTATGAAATTTCTATTATTATTCTATTTTGGAGTTAATCAAGCTTTGAATAAAAATATTATTTAATAAAATATAATCAATGGAAGTTTATTGATTATTTACTAATATCTTAATTTTAAATTCTAAAAACATTATCAACTCTGAAAAATTAAAGAAAATAACTTAGAAATATGTATTCATTTCATAATGCCCGCCTAGCTCAGTCGGTAGAGCGCAAGACTCTTAATCTTGTGGTCGTGGGTTCGAGCCCCACGGCGGGCTAACCGCCTTTTTTTATTTTTATTATAAATTAATATGATAATTTATATTCTTAAAATACAAAGGCTTTGTAATAACAAATATTGAAGTGTTGAATATATTTTTACAAAATATCAAAATAGCTTTTACCATTTTTCCTACTCTTTTTTAATCCATATTTATAAACAGATGAATAAAAACTACTAAAAACTTTCAATAAAAAGCTTTTTATGATTTATCATCCTATATAAACTAACTAACTAACTAACTAACTAACTAACTAACTAACTAACTAACTAACTAACTAACTAACTAACTAACTAACAAACTAACTAACTAACTAACTAACTAACTAACTAACTAACTAACTAACTAACTAACTAACTAACTAACTAACTAACTAACTAACTAACTAACTAACTAACTAACTAACTAACTAACTAACTAACTAACTAACTAACTAACTAACTAACTAACTAACTAACTAACTAACTAACTAACTAACTAACTAACTAACTAACTAACTAACTAACTAACTAACTAACTAACTAACTAACTAACTAACTAACTAACTAACTAACTAACTAACTAACTAACTAGTTTGATAATATAACAACTAATTAAAAATGTGCACAAATAATATATTTTTTCTTACTATCAGTCTAAATTTTGACTTTCTTTTCTTTTAAAGATCAACAAAGTAAATCATGGGAATGTTTATTATATTATATAACTATGAAAATATTTAAATTTTGCAATTTTAATTTAACTACAAATTGTATTTTTATAATCCAAAAAATTTTTTTCAGATTTTGAATTTGATAAAAATGGATGTATTTAGTTAATTAGTTATTTGTATATTTTGCTGATTAAAATATAAAAATTGATAAGTTTATTTATTTATATATAATCTTTAAATATATTTACTTATAATTTAAATTTATAATTTTTAGAATACATTTTTAGACAGAAATGTCAATCAATACATTTCTTATTGATTAGAAATGCAAGCATTAGTTGTTGACCACTTACATTTTTGATTGAAAGAACATGTTTAGCTATCTAAGAATTATTAACATCCTAGATTGGAGCATGCTCCTCTCATGCCAGTAGTATTCCACTAGCATTGAGGAACAGTGGAGCAGTTTTAGCTTTCAGTAAATTGAGTGCAATCAAAATCAAGATAGGAATGACAAGCACCTCTCATTCCAGTAGTTGTCCAGTAGCATGAAGAATTTTATTTGCAAGGTTAAGAATCATTATAATCATAACAAGTAATTTTTGAATATTCTTCCATAGATAAACAAGCACTTCTCATTCCATAATTGAACCACTTGCACTTTGAATTAAAACCACAAGTTTTGTCATCTTTAAACTATTCACATCCTAAATTAGAGCATGCTCCTCTCATACCAGTAGTATTCCATTAGCATTGAGGAACAGCGGAGCAGTCTTAGCTTTCAGTAAATTTAGTGCAATCAAAATCAAGATAGGAATGGCAAGCACCTCTCATTCCTGTTGTGGTCCAATAACAAGTTGGATTTTACTTACAAGGAGCGCTATCATTGAAATCTGAGCAAGAAAGACTGGAGTATTCTTCCAAAGAGAGACAACCAGCACCAATACCAGCTTCAAACCATTTGCATTTCTATTAATTGTAGCCACAATTTTAGCTATCTTAGAATTATCTACATCCTAAATTAGAACAAGCTCCTTTCAAACTTGTACTATGCCATTAGCATTAAGGAGCATTAGAACAACTTTGGCTTTCCGAATATTGAGTACAATCTAACTCAAGATAGGAATGACAAGCGCCTCTCATTCCAGTTGTTGTCCAGTAGCAAGATATATTTTATTTGCAGGAAACGCTGTCATTAAATTCTTAGCATGCGGTAGAATTTTCTTGGCTTAAAACATCTAAACACTTCTATGCGAAAAAGTCATATCTGCATTTAGCCTAGTGGCATTCAGGCATATTTTTAATTTCCTTACAATCCCCAGCCAATGTAGTAGAAAGGCATAAGGAAAAAAACAAAACAAAAAGAGTGGTTTTGCTCATTATTATTTAGATTACTAATCAATATTTGCTTAGATTTAATTAAAATATTTGATATTATAGAGTTTTTCTATGTTTTTACCACATATATAAATACAATCCCGAATTGGCTAAATTTTTAAGTATTTATAATTAAATCCAAATAGTTAACAAATTGAGGAATTTAAATTGTAATTAATTATTCTGATTACTATTTTTTAAAAGAAGAGATGTCCTTTTACTTTTATTCTATGATTTTTAATAGGAGAAAATCTTCTTAGTCAAATTTTTTATTGTATCAAAAAAAACTATCAAAACTAAGTTTAAAATAAATAAATAAGTAAGCTGAGTGAATATTAAATATTAATTTACGCCTTCCATTATTCTTTTATTATAAACTTCTTTATTTAAAGTTTTTGTTTGATCAAAAAATTTCTTTTGATTAGATTCTTTTAATATAAATTTATATTATGCTTATAAATAAAATGCATGCTGAATGTGATAAACTTATTACATTTAAAATATTAATTTCAAGAAATTTATGTCTCAAAATTTTATATATAGTAAAATCTATCTTTACATCAGAGAAAAAATTCTTAGTGTTTTTATTTTACCACTCCACTTCTAAATTTAATAAATTTTTATTTATTTTATTAATCTAGTTTATAGCTTATTTATGGAAGTGCTATACTTAAAATATTTATTTAAGAAAATCTATCACTCACTATCCTCAATTAGGAGTAAAAGCTATTTATTAAATGATTTTCATTAAGAAAAATACATCAAATATATTTATCAGTTTTTAATATAGATTTTTAATAAAATTTCATTTTTTTTAATATTCATTAAATTTCTATATGCTTTTATTAATAATTTCTAATCATAGAATAAATGATTATACTTAAAACTTATAATATTCTATTAAGATTTTTAAAATGGTTTGCATTTTTAATTTCTAAAATTAGTTTTCAAGACAACATAAATAAAAACATTTAATTTTATTTCAATTGTTTCAAACATTTTTGTTTCATTTAATTTTATTTTCATATTGAATTTGAAAATTTAAATAGGAATCTTCATTTAATTTATAAATTAAAAGTTAAGATTAACTCAATTTAATAAAATGTTGATTTTTATTAAAAAATAAAATTGTTGATTTTTATTAAAAAATAAAATTGTTGATTTTTATTAAAAAATAAAATTGTTGATTGCTATGAAAAAATAAAATTGTTGATTGCTATGAAAAAATAAAATTGTTGATTGCTATAAAAAAATAATTTGTTGATTGCTGCTCAAAAAATAAAGTATTTTGAGAAGCACTAAATGGAATTTAGATTTGATATAAAATAAAATTTATCTCACTTTAAACATAGAAATTAATAAAAGCTTTTATTTATTAATAATTTGAATACCAAAATTGAAAATCATCAGATTTGTGAATTATTTAATTTATTAAAGATAATTTGATTTCAACTAAACAATATTAAAAATTTGTTTGTATTTAAAATAAATTAGAGGTTTTTATAGAAATGCAATCGTCTCATTAAGATCATTAGGATAAAAAATTGGTATGGTTACAGAAAATTGCAAAATTACTACAAGAATAGAAGAGTATAGAAATAATCAATTTATAAGCAGGGGAAGGCTCTTATGCAAATGTTATTTTAATTAGAGAATTCTTTAATGAGTATGCTTTGAAAATTATTCCTTTAGATGATGGTTTTGGGAAAGTGTGTCCAATAAAGCTTAGAGAAGCTAAAGAAGAAGCTAAAAAATTATCAAATTGCAATCATATAAATATCATAAGATACCATAAAGAGTTTTAATTAGGGAATTACTACTTTATTTAGGTGGAAAAATGCGAAATGAGTCTTTATGATTGGATCAAGTAGAATTAAGACAAAAAAATCTAAAGATAAATCTTTTTAAAATTTGCTTTATAGATTTTATATGCAGTGGAATACTTGCACTCCAGAGAGTTTGTTTTGAGAGATTTAAGTTTAAAAAATATCCTCCTTGACTAGTTTTAGCAAATTAAATTATGTGATTTTGGTTTAGTTAAAGATGCAAATATTATTAAAGACTAAAATTTTTAGATTTCATCAATTAAAGGTGCTCCGCTCTATTTTCCTCCAGAAATAATTAACAAAGATAACATATCAAGCTGTTTGGAATCAGTTGATGGGATTTAATATCAAGGAAGAGTTATGTAAAATAAACAAGGCGATGTATGGGCTTTTGGAATATGTTTGTATCAGCTTGCAGGAGCTTCTTTTAAAGATGTTGCAAGTCTTAGCTTTGGAAACGAACAATATAAGCACTAAAAACTTGTAGATGATGATATAAATGGTGTTATAAGTAAGATTCTTGATAAGTTTCAATTTAAAAGACCATCAGTGAAAGAACTAATAGAAATTTTTGAGAATCTTAGCTAAAACCTAAATAATTCGATTTAAGATTAATTACAAAGTCTTAGCCTTGAAGACTAATTCTCTAATCTAAATATATAGACATAACCAATATAAAGGAACAACAATTAAAATATTTCATAAACAAATAATTAAATTTAGCTTGGACATAATAGTAACAGCAGCGTTTTAGGTTTCTCTAAAAAAGAAAACCTAGACATGGCTGTAATTGAATGTTATAAAAATTCTATAAAAATAAACCCAAAAAATGAATAAGCCCTATATTAATTGGGAGTTGAGTACAATAAATTGTAAGAATACCAGCTAGCAACTTAATGTTTTCTTTAATTAATTTAAATAAATCCATAGAATTATGATGCACATGTTTAAATAACACATGCATACAATAGAATGAAATTATATACAGAAGCTTATAACTTAGGTATGGTAGCCATCTAATTAAATCCTTAAAACTACATTGGATATTATGAATTGGCTTATACTTTTTACTTTTAATAAATGTATAACGAATCAATTGAATGTCTCTAATAAGCTATTATGTACAACTAATAATCTGAAGAATTATATTACTATGTAGGATTTGCCTTAATTTAGTTATAAAAATATGATGAAAGTATTGAATATTTAATAAAAGCGTTAGAATTAAACCCAAATTATGACTAAGCCTATTAACAGTTGGCTTATATATTTAATATTAAGCAAAAATATGATTAAGCTATTTAATTTTCCTAAAAAGCAATTGAAATAAATCCAAATAATGACTCCGTTTACTATCAGTTGGGATGGGCTTATGAAAAAAGCTATTTAACTCCTCTTGCAATCGATTCTTATAAAAAATCTTTACAAATAAATCCTAATAATAAAGATTCTGCAGAATAATTAAATCAACTATAATTCTTTCAAATAAAATTTTGAAATGGAAAATATGAAGCAGTTCATTTTTATGTGTTGCATTCAAACTATTTTATCATATATGAATTTTTAAAAATATTTTCCGATGATCTTAAATTGATTTTAATTATTATATAAACTTATATCATTTAAATTCATCCAAACATTTAACAAAACAACTTCATTAAATAAAAAATATTCAAAGTAAATTGTTTTTTACTTCAGAATTTAAAAATTTTATATTTTAAATAAAAAAGGGAATATTAATTTATCTTTTAATCTATCTATTTATATTGTATTTCTTCGTTTATTGCTATTCTCTGATAATTATTTCTGTAGTAGGAAATAAATATTAAAAATGTATAATTTATTTGAAAAATTTATCTAAATAAATTAAAATCGCACACACAATTTATGTACTCAACCTCTTTATAATATATAAATCAAAAAAACGTAATGGGATTTGAAGAATAATCAGATAAATAATAAATATTTAAGTCTATTTTAATATTATTAAATTCACCTCAAATAAAAAAAAATATTAAAATTATTTAATGAAAATTAAAGTAAATTAATTAATAGAATTATATCAACATATGAATATTAATCTATGATTATTACTATTTTTATAAGTAAAATTTGTTAATAGAAATATTAACATTTAATAATTAATGCTAGATTAACTTTAAACTTTTTTGGGATTTCTTCATTTAAAATCAAATTTATAGATTTGTATTTGATAATTATTATAATTCATTTGTTTTTTTGTCTAAATTAATTTAATATAAAAGCTAATTAATTAATATACTTATAATTAACTAAATTCCATCAATTCTTATTCTCTTTTTTAGAAAAGAAAAAAAAAATAAATGATATAATAGAATTACTATTTTACGAATTTAGATAAAGTAAATATTTATTTTTTATTAATATTGTTATAAATTATTTTTATTAATAACAAAAGTTTCTAAGCCCTTAATATTAATCGAATAAGATTCTCCATATTAATCTGAAAAAAAAATTACAGTTGATTTATTATTTTATTGTTGTTAAATTCATTTTTTTAATTTAGATTTGATTTACAAGATTATTTTTTAAAATTAAATTATTATCTATATTCATTCAATTTTATTTAAATAAATATTTTTTAATTATTTTAATTTTATCTTATTATGATTATTAAATTTTTATTTTTTTATATTTTACATTTTTTCTTTATTTTTTCCTTAGTACAAACAATTAACAATTATTTTTTTCTTCAATATTTAAAAAGGGATAATAAAATTGGTGCATTAAAATTAGCTTCTGGTTTAGGAAAATGCACTAATCTCTAAAATTTGACTCTTAATCTTTAGTAAAAAAATTTATTTATTTTGGATTGTGATATTTTTGAATATAAAAATGAATTTAAAATAAAATTACTTTGGGCGGGGGTCCCTTCTATTAAATTTTTAAGTAAATTATTTAAGAATTTTCACCTTATCTAAATTTTACATTCAAAAATGAATATACTCTGCAGTGACTCCCTCCTCCTTTATTTCTTTGTTTCTTTTTTAATTTTACTCATTTTTTCATTTTCAAAATTTGCTTTTATTACTAATTCTTAACTTATTTACATATTTTTCTTTATTTTTTCCTTCTAACTTATAAATTAACAATACATATTTTCTTCAATATTTAAAAAGGTCGAATAAAATTGATGATAAAGACGCATCAAGGTTAGGTTCTGGTTTAGGATAGTGCATTAATCTCTAAAATTTGGAACTTAATCTTAAGTAAAAAAGTTTATTTGTTTTAGATTGTGATATTTTTGCATTTTAAAATGAATTTAAAACAATATAACTAACTAACTAACTCTTTTACATTATTTATTTAAGAGCTTTTTTTTACTCTACTTGTGTTTTTTTTATTTATTAATTTGTTTCTTAATTTAACTCATTTTTTTTACAAACATTGCTTTTATTATTAATAAATTTCTTATTATTTTCATTTTTTTCTTTTAACTAATAAATTAACTAATATTTTCTTCAATATTTAAAAAGGTCGAATCATATTGATCTAAATAGTGTATCAGGCTTATGTTATGGTTTAAGAAATCGCACTAATCTCTAAAATTTGACACTGAATCATAAGTAAAAACAGTTTATTTGTTTTGGATTATGATATTTTTGAATATAAAAATTAATTTAAAACAAAATAACTCTTTTAATTTATTTATTTATAAGCTTTTCATTTTATTTATTTTTCTTTTTTTATTTGCTTGTGTTTTTTTTATTTGTTTGTTTGTTTGATTGTTAATTTTACTCATTTTTAATTTTCAAATTTTGCTTTTATTGTTAATTCATTTCTTTTTATATTTTTTCTTCATTTTTTCTTTTTAACTTACAAATTAACTATTTTTTTTTATTCTCAATATTTAATAAGGTCGAATAAAATTAGTAAAATTAGTAGAATAATAAAATAGAAATAATCTAACTTTTTAATGTACTTAGGATATATCTTTGCTCTAATATTAATTTCTTTTCTTATCTGCTTATCTGGTATTTTCATAATTATTCATTTTCATAACTTTTTTGGTTATTTTATATTTTTTAAAAGTTAAGGTTACATTATTAGTTTGTTTGGTTTATATAGTTGTAGTTTGTAGAGGTGCTTTACAAAATATTATAAAAAATGGAGTCTGTCGCAGAAAAAAGTAAAAAAAAAAATATTTTATTTCTCCGGTCCCAATAAAATTTATAAAGAATTAATTGGACAAACTATACTTTTTGCACCAAACCTCCCTTTTTATTATATATGTTATATGTTATTATTTATTTATTTTTCAGTTAATTTTACTCATTTGTTCATTTTCAAATTTTGCTTTTTTCTTCATCTTTTCCTTCTAACGAATAAATTAAATACATATTTTTTCTTCAATATTTAAAAAGATCGAGTAAAATTGGTGATGAAGGTGTATCAGGTTTATGTTTTGGTTTAGGAAAGTGCACTAATCTTACATATTTGATACTTAATTTAAAGTAAAAACAGTTTATTTGTTTTGGATTTTGATATTTTTGAATATAAAACAAAAAAACTAACTAACTCTTTTAATTTATTTATTTATGAGCTTTTCATTTTATTTATTTTTGTTTTTTTTTATTCTGGCGATTTTTTAATCCAAATTTACTATTATTATTAATTTATTTCTTATTATTTCATATTTTTTCTACTTTTTTTGCTTCTAAGTAACAAATTAACTCCATATTTTTTCTTCAATATTTAAAAAGGAATAATTCTATTGGTGATGAATGCGCATCAAGCTTAGGTTCTGGTTTAGCAAAGTGCACTAATCTCTAAAATTTGACACTTAATCTTGAGTAAAAAAGTTTATTTTTTGTTTTGGATTGTGAATTTTTTGAATATAAAAATGAATTTAAAACAATATAATTAATTAACTAACTATATTAATTTATTTATTGACTTACTAGTTTTTCATTTGACTTATTTTTCTTTTTGATGTGTTTTATTTATTTATTAGTTTTTTTGCTAATTTTACTCATACTTTTATTTTCAAATTTTGCTTTTGTTATTAATTTATTTCTTATTATTTCATATTATTTCTTCATTTTTACCTTCTAACTAACAAATTAACTCCATATTTTTTCTTCAATATTTAAAAAGGAAGAATTTTATTGGTGAAGGTGCATCAGGATTAGGTTCTGGTTTAGGAAAGTGCGCTAATCTCTAAAATTTGACACTTAATCTTTAGTAAAAAAAAATTTTGAATAAAAAAATGAATTTAAAACAATATAACTAATTAACTACTTTTATTTATTAATGAGTTTTTCATTTGATTTATTTTTCTTTTTTTCTTATTATTTCATATTTTTTCTACTTTTTTTCCTTCTAAGTAACAAATTAACTCCATATTTTTTCTTCAATATTTAAAAAGGGGGAATTTTATTGGTGATGAATGCGCATCATGCTTAGGTTCTGGTTTAACAAAGTGCACTAATCTCTAAAATTTGACACTTAATCTTGAGTAAAAAAGTTTATTTTTTGTTTTGGATTGTGAATTTTTTGAATATAAAAATGAATTTAAAACAATATAATTAACTAACTATATTAATTTATTTATTTATTTACTTACAAGCTTTTCATTTGACTTATTTTTCTTTTTCATGTGTTTTATTTATTTATTTATTAGTTTGTTTGCTAATTTTACTCATATTTTTATTTTCAAATTTTGCTTTTAATTATTAATTCATTTCTTATTATTTCATATTTTTTCTACTTTTTTTGCTTCTAAGTAACAAATTAACTCCATATTTTTTCTTCAATATTTAAAAAGGAAGAATTCTATTGGTGAAGGTGCATCAGGATTAGGTTCTGGTTTAGGAAAGTGCACTAATCTCTCAAATTTGACACTTAATCTTGTGTAAAAAAGTTTATTTTTTGTTTTGGATTGTGAATTTTTTGAATATAAAAATGAATTTAAAACAATATAATTAACTAACTATATTAATTTATTTATTGACTTACAAGCTTTTCATTTGACTTATTTTTCTTTTTCATGTGTTTTATTTATTTAATTATTAGTTTGTTTGCTAATTTTACTCATATTTTTATTTTCAAATTTTACTTTTATTATTAATTCATTTCTTAATATTTCATATTATTTCTTCATTTTTACCTTCTAACTAACAAATTAACTCCATATTTTTTCTTCAATATTTAAAAAGGTATAATAAAATTGGTAAAGTAGGTGCATCAGGCTTAGGTTCTGGTTTAGGAAAGTGTACTAATCTCTAAAATTTGACACTTAATCTTTAGTAAAATAAAATTTTGAATAAAAAATTGAATTTAAAACAATATAACTAATTAACTATTTTTATTTATTAATGACTTTTTCATTTGATTTATTTTTCTTTTTTTCTTATTATTTCATATTTTTTCTACTTTTTTTCCTTTTAAGTAACAAATTAACTCCATATTTTTTCTTCAATATTTAAAAAGAAACAATTACATTGGTAAAGTAGGTGCATTGGGCTTAGGTTCTGGTTTAGGAAAGTGCACTAATCTCTCAAATTTGACACTTAATCTTGAGTAAAAAAGTTTATTTTTTGTTTTGGATTGTGAATTTTTCGAATATAGAAATGAATTTAAAACAATGTAACTAACAAAATAACTCTTTTAACTTATTTTAGAGTTTTTGATTTTTTTATTTATTTGTTTGTTTGTTTGCTTGCAAATTTTATTCATTTTTTTTTCTATTATTTCATATTTTTCTTCAATTTTTCCTTCTAACTTACAAATCAACAATATATTTTTTCTTCAATATTAAAAAGTAATAACGAAATTGGTGATGAAGGTGCATCAAGCTTAGGTTCTGGTTTAGGAAAGAGCACTAATCTCTCAAATTTGACACTTGAAATTAAGTAAAAACAATTTATTTACTTTGGATTGTGAATTTTTCGAATATAAAAATGAATTTAAAACAATGTAACTAACAAAATAACTCTTTTAACTTATTTTAGAGTTTTTGATTTTTTTATTTATTTGTTTGTTTGTTTGCTTGCAAATTTTATTCATTTTTTTTTCTATTATTTCATATTTTTCTTCAATTTTTCCTTCTAACTTACAAATCAACAATATATTTTTTCTTCAATATTAAAAAGTAATAACGAAATTGGTGATGAAGGTGCATCAAGCTTAGGTTCTGGTTTAGGAAAGTGCACTAATCTCTCAAATTTGACACTTAATCTTGAGTAAAAAAGTTTATTTTTTGTTTTGGATTGTGAATTTTTCGAATATAAAAATGAATTTAAAACAAAGTAACTAACAAAATAACTCTTTTAACTTATTTTAGAGTTTTTGATTTTTTTATTTATTTGTTTGTTTGCTTGCAAATTTTATTCATTTTTTTTTCTATTATTTCATATTTTTCTTCAATTTTTCCTTCTAACTTACAAATCAACAATATATTTTTTCTTCAATATTAAAAAGTAATAACAAAATTGGTGATGAAGGTGCATCAAGCTTAGGTTCTGGTTTAGGAAAGAGCACTAATCTCTCAAATTTGACACTTGAAATTAAGTAAAAACAATTTATTTACTTTGGATTGTGAATTTTTTGAATATAAAAATGAATTTAAAACAATATAATTAACTAACTAATTTTATTTATTTATTAATTTATTTGTTTATTTTACTCATTTTTTCATTTCAATTTTTGCTTTTATTATTAATTTATTTCTTATTATTTCATATTATTTCTTCATTTTTACCTTCTAACTAACAAATTAACTCCATATTTTTTCTTCAATATTTAAAAAGGTATAATAAAATTGGTGAGGAAGGTGCATCAGGCTTAAGTTCTGGTTTAGGAAAGTGCACTAATCTCTCAAATTTGACACTTAATCTTGTGTAAAAAAGTTTATTTTTTGTTTTGGATTGTGAATTTTTTGAATATAAAAATGAATTTAAATCAATATTATTAACTAACAAATTTAATTTATTTATTTATGACGATTTTACTAATTTGTTTGTTAATTTTACTCATTTTTTCACTTCTATTTTTGCTTTTATTATAAATTTATTTCTTATTATTTCATATTTTTTCTACTTTTTTTCCTTCTGAGTAACAAATTAACTCCATATTTTTTCTTCAATATTTAAAAAGGTAGAATTTAATTCGTGATAAAGGTGCATCAGGCTTAGGTTTTGGTTTAGTAAAGTGCACTAATCTCTCAAATTTGACACTTCATGTTAGGTAAAAACAGTTAATTTGTTTTGGATTGTCATATTTTAGAGAGAGAAAAAAAATGAATTTAAAACAATATAATTAACTAACTATTTTAATTTATTTATGAGCTTTTCATTTAATTTTATTTATTTATTTGTTTGTTTGTTTTACTTTTTTCATTTTCAAATTTTCATATTCTTTCTTCACCTTTTCCTTTTAACTAACAAATAAACTCTTTTTTTTTCTTCAATATTTAAAAAGATAGAATTTTATTGGTGAAATTGGTTCATTAGGCTTAAGTTCTTGTTTAAGAAATTGCACCAATCTCTCAAATTTGACACTTTATCTTGAGTAAAAAAGTTGATTTGTTTTAAATTGTGATATTATTGAATATAAAAATCAACAATATAACTAACTAACTAACTCTTTTAATTTATTTATGAGCTTTTCATTTGATTTATTTTTCTTTTATTTCTTATTTTGCTAAGTGTATATTGATTTAAAATATCATTTTTTTACTTATTTTTTTAATAATTTACACAAATATAAATTAAAAGTGTGAGAAATAGATCGCAAGTGAAAGTAAAATGCCTTAAATCAAAAAGATTAGTTGCTATATAAATATATTCTGAATGATAAAAAAATAAGAATAAATATAAATATAAAAATATTTGAATACTTTAAAATGTTATATATTTTAATATACTGTTATAATTTAAATTAACTTAAAAAATAGAATGAAAGAAAGAAAGATAGATTTATTTTATATTTTTTTTATATTTATAAATATAAGATTTGGTAAGTTGATAAATAACTTATCAAACAAAACAAAATTTAAGGATAAAATTTACTTAAAGTAATAAAAATATATATCCTACTCAAGAATAATTATCTGCGAATAGCTATATCTTGATATATATATATTTATAAATGAATAATTTATTTGAAAAATATCTAAATAAATTAAAATCGCACACTAATTTATTAATTTATGCACTTAACCTATATATATAAATCAAAAAAACCTAATGGGATTTGAAGAATAATTAGATAAATAATAAATATTTAAGTCTATTTTAATATTATTAAATTCACCTCAAATAAAACAATATATTAAAATTATTTAATGAAAATTAAAGTAAATTAATTAATATAATTATATCAACATATGAATATTAATATATGATTATTACTATTTTTATAAGTAAAATTTGTTAATAGAAATATTAAGATTTAATAATTAATGCTTGTTTAACTTTAAACTTTTTTGAGATTTCTCCATTTAAAAATCAAATTTATGGATTTGTATTTGATAATTATTATAATTTATTTGTTTTTTTGTCTAAATTAATTTGATATAAAAGCTAATTAATTAATTAATTAATATACTTATAATTAATTAAATTCCATCAATTCATATTCTATATTTTAGAAAAGAAAAAAAAAATAAATGATATAATAGAATAACTATTTTGAGAATTTAAAAGAAGTAAATATTTATTTTTTATTAATATTGTTACAAATTATTTTTATTAATAACAAAAGTTTTTAAGCTCTTCATTTAAATCGAAGAAGGTTCTCCATATTAATATGAAAGAAAAGTACAGTTGATTTATTATTATTATTATTGTTAAATTCATTTTTTTTAATTTTGATATGATTTACAAGATTATTTTTTAAAATTAAATTATTATCAATTTTCATTCAGTTTTATTTATAAAAATATTTTTTAATTATTTTAATTTTATTTTATTATGATTATTAAATTTTTATTTTTTTTATAATTTACATTTTTTCCTTAAAACTAACAAATTAACAATTTTTGTTTTCTTCAATATTTAAAAAGGTCGAATTAAATTGGTGCTGAAGGCGCATCAAGCTTAGCTTCTGGTTTAAGAAAATGCACTAATCTCTAAAATTTGACACTTAATCTTTCGTAAAAAAGTTTATTTATTTTGGATTGTGATATTTTTGAATATAAAAATGAATTTAAAACAAAATAATTTTGGGGGGGGGGGGGGGGGTGGAGTCCCTTCTATTAAATTTTTAAGTAAATTATTTAAGTATATCTAAATTTTACATTCAAAAATGAATATACTCTGCAGTGACTCCCTCCTCCTTTATTTCTTTGTTTGTTTTTTTAATTTTACTCATTTTTTCATTTTCAAATTTTGCTTTTATTATTAATTCTTATCTTATTATTTACATATTTTTTTTTTTTTCCTTATAACTAACAAATTAACAATACATTTTTTCTTCAATATTTAAAAAGAGAGAATTAAATTGGTGATAAAGGTGTATCAAGCTTAGGTTCTGGTTTAGGAAAGTGCACTAATCTCTAAAATTTGGAACTTAATCTTGAGTAAAAAAGTTTATTTGATTTAGATTGTGATATTTTTGCATTTTAAAATGAATTTAAAACAGTATAACTAAATAACTCTTTTACTTTATTATTTATGAGCTTTTTATATTATTTATTTTTCTTTTTTTTATTCTACTTGTGTTTTTTTTATTTATTAATTTGTTTCTTAATTTAACTCATTTTTTTTACAAACATTGCTTTTATTATTAATTAATTTCTTATTATTTTCATTTTTTTCTTTTAACTAATAAATAAACTTTATATTTTCTTCAATATTTAAAAAGGTTGAATTAGATTGATGAATTTGGTGTATCAGGCTTATGTTCTGGTTTAAGAAAGTGCACTAATCTCTAAAATTTGACACTTAATCTTAAGTAAAAACAGTTTATTTGTTTTGGATTATGATATTTTTGAATATAAAAATTAATTTAAAACAAAATAACTAGCTAACTCTTTTAATTTATTTATTTATGGGCTTTTCATTTGATTTATTTTTCTTTTTTTATTCTGCTTGTGTTTTTTTTTTTATTTATTTGTTGGTTTGTTAATTTTACTCATTTTTAATTTTCAAATTTTGCTTTTATTGTTAATTCATTTCTTATTATTTTATATTTTTTCTTCATTTTTTCTTTTTAACTTACTAATTAACTATTTTTTTTTCCTTCTCAATATTTAATAAGGTCGAATTAAATTAGAAGAATAATAAAATAGAAATACTAGCACTTTTTACTTATTGGATAAGTTGCTCTTTGTTTTATTACTTATCTTATCTATAATATATCAGTCAGGTATTTTCATAATTATTCATTTTCATAACTTTTTTAATTATTTTGTATTTTTGAAAAGTTAAGGCTTCATTACAAGTTTATTTAGCTTATTTAGTTGTACTTTCTGTATACTTATATTTAGCTTAATCAGTATATTCAGTGTAAGTTGATAATGAAGGTGAACCAGTCTTAGGTTCTGCTTTAGGAAAGTGCACTAAACTCTCAAATTTGGAACTTAATTTTGAGTAAAAACAGTTTACTTATTATGGATCGTTATATTTTTGAATATAAAAATGAATTTAAAACAATATTACTAACTAACTAACTCTTTTAATTTATTTATGGGCTTTTCATTTAATTTATTTTTCTTATACTGCTTGTATTTTTTAGTTATCAAATATAATTAAAGTGGGGGTTTGGCACAAATTGACATAATGTACCTCAAAATAAAAATCTGACCCCTCTTTAAAAAATTTATATAGAATTAATTGGATAAACTTTACTTTTTGCACCAAACCTCCCCTTTTATTATATATGTTATTATTTATTTATTTTTCAGTTAATTTTACTCATTTGTTCATTTTTCAAATTTTGCCTTTTTCTTCATCTTTTCCTTCTAACGAATAAATTAAATACATATTTTTTCTTCAATATTTAAAAAGATCGAGTGAAATTGGTGATGAAGGTGCATCAGGTTTATGTTTTGGTTTAGGAAAGTGCACTAATCTTACATATTTAATACTTAATTTAAAGTAAAAACAGTTTATTTGTTTTGGATTTTGATATTTTTGAATATAAAACAATAAAACTAACTAACTCTTTTAATTTATTTATGAGCTTTTCATTTTATTTATTTTTGTTTTTTTTTATTCTGGCGTTTTTTTAATCCAATTTTACTTTTATTATTAATTTATTTCTTATTATTTCATATTTTTTCTACTTTTTTTCCTTCTAAGTAACAAATTAACTCCATATTTTTTCTTCAATATTTAAAAAGAAAGAATTATATTGGTGATAGAATAGAATAGAAATACTCGCACATATAAATGCACTCAGAATACGACTTAAAATTAATTTTATTTTTAATGTTTATATATATATTGGTGATGAAGGTGCATCAGGCTTAGGTTCTGATTTAGCAAAGTGCACTAATCTCTAAAATTTGACACTTAATCTTGAGTAAAAAAGTTTATTTTTTGTTTTGGATTGTGAATTTTTTGAATATAAAAATGAATTTAAAACAATATAATTAACTAATTATTTTAATTTATTTATTTACGAGCTTTTCATTTGACCTATTTTTCTTTTTCATGTGTTTTATTTATTTATTAGCTTGTTTGCTAATTTTACTCATTTTTTTATTTTCAAATTGTGCTTTTATTATTAATTCATTTCATATTATTTCATATTTTTCTTCAATTTTTCCTTCTAACTTACAAATCAACTCTTTATTTTTTCTTCAATATTTAAAAAGGTTGAATTTTATTGGTAAAGTAGGTGCATCAGACTTAGGTTCTGGTTTAGGAAAGTGCACTAATCTCTCAAATTTGACACTTAATTTTGAGTAAAAAAGTTTATTTTTTGTTTTGGATTATGAATTTTTTGAATATAAAAATGTATTTAAAACAATATAATTAACTAACTAACTAATTTAATTAATTTATTTATGAGCTTTTCATTTCACTTATTTTCTTTTTCATGTGTTTTATTTATTTATTAGTTAGTTTGCTAGTTTTACACATTTTTTTGTTTTCAAATTTTGCTTTTATTATTAATTTATTTCATATTTTTCTTCAATTTTTCCTTCTAACTTACAAATCAACTATATATTTTTTCTTCGATATTTAAAAAGTTTGAATTAAATTGGTGATGATGGTGCATAGGGCTTAGGTTCTGGTTTAGGAAAGTGCACTAATCTCTCAAATTTGACACTTAACCTTTAGTAAAAACAGTTTATTTGTTTTGGATTGTCATATTTTAGAATATAAAAATGAATTTAAAACAATATAACTAACTAACTAACTAACTCTTTTAATTTATTTATAATGAGGATTTTATTTATTTATTTATTTGCATATTTATTTGTTAATTTTACTCATTTTTTCATTTCAATTTTAGCTTTTATTATTAATTTATTTCTTATTATTTCATATTATTTCTTCATTTTTACCTTCTAACTAACAAATTAACTCCATATTTTTTCTTCAATATTTAAAAAGTTATAATAAAATTGGTGATAGAATAGAATAGAAATACTCGCACATATAAATGCACTCAGAATACGACTTAAAATTAATTTTATTTTTAATGTTTATATATATATTTAATTATGTATTTTTTAGGTGTACAATCATTTTCGTTCTCATAATTAATAATGAAAAGACTAAAGATAAATTTAAGATTTATTTATTTTTTTTTTGTTTTTTTGATTATTTTGCATACACCCAGTTTCCTCACTTTTTAAAGAGCCTGAAAATTTGATAAAAATAAAATGTAAAATCATTAATTTATTTCTAATTATTTCATATTATTTATTCATTTTTACCTTCTAACTTACAAATCAAATATATATTTTTTCTTCGATATTTAAAAAGTTTGAATTAAATTGGTGATGATGGTGCATAGGGCTTAGGTTCTGGTTTAGGAAAGTGCACTAATCTCTCAAATTTGACACTTTATCTTGAGTAAAAAAGTTTATTTGTTTTAAATTGTGATATTATTGAATATAAAAATCAGTAATATAACTAACTAACTAACTCTTTTAATTTATTTATTTATGAGTTTTTCATTTGATTTTATTTATTTATTTGTTTTTTTTATTTGTTAGTTTTACTTTTTTCATTTTCAAATTTTCATATTCTTTCTTCATCTTTTGCTTTTAACTAAAAAATAAACGCTTTTTTTTTCTTCAATATTTAAAAAGGTTGAATTTAATTGATGAAATTGGTTCATTAGGCTTAGGTTCTGGTTTAGGAAAGTGCACTAATCTCTCAAATTTGACACTTTATCTTGAGTAAAAAAGTTGATTTGTTTTAAATTGTGATATTATTGAATATAAAAATCAACAATATAACTAACTAACTCTTTTAATTTATTTATTTATGAGCTTTTCATTTGATTTATTTTTCTTTTTTTTCTTATTTTGCTAAATGTTTATTGATTTAATATATCATTTTTTTACTTATTTTTTTAATAATTTATACAAATTTATATTAAAAGTAAGAAAAATAGATCATAATAGAAAGTAAAATGCCTTAAATCAAAAAGATTAGTTGCTATATAAATATATGATAAATGATAAAAAAATAAGAATAAATATAATTATAAAAATATTTGAATACTTTAATATGTTATATATTTTAATATACTGTTATAATTTAAATTAACTTAAAAAATAGAAAGAAAGAAAGATAGATTGATTTATTATTTTTTTTATATTTATAAATATAAGATTTGGTAAGTTGATAAATAGCTTATCAAACAAAACAAAATTTAAGGATAAAATTTACTTAAATAAGTTATTCATTCTCTAATATCAACCATTAGATTTTACCAAAATCAATCAAAGCTCATATTAATTGCTAGTTTTATACTAATTCTTATGAAATGATATAAATGTGAAGCTTCTAATTAGATGAATTAATAATGGATATAAATATTATTTAAAACATAATTAAAGATTAAATAAAAATGATATTTTATAAAATATTTAGATATAATTTATTTATTTATTTCTCAATTTTGAGAGTTATAACTAACTTATGAATTCATCTAAGCTAAAAGAGGCAAAACAACTATTCCCAACTAACTTACAGAAGTCTTAGGAAGAGAAGCCGATAAATCTAGAGAAATTAATTGTTGCTACTAATAATGAAAGAAAACCTTAGCCTTTCATGAACGAAATTTCTATTGGTTATTTGTATGAAAATTCAAATTAGTTAGATGAAGCTTTTTAACTTTATTAAAGATGCCTTGAAATTAATCCAAAAAATGATAAATGCTTGGAATAAATGTAAAATTTTAAAAAAAGTTGAATATTTGAGAAAAAGATTTTTAAAAATAAAATTAAAACTTAATATTTTTACTTAAAGTATTGATAGCTAATAGCAAAATAATAATCTAGTGACTGGAGATAAATTTTATTTTTAATGGTATTTATCAATACAAAAACTATTTTTTGACAACAACACTGAGAGTGCAGACCACAAAAAAACTCCACCTGTCTGTCCCTCCCCAAAATAAAAAATATTTTTTAAATAATAAAAAATTTTTTCATCTTATTAAAAAAATATATTACTAAATTAACTAATTTTTATAGGAATTAATGTGCACTCTTTAAAATATCTTTATAATTTATTGATTTTATTTTATTTTAATTATTTAGATTTGACACTTTCAAAAGATTTTCTATATTCAAAAAATGATTAAGATTTAATCAGATTTAATTAAGCATGGTTTATTTTTGAAATTAATCTCTTTATATTTAATTAAAATTAAACAAAAGATATTTATTTGTATTCTTCAAACATAATTATTATCAAATAAATTGCTTTAAATTACTAAAAAGATAAATAAATATTTATGCTTAATTAAAGAAAATATTTTTAAAATCTCAATGATGTAATTAAATATTTTTAAATATGAAACTATATAAATCCATTTTCTTTAATAAAAAGTTTTTAAGCTCTGATTTACTACAGCATACAGAGATAGGCATCGGTTTTAAGTAATAAATAACACATCATAATAAATTTATTAAAAAATGTTAAATAATTATTTTATAATTTGTAAAATTAATAAATTTTTTACATACTTTTATACTAATAATATTTTTTTGCTTGTTTCTATTATCCATTTTTTATTTCTTTTTAATTAATTAATCTCCTTTAAAAATTTTTCTTTTTTATCAACTTTTCTTGTCAATAATTTAGATATTTTTATATTTCTTACAAACATATTAATATAAATCTCTCTTTTTCTTTCAAAATATTAAAGCCAAAATAAAATCGATCTAAATGGGGCTTTACTATTGGGTTCTGCTTTGGCTCAGTGTTAAAATCTTTTGAATTTAACTATTAATCTAGAGTAATTTTTTAATATTGTTTTTAATCTTGAAAAATTTTTATCTATTTATTGTTTATATTCTTTATATATGTTTATATCAAAACATATTAATTCATATATTATTTCAAATATTTAAAGGAGCAATCGTATTGGAGTAAAAGGAGTATAAAGTCTAAGTGCTAGTTTAACTTATTGCAATAATCTCTCACGTTTTCTTATAAATCTTACGTATATTTTATTTATTTATTTATTTATTTACTTTTATTAATTATTGAGCTCTTAACATAATGTAATAAATAAATTTATTGATAAGCTGTAAAACATTTCGAAATGATATTTTAATATAACAATAAAATTATTTAATATGTTTTTTTTGTTGCTTGTTTTCTTTGAACACTCATAATACTTAAAATTTTCTCTCTATTATTATAAATTTATTGCTCCTATTTTTTTTTCCTAAACTTATATAATAATTCTTAATATGAAAAGGGATAATTAAATAGGTGATGAAGGAACAATAAGTTTGGGTTCTGGTTTAGCTCATTGTAGTAATCTCTCAGTTTTAGGGCTTATCCTTCCGTAAAAATAGTTGTTTTGCTTTAATTAGATTTTTTGATATATTTTAATTTTAATAGTCAAAAATTAAATTTAAAAAATATCAACTATATTAAAATTTTCATTTTTTGTAAATTTTTTATCCATTATAACTTATTTTCTCAGAGTTGATTAGTTATTTATTTATTTTTGAATTTGGTCTTTGTTGGATCTCAACTCTTTTTTTTCTACTTCTTTACTTTTTCTCTCAATTTTTTTCTTTTAATCTCTTATACTTTTTCTAAACTATAAAAGTGATAATTAGATTGGCGATGAAGGTATGTCAGGTTTAAGTTCTGGTCTATCTAACTGCACTAACCTCTCTATTTTGAGATTTTACCTCTAGTAAATATAAAATACTTAACTAACTTGCTTTTATTAATATTTTGTATCATTTATTTTTTAATTTTTGAAAAGAAAATAAGTATCAATCATTATATGAAATAATTTGCAAATTTGAATGCTAAAAACTTAAATTATTGCTTTATTCCTTTCTACTTTCATTTGTTTTATTTTATTTTTGCTTAGATACTTAATTCTATTTTTTTTCAGATTTAATTTTCCTTTATATTGATTGTGTGATAATATTTTTATATTTAACTTTGATTATTTTTGTACCAAAATTTTTCCATTAATAAACTTCTTGTTCTTTCTATATTTAAAAGGAACAATTAAATTAAATAAAAATGTCCATAAAACTTTGGTTCTGCTTTAGCTAAATGCAATAATTTAATAGATTTTACTCTTGATCTGTCGTAAAAAATATTTATTTACTATTGTTTATTTAAAAACACACAAATAATTTTAATTGATTAATAATAAAAGTTTTAAAAATGTTATATTCTGTAAATCTTCATTAATTCTGATTAACCAACCTCTACCGTTAATTTTTAAAGTTAAAATGTTATGCCTTAAAAAAAAATACTAATTTAAAAAATCGAGGAGGGAAGTTTTTAATTTAATGAGGATATATATAGTAAATCCTAAATTATTTCATTTTTGCACACTTATTCTTTCAAAATATTAAAAGGGGAAATCAAATTGATAAATAGGGTATGTCAAACTTGGGTTCTGGTTTAGCTTAATTAACTAATCTCTAGGATTTGACTGTTAATCTAAGGTAAAATTAGTTTATTTATCTTTATTAACATTATGTGTTATTTTTTTAGCTTTGAGAAACTATCAAATAATTAAATTTCAATTAGTAAGTAAGTATAAAAATATTCGAAATTAATATTTTTTATTTACTTCAACTTTATGATGTGTCTGTCCTTGATTGATTGTTTAGATCCATATTTTAATATTTGGCTAGTTTATTCATTTATTTGTTTATTTTTTGAAATTTAAATTTTTATTTCGATACAAACAAACATTGACTTTTTTCGACTGTTTTTTATCTTTATAAAATATTTTCATATTTAGATAACATTTTTTTCTAAAATTAAAAAAGATGGAATTCAGCTGATGTTCAAGGTGCATCAAGCTTGGGTTCTAGTTTAGCTCAATGCATTAATCTAACATATTTGACTCTTGATCTTTTGTAAAAACAGTTTATTTACTTTTTTTAATATTTACTAATTTATTTTATTAATTTTGCAAATAATCAAACAATAGTAAATAATTTTTCATTAGAAAATACTAAAAATATATTAGTTGACTATATTTGATAGATTATCAGTGATTAACAATCGCTTAATTTTTTGTTTATTTTTAAAATTTAAATTAGATATCAACAACTTTTCTTCATTTTATAAAAACTATTGACAAATTTTTCTTTCTAAATGTTAAAAGTATGAATAAAATCAGTCCATAAGGTGCTGTAAACTTGTTTTCTGGTTTAGCTTAGTGTACTAATCTTTCAAATTTGGTACTTAACCTTTAGTAATATTAGTTTATTTATTTGAATTATTAATAATTTCTAAACTATTTAAAAACAAAAGAAACGATAAAAAATAAATTTATTATTAAAAAGATATACAAAATTTTATTATAATTAATTATTGCATGTTTTATTTCATTAAATTAATTATTGTTAACTATTTAAAGGTGTTCAAGTAATTCATTTTTTATTAAACTTTAAATTTCCCTTTAATTTAGTCATTAATTTTATCATTTCTTTCTTTTTATCTCTCAATATTTTAACTCTTTCTAAAACTTAATAGTGTAAATAATATAGGTAAAGAAGGTGCATCAAGCTTTGGTTCATGCTTAGCTCAATGTTCCAAACTCTAAACTTTGATAGCTAATCTCTAGTAAATAATATCATTATTTGATTTTAATAACATTTTTGTAATTTCTTTGTTTAATTTTTAAAAGAATTTAAATAAAAAATCAATAAAAAATAATCTTAAGATTTATAAGAAAATATGCAAAATATTTTTTCCTTTTCTATTTTTATTTTTACATAATAATCTTAATTGGCTATTTGATATTAAACATTTAATTAATTCTTCATTTTTAAAACTAATCATTCTTTTAATATATTTTTCCATTCTTATGTTTATCAAATTTTTACATAATATTCCTTCAAATCATTAAAAGAGCCAATTAAATAGGCGATCAGGGTGCATTGAACTTGGGATCTGGTTTAGCTAAATGCTGTAATCTCACAGATTTGACTCTTTATCTTAGGTAAAATATTTAATTAGCTTTTTAATAACATTTTTATTTAATTTTTAAAATCAAATAATTTATAATAAATTAACTAATTATTTAGAAATTTTGCTAAATATTTTTAAAACTAACTGTTTTATTTATAAATCAATTAAGACCTATTGTTGTTCAATAACTTAATTTTTTATTAATCAACTAATTTTCTCAATTTTAAATTTACATTTTTGTTAACTTTTATCGATAAATATTGGACTTACTTTTTAAAGATTAATTCATTCATATATTTTTTTAATTTTAAAAGATCAAATGGAATATCAGAATTAGGATAATAAAATTTAATCAAAAAACTTTTTAAGATAAAAAAGTTAGTGTAAAGAATTATTAGATTCGATTGAACCTAAATAAATTTAATAAAAACTTTATTATGCTAATTTATTACTGATATATTTTAAAGTAAAACAAAAACAAATTGTATGTTTTATTTATTTAATTAATATTTATTTATTTGTATGTATTTAAACATTTTTAAAACAATAAATATCAAATTATAAAAATCAAATCTAGACTTTTTAAATATGAAATGATAAGTGAATAATTTATACAACTTTTTACATACGGTGTATTCTTATTGATTATCATCATCCAAACTTTTTTCAAAAAAATAGGATTATTTAAATTTGCACAACACTAGCCTACTTTAGCACTAAAAATTGAGTGTTTTATTAAAAGGGAATACAATAGTTATTGAGCTATTATGTTATAAATTAATTTGAAAAAGTGTTTGGTCTTATATTTTTTTAAGGATTATTTTATTTTAATAAAAATGCTAAATTAGAAAACATATTTAGCGTACTAAGAAGAATTTGAAATTAGTATGTCATTTTAAACCTATCTATTTTATGAAAGTAACTCAGAATAAGAGAGTGATATTTTTTAATGGAACCAAATAATTCAGTAAATTTGTATAAAAGATTAATTGGACATGAAATATTATGCAAATTATGAATGTATTCTATTTATAATTTTAAGAATATTTGTTTTTTACATTTATAAAAAACTTGGTTGGTAAAAATTCTATATGAGATTGATTTATTATATCAAATTTTTAAATAATAAAAGAAAATAACGATATTTAATTAAGCTTTATTACTATCTATCTATCATGCATCAATACTAGTAGCAATAGGATTTAGATTTATAAAAGGTAAAATAAGAACTTGAGGACCAAAAACAATTGAGGCTCCTTAGCTAGGGAAAAGGAACGTTGGGATAAATTTTTATAGCAGAGCATATAATTTAGAAATCTTACCATGCAGTTAAAATCTTCTCACTTTAGGATGAGAAGAATTAGATTTCTGCAAAAAAACTAGATAATGCTAAAAGAGAAGCAGAATTGCTGAAGAATGTTAATCATCCCAATATAATCAGGTATGTCGATGAATTTTAAATCAACTTGAATTACTTTATCGTAACTGAGAAATGTGTAAAAAACTTAGAATAATTTATTTAAGAGTTTTAGAGCCAATTGGCCTCAATTTCTAGACATCAGCTTGTTAATTTTGCTTGTTAAATACTGTCTGCAATTAATTACCTCCACCAAAAAAACTACATTATGAGAGAGCTCTCAATAAGGAGCATTTTGATAGATAGCGTTAACCAAATCAAACTCTGTGATTTTGGTCAAGCAAAATAAGTTCAAGAAGAAATCAGCTATTCTCTGATTTTAAGAAATATACCTAAATCTGTCATTTTTTATTACCCACCTGAGCTTGTTAAATAAGTAGAAGCAAACGTAGAATAAAACAAAAAAGAATTTATGTTGTATTTTAACAAAGATATTTGGGCATTTGGGATATGGCTTTATCTTTTAGCAGGAGCTACTTAAAAAAATTGCTATAAACTTATGAAAAAAGGTTATTAAGCTTTGCAATGTTTAGATTAGTCTTTAAGTTAAATTCTCTCTCAAACTCTTTCTTTAGATCCATTTAAAAGACCAAGCATTTTAAAACTTGTTGATTTTTTCTAAAGCTTTAGGAAATAATTATGGAATTCTGAGTAAGCAAAAATAGTTTATTGTTAATTTAAGAAAATGAGAAAACAAAATTAATTATATTTAGCATATTAGCTTATATCAATTTGTTTTTAAATGTAGCCAAAAAATGAAAAATATTCATTTTAATTAGCTAATGTTTAAGACCAGCTAAAGTATTAGGAAGCAATAAATTAATATTTGAAATGCATTGAGCTGAACCCAAAAGAGGATAGTTATTTATTGTTTCTTGGAATTGCTTAAAGGAATTAAGGCATGTTTGATGAAGCAATAAAATCATTTAAGGAGTGTTTAAACTTGAATCCTAATTATGATGTGTGCTATTTTAACTTAGGAATTGTTTATAAGATCAAAAGAATTTATGATGAGGCCATTAAATAGTTTTAAAAATGTCTAAGGCTAAATCGTAAATATGACGCTTGCTTATTTAATTTGGGAATATCATATAAGAAGAAAGGTATGCTGAATAAGGCTATCAAATAATATAAGAAGTGTCTGAGTTTAAATCCTAAATACGATGCTTGTCATTATAATTTAGGGATTGCTTATAAGAAGAAAGGCATGGTGGATGAAGCACTTAAGTCATTTTAGGATTGTATTGATTTAAATCCTAAATATGGCGCTTGCTATTATAACATAGGAAATATCTATTTGATGAAAGACTTGCTTGAGGAAGCAATTGCTTAGTATTAAAAATGCTTAACTTTAGATCCAAATTATGAAGCTTGCTTTTTTAATTTAGGTGTTATTTATAAGAAGAAATGTATGATAGAAGAAGCTGTTAACTTATTTGAGAAATGTCTAAGTTTAAATTAAAAATATTATGCTTGCTATTATAACTTAGGACTCATTTAAAATGAGAAAGGAATTATTGATGAAGCAATTAAATTGTTCTTAAAATGTCTTGATATTAATCCAAATTTTGATGCTTGCTATTATAGTCTTGGAGTAGCTTATAAAAATAAAGGCATGCTAAATGATGCCATAAAATAATTTTAAAATTGCATAAATCTCAATTCTAAATTAGATTATTGCTTTTTCGAATTAGGAAATGTTTAATACGATTAGGGCATGCTGGATGAATCTGTTTAATCTTATTTGAAATGTATTGATCTAAATTAAAGTTTCTAAAATTGTTCTTTGAAATTAGGAAATATTTATCAGTAAAAAGGGATGCTAGATGAGGCAATTAAATAATTTTAGAAGTATCTTAGTATTGATTCAGAAAATGATACTTGTCAAATGAATTTAGGTATTTGTTTAGAAAAAACAGGAAAGCTGGATGAAGCTATAAAATAGTTTTAAAATTGTCTTGATTTAAATCCAAAAAATGAAATTTGTTATTTAAAGATTGGCGATGTCTACAGGAAGAAAGCAATGATTAATGAAGCTATTAGCGCATATAAAAAATGCTTAGAAATAAATCCAAAGAATGACATTTGTTGCTTAAGCTTAGGCATTTGCTTGGAGAATTCAAATAAAATAAATGAAGCCATCGAATGCTATTTAAATTGTATTGAAATTAATCCTTAAAATGATATTTGTTACATGAATTTGGGAAATTTGTATTAAAATTAAAATGAGCTTGATAAGGCTATTGAGTCATACTATAAATGTTTGAATGTAAACCCATAGTTAGATAGCTGCTATTATTATTTAGGAGAAGCTTAATATAAAAAATCTCTATTTGATGAATCAATAAAGTCATACTTAAAGTGCTTAGAAATTAATCCAAACAATGAAGCTTGTTACTTAAGTTTAGGTTAGACTTATCAGAATTAAGGCATGATAAATGAGGCAATCTTAATTTATGAAAAATCACTAAACCTAAATATAAAGATTGATGTTTGTTGCTTGAATTTAGGAGTTTGCTATGAAATAAAAGGAAGAATTGATGAAGCAATAAAAAAATATTAATAATCAATTGAAATAAACCCAGCAAATGATGTTTGTTTTTTGAACTTAGGAAACGCTTATTTGAATAAAGGAATGTTTGACGAAGCAATCTAAGCATATTAAAAATGCTTGCAGCTAAACCCGAAAAAAGAAGCTTGCTATTTAAATCTTGGCAATGTGTATTAAATTAAAGGGGAACTAGATAAGGCTATTAAATGTTATCAGAAATGCATAATTTTAAATCCAAAAAAAGATATTTGCTATTTGAATTTAGGTAATGCATATTAAAATAAAGGTAATTTAGAAGAGTCCATTAAAAATTATCAGAAATGTCTAAATCTTAATCCAAAAAATGACACTTGTTTGGAAAACTTGGGAAACGCTTTTAAAAATAAAGGAATGATAGAAGAAGCCATCAAATAATATCGATTTTGTCTATAATTAAATCCAAATAAGTATTCTTGCTATTTGAATTTGGGTAATACTTACTAGAAAAAAGGAATGCTAGATGAAGCTATTGAATGCTATAACAAATGTATAAATATCAATCCTAATAATGAAACGAGTTACGCCAATTTAGGGCTCTGCTATTTAAGCAAAGATATGAAGTATGATGCCATTAAACAATTCTAAAAATGTCTTCAAATTAACCCAAATAATAAAACTTGTCTAATTAGTCTATAAAAAATGCAAAATAAAAAAAATTGAGTAATTAATCAAAAAATATTTTATAAATTTCTGTTATATTTAGTTTAATTTACAATGAATTAATGTGGATATTTATTTTAACTTAATTTATAGCTAAATTAATACAAAATATTTGTTGAAGAAAATTCAAAAGAGAAAATGTTTATTTAAAAACCATTAAAGATTTTTTATTCATTTAAAATAAGAAAATAAATTGATTTAAATTTAGAGCTAAATGATGAATGAATACAAATGATTCTTACAAAATATATTTCTGATGATTCTCTTAAATTTTGTTGAATTTTAAATGAATTATTGCGAATATTTGTTTGATTTCATTTTGAGCTTAATTAATACAAGTAACTTGTTAAATTAAGAAGAAAATTCAAAAATAAAAATAATTATTTAAAAAGTAAAATGGGATTTTCTATTGATTCAAAATAGTTAGTTTGTTTCATTTGAAATAAAAAATTAATTTTTTTGATTTATATCCAAATGAATGTTATTTCATTTAGGGCTAAACAAATAAAAAAGATTTCCTAGAATAATATTAAGAAGAAAGTTCAAAACTAAAATAATTTTAATTAAATTTCATTTAGAGTAAAATTAATACAAACAATTTCTTATAAAATATTCAGAAGAATATTTAAAAATAAAAATATTTTATTAATTCAAAATAATTTCATTTAAAATTAAAAATTTAATTTAGAAACAAAAGAATATAAATTATTTCTTATTGTAGAAAATTCGAAAATAAAATTTAGAAACAAATCAATGAATACAAATTATTTCTTATTGAAGAAAATTTGATAATAAAAATATTTTATTAGAAGAGCAAAATAGAATTTTTTATAAATTCAAAATAATTTCTTTTTTATTAAAAAAAATAAGTAAATTTAAAATGAGATCTCATAATTTTTTTAGTTTAGAAACATTTATTTTGATTTTTAATTTCAGTTTCTACTTCATTTGCATGTTTAAATGTTTTTCAGAATTAATTCGGATTTTTCTGATTACAAATTTTTTGATAAAAAAGATTATTTTTTTCAAGGACCTTTCACAAAATAAATGAATTTTTTACTGAATTAAAAAATAAAGAAATCCACTAAATTTTTTAATAATCAAATTTATAATAAGAACATATAATATAAAATTAATGTAGAATTAAAATAATTACGCACAATTGGTACTTGAGATCCCGAATTGTGCTTTATATAATATTGAAGAGTCATCTGCTACTTTAATGTTAGAAGCTTACTTAGGAATTTATGAAATAAAGACAATGAACACATATTTTTTTAAAATGAAAAACTGGGAGTATAACTTCCAAAAATAAATCCCTGTTTTAAAAAAACAAATTGGTCAGCAGATGATTTATGTAATTCCAAATATGACTGGAAATTATGTATTAGTGCTGCCTTCTAATGCATAAGAGGAAACTATTTCAGTCTTAGAAAGTTTTTTGGAGAATAACTCTGATTTTGCAGTAAGCATTGATTAGAAATAAGAAGTGTAAGAGGATGAGGATTTATCTGCTTCTGATGATGAAGTTAATCATCAAAACTAAATTACCTAGCAAGTTATCAATTAAATATAAATGAAACAAAAAGATTGTCAAAATTTAAGTAAAATTTCTATTAAAAAATAAATTTGATTTATGATTTTAAAATATTTTATAGAAGCAGAGAATCTAAAAACAAAATTAATTAATTTTGGAGAAAGAATTGCTAAAAGAATAGAGAAAAGAAAGGAAAGAATTGTGACTAGAATATCAAGACCCAGATATATTAAAATTAGACCAGAAACTTTAGAAAGAATTTAAAAATTTTCAACTTTTTTAGATAAGATTGTACATCTTAATGAATAAATAGTAAACAAAATGGTTTATTCTTCTGCCTAAATCGTTTAAAAATTAGCTTTAGCTGTAGGAGAAACAAAAACTGGAAAAAGAATAAAAAGAAATAAAGTATATTGTGATATTAAAGATTCAGTTAAAAAGAGTGTTAAATCAATAATCACAGTTTATGAGGGGATGGTTGAGGCATAAAATATTGTTGAAGAAGCCTTAAAAAAAGCTTCAATCGATATTTTAACTGCAAAATATGGTTAATAAGTAGGTTAACTCTCAAATTAAGCTATTAAAATAAACTCTAGCTTAGGTCAATTAAGTTGAATATTAATCAAAATAAATTTATATAAAAAAATAAGTAACATATTTTATGTTTTTTAATGCTGATTCAATAAAAGAGCTAATTTATTTGCATAATTTTCTTACAATTTAAATAAACAGAATAAAATTCCATATTTTATTAAAATTAACTAATTCTTTGCTTATTTATTTATTTTTAAAAGGTTAATTGATTGTTTTTTTTAATCTGAAAAATTTATAAAATATTTTTTATTTATACTTTTTAATCAGAATAATTTTAATATTTAGATATTTAGATATTAAAAATGAATGAATGATAAATTTTAACTAGGCCTTTTTTATTTTTAAAATTAACCACTTTCCTATTTGTGCTGTAGAGCATAACCCTAGGGTTCTACTCTTATATATATATATATATATAATGAGTTTTAAAAATGAACAATAAATAATATTGAACAACGTTAAAGAAGATTAAAATAATTTTTTAAGCATTATAATTTTAATTTAAATAGAAATTAATGCCAATTTTACTAAATTCAAATAATGGAAATTAAAAAACACACAACAAACAATTGAAAAAACTGAAAAGTAAGTATTTCCTTTTAATTTATTTTTATTTGATTAGATATGATTTGCACTGGTTTTAATTTTAAAATAGTAAAAATGCTTTAGTTTAATTGTAATCAAAAAATGTTCTAGACGACATTAGCTAAATTTAATATTTTGATAAAAAATCAATGAATTTAAGACTTAAGTTATAGACAACTTATTTTTAATACTTTTTAATTAATAATTTTGTAATTAATTTATCGTGTTTTAAACAAAGCAACAGAATTAATTAGATTAGGTAGAGATTACTAAAATTTTTGTTTTAAAGTTTATTTTTTTTTTTAATTAAAACTTTATCAAGTAAATCTATGTCTGTCTTATTAAATAATCTAACAAACTTGAAGAATAACAAACAAACATATAATAATTTATTTAAAATATAAAAAGATATTAATAAATAAAACTAATAAACCAAATAAAATGGATTCCTAATTTAATTCTGCTGACTTACTTTTCGAAGTATAAAATTGCACATTATATGATGTCACTAATGAAAAGGCTATATTCATTCATAACTCTCCAATTGCTGTCTATGAAATTAAAGAATAAAAGATCGTCTTTATAAAAATGAATAATTGGGAGTATTGCTTTTAAAAGGAAATTCCTGTTCTAAAGCAGATTGTTTATGAGTAAATTATGTATATATTCCCTAGCATGGCAGGGAATTATGGTCTTTTATTTTAAAGAGGAGTTAATCAAGACTTGGTAGATCTATTTGAAAATTTCCTTGAAAATAACTCTGATTTTGTAGTAGGAACAACTGAAAAATAGATGGTAGAAGATAGCAGTGATTCTTCTTCTGATGATGATGATTAGGTTCAATGCAATTAATAAAATCAGAATCAGAATCAATAACCAAAATCGAATGAAAAAAAATAATTAAGTAATATTTTATAAAAAACATTTGCATTTAGCTTTCATTATTTTTTATTATTTTAATTAAGTTTTAATAATTTATTTTTTTTTAATTCAAATAGGAGGTGAAAAAATCAGAAATGGATTGATAAACTTGGGTGAAAGGGTTGCTAAAAGAATAGAAAAGAGAAAAGAGAGAATTATAAATAGAATATCAAGACCAAGATATATATAAATTAGACCTGAGACTTTAGAAAGAATTAGAAAGCTAAGAATATTCTCAGACAGAATTTTCAAGGTGAGCAAAGATGTTTTGAATGGAATGATTAACGTGAGTAAAAAAATTATGTCAAAGTTAGCAAATAAGATTGGAGACACTAAAATAGGCAAAAGAATTAAAAAAAACAGAGTGTATTGTGACTTCAAAGAGGCACTCAAAAACGGTATTAAATCTATAGCCGCAGTTTATGATGGTATGATTGAAGCTAAACACTTAGTTTAACTTGCCCTATAAGATGCTGTTACTGGCATCGTAGCAGCTAAATATGGAGAGCAAGCAGGTTAACTTACAAATGATTTACTAGGTATTCGCATGAATTATTAACAAATGCATCATATTGAATAATATGTCAAACAAGATCAAGCAAAGTAAATCATAGGAGTAGAGGCTCATCATCATCACTAAAACGGTAACCATAGCCAACCCTCTCACTAAAATCATAACTCCAATTAACAAAACTACAACTAATTAAATCAAATGAACAACCAACATGGTATTAACATTCATAATTAACATCCAGCAAATAATCAAAATTTAAATAATCCAAATAATGTTTACTAAAGGTAAAATATGAATGCTGGTTAATATTAGAATAACAATTAAAATATTAACTAAAATCAAGGTTTTTACCCATAACCAGTAAACAATATTAATCCTCAATACAATCAATAGCCACAAAATAATTTTAATACACCTCAAATTAATTAGAATTATAAATAAAATAATTAAAATCCTTACTAAAACAATATGCAAGGATAGTAATTTAATTAGTAATGTTATCCAATGCAAAAATGATACATTTAATATTCTTTAAATTATTTTATTTTATTTAATAAATATTTCTGTTTTTAATAATTTTATATGTCGCTTTATTTTATATTAAAATAATATTTTTAAATACTTATAAGTTGTATTTTAATATATAATTAACTAACAAACAGGTAATAAAACTCAAATAATTTAAATAACCAGTTATTTTTTGATACAATTAAATTACTTTAGTCATATCTTTTTTAAATGATATTAGAAAATTCTAAATCCCATGTTTCTTTTATATTTATTCAATATGAACAACAACATATTTAAGTTAATTTAGTTTTAAATAAATTATTATCAAAAAATATAAACTTTATCTATTGAATTAGATCAATTTTATATAATTTTAATTAGGGATAGAAAAAATATTCATATCTTGCTGAATGCTAAATTTTTCATATTCAGTATAGCTGTCTTTTAAACATATTTTCTTGAAGTGCTCATTATTCCATAAATTTCATACGGACCTATATGTATAAAATCTATAAGAATTTAAAATAAATTTACTTATTTTACTTTTTTTGAATAAAAAATAAATAATATTTTTAGGAAATATAAATAAATAAATGTTCAAAAATAATTCATTTTAATTAAATTTTATTATTAGATTTGTTTTAAGTTTCTATAAAACATGATGTCAAATTAAATATTGATTTAAAGAATGTTAGAAATGAATTCTAATTAATCTGTCTAAAGCTGCTCAATTATGAATGTGTCATTAATATCAAAATATTTATGAATCACTTATTATTGTTTTTTTTTCTAAGAGGTTTTCATATACAAAAACAAAGATATTTTTTAAATCCATTTATTAATATTTTCTGTTTTCCTTTAGTTTTTAAAAGTAGAATGATGGTGTTTTCTTTTTTTAACATTTTATAAGAAAATATAAGATATCAATTAGAATATTTAGCTGTCTTTCATTAGAAAAATTGATAGAAAATTAAAAAATAAATAAATAAGATTTTGTTAGTTTGAAAATAGACAAAATTTTAAATTTAAATATGTATTAGATAAAATTGATTAGCTTTTACAAATTATTTTTATAAGGCAAGATATTTGAATAGTTAATGGTAATTAAAAAGTAGATTGAAATAGATGTGAGATGAAATTCTTGGATTTAATTTGTTTTTTTTAAATTTCTACCTTAATCAATTAATTGTTTTAATTAATTATTTATTTATTTTAAAAAAGACATAAACAGATTAATTATAATAGCTAGCTAGCTGTTGTTTCGATCAGAAAAATCTATGCCAGTTGATTGAATTGAAGCGTGTGTGTCGCAAATTAATTTACTGAGTAGAAAAGCTATTTTCTAGTGATTAATAATAATATAATAATTTAGTGTTAAAGGAAATAAAGAAATTACTTACATACATACAACAATATAAACATAAAAAAGGAAGTTAGTTATTTATTATTATAGACTAAATAATTAGGAAGACAAAAACAGAATATAAATAAAAATGGAATAGCAATACTAAATGTAATTGGTTTTTGAAATACCAAACTGTACTTTGTACGATATCAATGGAAGTTAATACTCAGTCATTGATAAAGGAGCTTTAGCAATCTATGAATTGAAATCTCATTAATTAATAGTATTGAAATTAGGTTCTTGGTAATACAGTCTGTAAAAGGATATTCCTGTTATGGCTTAACAATAGAATTCAAGAAAGATGTATGCCTTCCCTAAAAAGCAAGGAAACTTTGGAATTGTCTTTGGTTATGGCACTTCAGATGAATAAGAAAATGTTTTTGAAAGCATTCTAGAAAATAATACTGATTTTGTCATTTCAACTCCTGGATAAGAAGATTCTTCTTAGAAACTCGTAGGTTCTTCAAACGATTAATAGCAACTCTAGCAATAAGGAGGAACAACAACATCAAGCACTTCAAAGAAAATTTAAGGATATCTCTAAAAAGGTAAATAAATATTCCTTCAATCATCAAAAGAATAAATTTATTTAAATATTTATTTTTTAACTTAATAAAAGGTGGCGATTTCATCCGCAGTGGTTTGATTACTGGAGCAGGTTATTTAGCTAAAGGGATTTAAAGTGGTGGATAATACCTTAGGTCAAAGATTTCAAAACCTTAAAAAAAAGAAGTGAAGCCTGAAACAATTTAGAAAGTTAAAATGGCAAAAGCAACATCATCTGCTGTATTAATTTTCACTTAGACTTAAATATCAGCTTTGATTTAGGGCGCAAAAGTGATTGGAGAAGAATTAAGCAACTAAGTTGGAGATTCAGATACAGGAAAGAAGATCAAAGCTCACAAAAATTATGAAGATGCCAAAAACATTGCTAAGGGTACAGTCCATGTCTTTGCAGCTATTTATGATGGTATGTTTGAAGGCTTGTGCGCTATTGGAAGAGGTTTCTAAGCAGCAACTACTGATGTTGTTCAAGCACAATACGGAGAGGGAGCTGGCCAACTTGCTCATGAATCTTTTGAAACTGCTGCTAACGTTGGAAACATAGCTTACGCCTATAAAACTGAAGCAATCAAAGCCATAGAATAAGGAACTAAATCTGAAATCAAACAATGATAATACTAAATAAATAAATAAAAAACTCATTAATTAATTAACTAACTAACTAAAATATCACCATTAATTATTACAAAATAATAAAAACTGTTTAGCAATTTATTCAATTTCATTTTTAAATATAAATATGTATTTTATTTTATCCATAAAGAAAATTAATTATTTTAATCATTAAATTATCCAGATTTTCAATCAACTTATTTCATTTCAAAATATTCTTTAAATCATTAATTAAGATAAAAATAAATGCTCAAAGTGGGGCTCGAACCCACGACCTTTGGCTCATAAGACCAAAGCTCTAACCAACTGAGCTATCTGAGCGTTTTACATAAATTTACATCAGAGATACGATGATTTTAATTGAATATTTGTATGAAGATTAAGAGAAGAATTTAATTCTACTTGCTTGCTTATTTTTTATTAAATCCTAAATAAAAATATCTTATAAACAACCTGCTTTTATTAAAAATCAATCAGAGTTAGCCAAAACTTACAAAATATAAAAGTAAGTTTTTAGATTTTATATACAAAAAGATCAGTGAGTTAATTTTGAAATTCTATACAAAAAGTTCAATGAGTTAATTTTGAAAAACTATTTTAATGTTTTTTAAGCTTTTCTCAAAAGTAATTCAGAAGAAATAGCTAAGATTTATTTATATTCATTTAAAAAAATTTGACATTATCTAAAATATAAATTAAGAAATCTAATATTTTGCCTTAATTTTATCATATATTAGTAACATTTTAAAAGCAAAAACTGTAAATTGAATTGAGTTAAGATTATGAAATTTCATATAAAAAGTTCGGTGAGCTATTATTTAAAAACAAACAATTTTAATGAATTTTAAGCTTTTACCAAAAACTTATCAAAAGGATTGGCAAGATTTATTTATTCATTTAAAGAAATTTGAGATAAATTTTTATTAAAATTTAGAAATCTAATATTTTGTTAATTTTATCCTTAATAAGTAACTTTCTTAAAGCATAAACTGTAAATTGAATTAATTACAGTTTTAAGATATATAGATAATTAATTAGCAGTGAGTCAATTATTTAACAAATACTGAATAGATTTTTTTAATTAACAAAAAGAAAAAGATATAAGAAAAGTATATTTATTTGAGAGAAAATTTTTGATTTCAATTCGTAATTTTTATAAATTTAACTAAATAATTCTTCTAAACTATAAGTAATTTTTTTCTACATTTATATTAAATTCAAAGTAAAGTGTGAGATCAAATAACAAGTATTAAATTCCTTTATGCATTACTATGTTAATCATTTTTTAAAATTATATTTATACAACTCAATATTATTCTATATTTCAACAAGGTAGCCAACTTAATTTTTTTTAAATAAACATACTTACCCAGAATATTTTGAAAACTTTTTTGATAAATATAAAAATATTATTTGGATTAGTACCCTTCTTAGTAAGTAAAATTAGTTATATTTATAAAAGATTTAAAGATTAGAAATGACTAAATAGATTTATTAACTATGTTACTGTGGAAATCTAAAATTAAAAATTGGTTAAGATTAGTAATCAGAATATACAAATTTACAAAATTATCTCTTAAAAGAAGATATTAATAATTAAAAAAATAAACTTTCTATAAAAAGTGTTAAAAATCAGCTGAAAAAAAAAATGAAATAAGCATAAAAAAATATCCTTTTTTTCCTCTTGTTGGGCACTATTGTAGTTTGTGCTACAGATCCTTCCTATGGTTAATGCTAGATACCTGCTAGTAAGTTAAATGGTCAGACCTTTAAGTCTATCATATATCCTGGATATGATAATGACAGATTTTCAGGAGATGTTGTTTTGACGATTTAGTATGATACTTCATCTATCCTCTCTCTTAGTCTTAAAGCTAAAGACAGTAACAGTAAGCAACAGGAATATGTTTACACACCACTAGCTGACTAAACTGGCTTAAATTTGAATACTAATTTTTAAATTACAAGAAAATTAACTGGTGATAGTTCTAACTTAGCTTTTAGTGAAATCTATCATTTCATAGCCTCCTGTACTGAAACAAATGGTGTTTTGACTAATTTAATAATAAAGGCAAGTTTTTCATAAACACTAAAAGAATCTACAAATAAAACAGGATTTTAATACTTTGAATTGTAATCATCAATTAAAATATCCTCATCATATTCAATGCTTATTAAATTCAGTTTGCTATTTTTATTAGCATTATTATTTTGACCAATAAAGCTAATTAAAATATATCTATATATCTATATTTATTCAAACTTATCTGTATTTTTTTACTGAAAAAAATTTGTCAATTAAACATTTTTAAAACAAACACTTTAATATTTATTTTATAAAATATAATTTTGAATTTACGATTTATTGATGAAAAATAATTAATTTCTTTTGATTAATGTCAAACAAACTAAAAATCTTTTTTGTAATATTCATTTAATTAAATTTGGAAATTTTCATAATTAGGAGTAATTTTGCTTATTTTAAAATAAATTTTTGCTATTCTTGTTTTATATTAATTAATACATAAAAAAATAATAAGATTAGATTATTGTTCTAACACTTTAAAATTGTATCCTTTCTCTTTATAAAAAAAAGAAAGAATCTGATAAATTTATAAAATTTTGCAAACAAAAGTCTTTTTAATAAATAAAAAATTGATAAGAATGAATGAGTTAGTAAAAGGATTACCAATTAGCGAATTGTAATTTGTTTATTAGATTATTTTTTTTATCTATTTTTTTTTCAATATTTTAAAGAAAATTGATAATATTAACAATTTTATAATTTTCTGTAATTCGTCTCTCTTAGAGATTTAGTTAGATTAATATTAAAAATAAATAAAAGTGAAATTTATAATAATTTTAAACAATAATTATAATGATCAAAATTAAAAAAGTAAACAAAATAGAGCAGTGATTTTTATGAAATAGGTATAATTTATTATTATTTTTCAAATAATTTTCATATTCTATTTGGAATAACTATTCAGAATTATTAGATAAGGTCTCATATTTCTTTGTATTAAGATAAATTTCATAAGCAGCATTAAATATTTCTTCATAAGTAACAAATTTTCTATTTTGCCTATAAACAAACACATATTTATTTTGGTTTTTTTAATAGTTTAAGATTGTTTTTCGCCCAAATTTTTTTAAGGTTGATCTTGTCAGATGATTCATATCTTCATTTATAACCTCTTTAATTTTAATAATCTAATTTTCAGTCACCATTTTCCTATTCTTCTTTTTCTTTAATATATTTTGATGTTTTCTATTATTTATTTTTCCAAAACTATGATCTTTTTCATATTCATTTATTATTGATTTTCTAGCATATCTGAAGAGTTATTTTAAATTCTGGGCTATCATAGTCAATCAATTAAATTTATTATGGAGTTTTTCTTTAAGAAACTCTTTATAAGATGTATGATAGTAAAGCTAATTTTACAAAATCACTTGTTTATGTATTACTTTTTAAATCTATCTATATTTGATTTACCTATAAATTATTAACAAAAATTATATTTCCTGTCATTTCTCATTAATTAACACCCTTAAAAAAATAAAAATTTTTTTTAATAGCTATATTTAAACAAGTAACGACTATATATATATCCAACCTCTTGATATATTTAAAAGGAAGGAATTAAGGTATTAAGTTAATTAATGTTTATAGAAGTATATTTAATGAAAAGTATAACTATTGAATATTCTTCTTAATAACTGAATCTTAATTATTGAAAATTAAATGAAATTAAAATAAAGTATGAAATAAAAGCTAAAAAATGCTCAAAGTGGGGCTCGAACCCACGACCTTTGGCTCATAAGACCAAAGCTCTAACCAACTGAGCTATCTGAGCTATTTGTATACATTAAAATATTATTTTTCAGTTTTTATTATGAGAGAGAGCTAGAGGTTTATATTGAATTATGATTTTATTATTTGTAATTGCAGATCAATTAAAAAATTATTAAATTTTATTCAATAATGAGAAAAAATAAGAGTTTAAAGTATCACTAAAATTTAAGGGCTTTATCATCAAGATAAATCCAACATTTTTCAAAGATTTAATAATAGTTTCAAAGAAATAAAAATGCTCAAAGTGGGGCTCGAACCCACGACCTTTGGCTCATAAGACCAAAGCTCTAACCAACTGAGCTATCTGAGCTATATGTATACATCAAATTAAGATTTTGGAGAATTTTATGTTGGGAGAGAGCTAAAGTTTATTCAAATTAAATTCTATTTTATACATTGCAAAATATATTTAATAATATCAAAATATAATAAGTAAGTATGTCACTTTAAGATTAGGGAATTTTTATGTATTTATATATCAAATCTAACTAAGATTTAGTTAAAGTGTAAAAGAAAAAATGCTCAAAGTGGGGCTCGAACCCACGACCTTTGGCTCATAAGACCAAAGCTCTAACCAACTGAGCTATCTGAGCGTTTTGTATGGGTTTAAAATCTAATTCAGTTGATTTTAATCGAAAAATAGCTGTTTTTAACTCAAATTCAATAGAAATACTAAATAAATTATCTTGTTTGTTTTTCCAAACTAACAAAAAAGTAAATAAAACTTTGATAAAATATATTTTCTTCAATTTATTAGCAAACTAAAAGATAAATTGAATTTTAATATAAACAATCCATAATATTATTAAAAGATTATATCTGAAATTTCATATTATCTTAATAAATAAGATTGTTTCAAATGAATCTTAAATTAACTAATTCAATTAAGTAAATAATGATAAATAAAAATAGATTTATTTATTGATTTATTGAGATATTTTGTGAGTAGACTAAACTATTTAAAAGAAGAAATTAATGATTTATTGAGTTGTAAAAGCTTAGAAATTAGAAATAGAATTTGTTGGATGAATGACAAATAATTGATTGATTAAATTGATTAATATTTGAAACTTTTTAAAATGAATGTAATTTAATTTTGAAAATAAGAGTTATTGCTGAAAAAGAATAAAATAAAATAACTAACTAACTTTAATAAATATTATATCAAAATATAAATAGATAGATATTCGCATAATCATTATCAATTAAGTTTAAAATCTATCAACTTATTTATCAAACACAACAAGAAAGAAAGAAAGTTGGAAGAAGAACTAGAATAAAGAGAATTTGCCAACAACAAAGATAAAATCAAATAATCAAAGGAATTAATTAATTAGGCTTAAGTAGCAATCGTTAGTGACATTAATTAAAAGAGATGGACAAAGATACATTTTTAGAAGAAGATTCAATAAATAATGCGGATTATAGTAGATCTAATTTGGACAACTCAAATCAAGATATTCCAAAAAAACATGTGAAGAAGCAGTTTATTTTGAGAAAGAGGATTGAAGAGGATATTAAAAATTCTAAATAATATTAAGTTTAGAACAATTCTAAATTGGTTTAACCACAGCCATAAAATTTAAAGAAATCCTTCTAAAATGCCGCAAGAATGATTTCGTAGGCTTCAAGAGCAAGCCAATTACTAAATAATTCCTTAGGTGTAAATAATACTGCTGCAGCAGCTGGTTTATTGAATGAAAGCAAAACACGCGAGACTTTATACAGTCAGAAGTCTCTAGGAACTGAAAATATGCTCCACATGAGAGAGGAAAAGAAAAGAGTAACTTAAATTGAAGAGCAATACAAACCATAATACAATGGTCCTTAGGTAAATAAAAATTAATGATTTTTAGATTCAAAATATTTAAAATCAGTAAAAGCAACAAAAAGTTAGAAAATATTTTTGGGTTTTAATAACTTTTTAATTTAAATTTAAAACAATAAAAATAGAATTACATTTTTTTAAGATTTTTAGTTAAAATTGAGTTTCAAAAAGATGATTTTATGAGCAATGAATAAATATAATTATAAATAATAGGTTGAATTAGTTGATGGAAAGAAGAATTTATCATTTATTATAAATACTGGTTTGGTAGCATTTGATCATGTCATAGTTAGAAATAATGGTAGCGCTTCTATTTATTATGAATGGAAGAGAATTGAAAGCGATAAATTTAACAATTCCACTTTATCAGATCCAGAACAAAAATTCTTTTGTCATCATGAATAGAATGTCATAAAGCCAGGTACAATAAAAAGCAATTAAATAAATATTAAGGCAGAATTTTATGAAGAAACAATTTTGTTAGAAATAAATGGATTTGTTTTTTTTCATGTCATAATGAAGATAAAATTAGCACAATTTTTTAAAAATATGAAACAGAAATTAGTTAATTAATTAATAAATTAATTATTAAATGATAAAATTAAAAGGGTAATCGAAGAGATTTGTGTTTGCTTTTATGTCGAAAGTTACGGGTATATTTTATGAAGAATGGGAACTTTAATGCGAACCTCCAACAATGCATCCAATTTAGAGATTGAAGCTCACTGGTAATGCTATTGATGTTGATAATCTCAAGGATTGGAGAAGCGATTTTGAAAAAGAAAGCTTGAATCATTACGTTTATAAAGGAATGAATGAAATAGTTGGCGATATTATTGCAGAGGTGAGAACTCCCACTCCTCCTCTACCTGATTTGGAAGACCCTGAAGTTTGTAAAAGAGAATTTGAAGAAAAGAATGAAGATTTACATGTTTGGTACAATCCACTTGTTATGAAGTGGTGGAGATTGCTGGAATAAGATTTGTATTAGGAATTAAATATGAATCCAGAGCATTAATATTGGGATTTAAATTTGAATTACATCAAATCGATGGTAGAGAGTGTTGAAGATGAAGATAATAAAGCCTTCTTTGAGTCTCGTTATAAGACTTACTTTGAATTGTCTAAAGTAAAACCTGTGGAGAGATCTTAAATCTTCTAACAAACAAAAGATTTTATTTGGAAATTAGCTTGCAATGTTCCTGCTATTTCAGATAAGGTCAAAGAGGAGATGGGAATGTGGGAATATGTTTTCAGACCTCCCCTTCAAGAGCGTGATTTTACAGAACAAGAGTTAAAATAATTTGAAGATGAAAAGGCAAAAATCAAAGCAGACTGGATGAAGAAAGCAAAAAAGAAAAAATGGACAGATGATGATGAAAAGAAAATGATTGAAGACTACAGAAACTAGCTTTCTACTCGTATTTCTAACGAAGTCTATTCATTTTTTGAAGGATTTGAAGAAAAGGATGCACTTTATAGAGCTCTCAATACAATATAAACTAGAAAGGAGACTCCTTCTCTGGAGTACTTCGAGCACCTAATCAGAAAAAAGCCAATAAAAGACCTAGACATAGACGGCAAGCGTATTCTCCTAAGAGTCCATTTGAAGTTATCACCCTCAGCTGACGCTTTAGAAAAGAAGGCCCAACACGAGCAAAGAATCATCTAAGAAAAAGAAGAAGAATAAAAACGTATTGAAGAGGAAAAAGCTCTTTAGGTAACTTGCCTTTATATTTTATTTATTTTTCATATAAAAATCAACTTTATTATCTGATAAATTTCAAAATATTTATGTTTAATTCTAAATTATTCATTGATTTTATGAAATTATTCATTAATTCTTTGAAATTTCTAATTAATTTTTTATAAATTATTCATAATTTTTTGAAATTATTCATTAATTTTCTATAAATTATTCATTGATTTTTTTGAAATTATCCATAATTCTTTCTTTGAAAGATTTTTTATTCAAGTAATTAGCTTGAATGAGTTTGTTGAACTTTTTTATTTATTTTGTTAAAATAATGCTAAAAAAATATAAATTAACTTTTAAATATTTTAAAATAGGAAAAATTAGCGAAAGAGAAGAAGAAACCAACTAAAAGACCTCCTCCTCCTCCTGCTAAAGGAAAAGGTGCTAAGCAACAGGTTGAGGAAGAAAAACCTAAGGAGAAAATTTTGGATATTAGCTTTTTGGATGAAGATAATTTATTGGAGATTATGGATAGTTTGAAGTATATTTTAGAAAGATAAGCAAAACTTGTTATTCTTTTGGTTAGTTATGATATTCCTCTTGGAGAATATAAGCTAACTTCTTCAATTAAATTCTTCATTGAGTATTTGAAAAAGTAGGTCGAGAATCAAATTTAATTTGTAGATACTTTTTACATTGAAAATTTTGAAGAAAAAATAGAAACTGAATCCTTCCCAGATAATTCAATTTTAGTCTTGGAGAACTGCTTTTTCGTTCCTGAAGAAGTTGGATTCAAGCAAATAAAGCAGGTTACTGCTGAAGGAAAAGAAGAAACTTCACTTGTTAAATACACTCTAGAAGATAAACACAATTATATTAGCACTCTCTGCTCTTATTGCCCTTCTTATGTCATTGAAGATAAAGAAAATTTCTTCTCAAGATTAACTTCAATGGTTAATTTCAGCTTTGAAAATCAAGTTAGTGGAGTTCACATTTCTGAAGACATTTAACTTGCATCTCATTTAATTACATTCAATAAATCACCATTCCATGTATTTATTGGTGGTTCTCTTACTCCTTCTAAACTTATTGCTATTGACACTTTGTCTAACTTCGCTTAATAAATTCATTTGTACAGCGAAATTGGTATCAAATTCTTAATTGTGTAATAAGAAATTTGGTAAGAAGAAAGAGCTAGTTTGCTCTAGTAAGAAAAGCAACTACAATCAGTATCCAGCAAAGACAAAGAAAACACAAATCTTTCATAAATTTAGCAAGCTCTTTTAGCTAGCTCATCTCATATTATTTTGAATATGCCTTTTACCAATTTCAGTGTTTCTCCAATCGAAAAGCTTGCTATTCAAGGTGTTATAGCTTCAGTCAAAAATAGAGGCAAGACTTAATTAGTTTTGCCATAGGATTTTATAGTTGTCCCTGATTCTAGCTTTGAAGGAGTGGAAAAGTTCACTCCATCTTGGTTTGAATAGTCTTTACTACAATCTTAGAATTATCCTCCTAGAATTGTAAAGCAACCAGTAGACTCAAAAGCAAATTCTGAAGCAGTTGATCAATCACATTTGAATAACTCTTTACTTGCAGACTAATCTCCCATTTAGAAAAATAATATCACCTAAGAGGATGATGCAGTAGAAGATGTAGATAGAGTAGATGAAGGAGAAGATGAAGATGAGTATGAAGAATACGAAGATGAAGAAGGTACTAAGAGAAAAAAGAAATCTAAGAACTACAACGATGTCATTGAAGATGTTGAAGATGAAAGTGAACACTATGAATACGATTATGCAGCTCAATTCCCTGCCAACCATATAATCATTGATTTTGGAGAGAAGACTCTATCTGCTTTGAGAAAAGGTGTCAGAAAATCAAGAAAATTAGCTTGGTTTGAGCAATTAAGTATTTTCACATCTGTATCTACTAACGAAACAAACAAAATAGCTGCTAAAACTCTCCATAAAATGCAAGAAGACAAAAGAGCAAGACTAGAGTCTTAGCGTAAAGAAAATAATGATTACAATTATGTTAACGATGTCTTAGCCTTCGTCTTTGGTAAATCAGTAGAAAAGCATGTCAACATGTTTGAATTAGTAGATCCTAAATAAAAAGTAAGTGATATTGGCTAGGATGATGGTTTCAGTATTAACAGCGAAAATGTGGGATCAAATCAAGGTTAAAATAAAAATGAATAATAAGAAGAAGATAAAGATAAACTAGCTAATCCCGATGAAGATGATAAATCTGTTCACAGCGGAACAACTGCTGTAACTAAACCAAACACTGTAAGAATCATCTCTGACTTCTATTCAAAGGATTCAGAATTCTTACTTAAAATCTTGCACGGTACACATATTGAAGCTCTATCAACCATCGAATCATATGCGTAAAAATCTGAATCAAATCTCAGCGATGATCTTTCCTTCCTTGATAGATTATGATATAAACCAAATTAAATATTATATTTTTTAAAATACTTACTTGTTCTTTATTATTCCTATTCTTTTTATATACCTTTTGCAGTTGTATAAGAGCTAAAAAGATAGCTATATAACTAACTAACTAATTAACTTAAAAACCTTATTTTTTCAAGGATTCATATGTTTTCTTTGAAATAAATATTGCATTTATTTTATCTTTCATTTTGAATTACTTTTCTACAAAATCACATTTTTTTTTTTAAATAAACAAAACCATATTACAAAATTACATATTTTTATTTTAGTATTAATCAATTTTTAACATTAATTATTGTTAATTTAACACGTTTATAATAAATAATGTTAATTTTATTTAATGGAAATTCAAACCATTATCAAAAACAGAAAATCTAGTTAATTTTCTAGAATTTTTTTAGAACACTTATTAATTACTAGAATTTTTCAAATATGACTAACTGTTCATATATAATTCCTACTATATATATTTTTAAGTATATGTTTTAAATACAAATATTAAGTTTAATAATACATGTTAAATTAATTTTTCTATGATATCTCTTCATAAAATCAAATTTATCAATTAATATTTGATAATTAATTAATTAATTATTATATTTTATTTGTTCTTTTTATTCATTTATTATTAATTAATTAAAATCCATAATTTGCTATTCAATATTTTTGAAAAAAAAAATAAATGATATAATAGATTAAATATTTTTACAGATTAGAAGAAGTAATTATTTATTTTTTTTTAATATCATTTAAATTTATATTTATTAATAAAAAAAGTTTATAAACTCTTCACTTTTATCTCATGATTTTCTCTATATTAATCTGAGGTATATTTTATTAATTAATGTTATTTTTATTATTTATTAATATTTTTAAAATATTTAACTTTCAATTTATTTAAATAAATAATTTTTATAATAGAAATTATCATGAATGATTATTTTTGATTTTTATTAAAACAAAAATTATTTAGCTATGCTAACTTAATTTTCATTTCAATTTTTAATTATTCATTATTCATTTTAATTATTTGATATTTTTCTTTATTTTTTGCTATTATAACTTGCACTTAATAAAAGCAGTTTATTTGTTTTGGATTGTAATATTTTAATAATAAATGTTAATTTAAAACAGTAAAGCTCTTTTTTTTTATTTTCCTTTTTCTTTTTATAATGATATCTTTTTTTTTCTTCATTTTTTGTTAATTTTACTAATTATTAATTAATCTTATTATTTCATATTCTTTGCTTCTAATTAACTATTTAATGATATTTTTTTTTTCTTCAATATTTAAAAAGTCTAAATTAAATTGGTGCAATGGGTGCATCAGGCTTAGGTTCTGCTTTAGCAAATTGCATTAATCTCTCAAATTTGACACTTGATCTTAAGTAAAAATAGTTTATTTGTTTTGGATTGTGATATATTTTTAATTATAAAAACTAATTTAAAAATAATAAAGCTCTTTTTTTCTTTCTTTTTATTGTGCTTGCTTTTTTTTGTTCTTTCTTTGTTAATTTAACTCATCATTTTGTTTTCGACTTTTACTTTTATTAATTAATCTATCTTATTGTTTCATATTTTGTCTTCACTTTTTCCTTCTAATTAACTATTTAATGATATATTTTTTCTTCAATAATTAAAAAGTTCCAATAAAATTGGTGATGAGAGTGCATCAGGCTTAGGTTCTGCTTTAAAAAATTGCATTAATCTCTCAAATTTGACACTTTGCCTTTAGTAAAAATAGTTTATTTGTTGATTGTGATATATTTTTAATTATAAAAACTAATTAAAAACAATAAAGCTCTTTTTTCTTTTTCTTTTTATTGTGCTTGCTATTTTTTTAATTATTTCTTTGTTAATTTAATTCATCATTTTATTTTCGACTTTTGCTTTTATTATTATTAATTAATCTATCTTATTGTTTCATATTTTTTCTTTCACTTTTTCCTTCTAATTAATATTTAATGATATATTTTTTCTTCAATATTTAAAAAGTCAAAATTAAATTGGTGCAATGGGTGCATTAGGCTTAGGTTCTGCTTTAGCAAATTGCATTAATCTCTCAAATTTGACACTTGACCTTAGGTAAAAATAGTTTATTTGTTTTGGATTGTGAAATATTTTTAATTATATAAACTAATTTAAAATTATAAAGCTCTTTTTTTTTTCTTTTTTTATTGTGCTTGCTTTTTTTTGTTCTTTCTTAGTTAATTTAACTCATCATTTTATTTTCAAATTTTGATTTTTTTATTAATTAATTACTCTTATTATTTCATATTTTTTCTTCATTTTTACTTTTAATTAATTATTTAATGATATATTTTTTCTTCAAAATTTAAAAAGTTACAATTAAATTGGTGCAATGGGTGCATCAGAATTAGGTTCCGGTTTAGCAAATTGCATTAATCTCTCAAGTTTGACACTTAATCTTAGGTAAAAACAGTTTATTTGTTTTGAATGTGATATTTTTAATTATAAAAACTAATTAATAACAATAAAGCTCTTTTTCTTTTTCTTTTTATTGTGCTTGCTATTTTTTAATTATTTCTTTTTTAATTTAATTCATCATTTTATTTTCGACTTTTGCTTTTATTATTAATTAATTAATTAATTAATCAATCTCATTGTTTCATATTTTTCTTCACTTTTTCCTTCTAATTAACTATTTAATGATATATTTTTTCTTCAATATTTAAAAAGTTCCAATTAAATTGGTGATGAAGGTGCATCAGGCTTAGGTTCTACTTTAGCAAATTGCATTAATCTCTCAAATTTGACACTTGTCCTTCTGTAAAAACAGTTTATTTGTTTTGGATTATGATATTTTTAATTATAAAAACTAATTAAAAACAATAAAGCTCTTTTTTTTTTTCTTTTTATTGTGCTTGCTTTTTTTTTGTTTTTTCTTTGTTAATTTAACTCATCATTTTATTTTTAACTTTTGCTTTTATTATTAATTAATCGTTCTTATTGTTTCATATTTTTTCTTCACTTTTTCCTTCTAATTAACTATTTAATGATATATTATTTCTTCAATATTTAAAAAGATTTAATGAAATTGGTGATGAAGGTGCATTAGGCTTAGGTTCTGCTTTAGCAAATGGCATTAATCTCTCAAATTTGGCACTTAATCTTCGGTAAAAATAGTTTATTTGTTTTTGATTGTGATATATTTTTAATTATAAAAACTAATTAAAAGTTAATTTAACTCATCATTTTATTTTCAACTTTAGCCTTTATTATTAATTAATTACTCTTATTATTTCATAATATTTCTTTATTTTTTTTTTCCTTCTAAATAACTATTTAATGATATATTTTTTCATCAAAATTTAAAAAGTTACAATTAAATTGGTGCAATGGGTGCATCATACTTTGGTTCCGGTTTAGCAAATTGCATTAATCTCTCAAGTTTGACACTTGATCTTAAGTAAAAATAGTTTATTTGTTTTGGATTGTGATATATTTTTAATTATAAAAACTAATTTAAAACAATAGAGCTTTTTCTTTTTTTTTTTTTTATTGTGCTTCTTTTTTTTGTTTTTTGTTTGTTAATTTAACTCATGATTTTATTTTCAACTTTTGCTTTTATTATTAATTAATCTATCTTATTGTTTCATATTTTTTCTTCACTTTTTCCTTCTAATTAACTATTTAATTATATATTTTTTCTTCAATAATTAAAAAGTTCCAATTAAATTGGTGATGAAGGTGCATCATGCTTAGGTTCTGCTTTAACAAATTGCATTAATCTCTCAAATTTGACACTTAAGCTTCGGTAAAAATAGTTTATTTGTTTTGGATTGTGATATATTTTTAATTATAAAAACTAATTTAAAACAATAAAGCTCTTTTTTCTTTTTCTTTTTCTTTTTATTGTGCCTGCTTTTTTTTGTTCTTTCTTTGTTAATTTAACTCATCATTTTATTTTCAACTTTTGCTTTTATTGTTAATTAATCTATCTTATTATTTCATATTTTTTCTTCATTTTCCCTTCTAATTAACTATTTAATTATATATTTTTTCTTCAAAATTTAAAAAGTTACAATTAAATTGGTGCAATGGGTGCATCAGGCTTAGGTTCCAGTTTAGCAAATTGCATTAATCTCTCAAATTTGAAACTTAATCTTAGGTAAAAACAGTTTATTTGTTTTTGATTGTGATATTTTTAATTTTAAAAACTAATTAATAACAATAAAGCTCTTTTTTCTTTTTCTATTTTTTTTATTGTGCTTGCTTTTTTTTTTGTTATTTCTTTGTTAATTTAACTCATCATTTTATTTTCAACTTTTGATTTTATTATTAATTAATTAATCTTATTATTTCATATTATTTCTTCATTTTTCCTTCTAATTAACTATTTAATGATATATTTTTTCTTCAATATTTAAAAAGTTACAATTAAATTGGTGATGAAGGTCCATCATGCCTAGGTTCTACTTTAGCAAATTGCATTAATCTCTCAAATTTGACACTTGGCCTTCAGTAAAAACTGTTTATTTGTTTTGGATTGTGATATATTTTTAATTATAAAAACTAATTAAAAACAATAAAGCTCTTTTTTCTTTTTCTTTTTATTGTGCTTGCTTTTTTTTTGTTATTTCTTTGTTAATTTAACTCATCATTTTATTTTCTATTTTTGCTTTTATTATTAATTAATTACTCTTATTATTTCATATTTTTTCTTCTAATTAACTATTTAATGATATATTTTTTCTTCAATATTTAAAAAGTGGAAATGAACTTGGTTATGAAGATGTATCAGGCTTAGTTTCTGCTTTAGCAAATTGCATTAATCTGTCAAATTTGACACTTAAACTTGGGTAAAAATAGTTTATTTTGTGATATTTTTAATGATAAAAACTAATTAATAACAATAAAGCTCTTTTTTCTTTTTTTTTTTTATTGTGCTTGCTTTTTTTATTTTATTTGTTTGCTAATTTAACTCATCATTTTATTTTCAACTTTTGCTTTTACTATTAATTAATTAATCTTATTATTTCATATTTTTTCTTCATTTTTTTCTTCTAATTAACTTTTTAATGATATATTTTTACTTCAAAATTTAAAAAGTGGAAATAATATTCATGATGAAAAAGCATCAGACTTAGGTTCTGCTTTAGCAAATTGCATTAATCTCTCAAATTTGACACTTGACCTTAAGTAAAAACAGTTTATTTGTTTTGGATTGTGATATTTTTAATTATAAAAACTAATTAAAAGCAATAAAGCTCTTTTTTCTTTTTTTTTGATTGTGCTTGCTTTTTTTTGTTATTTCTTTGTTAATTTAATTCATCATTTTATTTTCTACTTTTACTTTTATTATTTATTAAACTATCTTATTATTTCATATTTTTTCTTCATTTTTTCCTTCTAATTAACTATTTAATGATATATTTTTTCATCAATATTTAAAAAGTAATAATAAAATTGGTGCAATTGGTTCATCAGACTTAGGTTCCGGTTTAGCAAATTGCATTAATCTCTCAAATTTGAAGCTTAACCTTCTGTAAAAACAGTTTATTTGTTTTAGATTGTGATATTTTTAATTATAAAAACTAATTAAAAACAATAAAGCTCTATTTTCTTTTTCTTTTTATTGTGCTTGCTTTTTTTTGTTTTTTCTTTGTTAATTTAACTCATCATTTTACTTTCAGCTTTTGCTTTTATTATTAATTAATTAATTAATCTTACTATTTCATATTTTTTCTTCATTTTTTCCTTCTAATTAATTATTTAATGATATATTTTTTCTTCAATATTTAAAAAGTGAAAATGAAATTGGTGATGAAGGTGCATTAGGCTTAGTTTCTGCTTTATCAAATTGCATTAATCTCTTAAATTTGACACTTTACCTTGAGTAAAAATAATTTAATTGTTTTGGATTGTGATATTTTAAACTATAAAAATGAAATTAAAACAAAAAAGTTCTTTAAATTTTTTTTGATAGCTTTGATTTGATATATTTTTTTATCTTTTTTATTCCACAAATGTATTTTATTTATTAATTTAAGAAATAATTTTTAATTTAAAAGTTTATTCTATTTTGATATAAATTTAAAATTTACACTAATTTATTATAAATCTTTAGTTCAATTAATATATAATAAAAATTGAAAGTAATAAGCAAGTGTCTTAAATTAAAAAGATTACTTGTCTTTAACAGAGGATTCTACTGATAAATAACTGGAGAAAAAAGGATGAATAAATAAATATTAAATGTTTGAATAATATTATATATTTAATTATATAATATTTTGAAAAAGTTTATTCAACCTAAAATATTAATAGATAGATAGATTTTATTATTTATTTTATATTTATAAATATTTTCATATTATTGGAAGTAAATAAATTATTTATAAAAAATAAAAAAATTTAAAAATTAAATTTACTTCAATTAACTAATTCCTCTTAAACAAACCTCGGTTTCTCCAAAAATGATCAAATATAGCAAGAAGTCATTCAAAAATTATCTCATTTGGATGTTTTCCTTTTTTTTGGGAAAATTTTTTGGTGATAAAGAATCTTTTGTTTGAAACCTAATTATTTCAATACCTTTTTTATTATTTTAAAATAATATTAATTATTCTACTAAATATTTATTTCCTACAAGATAAATAAATAAATAATTATTCAAGAATAACAATAATGTTACATTAATTTTTTTATTAATTTGAAATCAAATTAATTTTTGATAATATTTGGAATTAATTAAATTTACATAATTTGCTTTTCCATACATACTTTTGAAAGAAAATAAAATAAATAAATAAATGATATAATAGAAAAAAGATTTCTAAGACCTAGAAGAAGTAATTATTAACATTTATAATATGATTATTTAAATTTACTTTTTTTAATAAAAAAGTTTAAAAACTCTTCACTTTAGTCTCATTAGGTTCTTCAGATCAATCAAAGGTATATTTAATATATTAGTATTATTAATCTTTTTTTCAATATTTAGTTTTCAACTTATTTATATTATTATTTTTCTCATAGAAATCCTAATTTTTATTTATTTATTCATTTGTTTTAATACAAATATTTTTTAATTATTTTAACTATATTTCATTTTCAACTTTTACTTTCATAATAAATTAATTATTTCTTTTCTTATTATTTAGAATATTTATTTTTTTCATTTTTTCCATCTAAATAACTAATTAGTTTTATATAAATATTTATTTACCTTAATTAAATATTTAAAAAGTTACAAATATATGAATGATGAAGGTGCATCAGACTTAGGTTCTGCTTTAGGAAAGTGCATTAATCTCTCAAATTTAACACTTATTGCCTGGTAAAAACAGTTTTTTGGTTATGAGTCGTGATATAAAAATGAATTTAAAGCAATAAAACTATTTTAATATATTTACTTTGCTAGCTTTTTATTTGGTTTATTTTTTTTATTTTACTTGCATTTTTTTGTTTCTTTCTTAATTTAACTCATTTTTTCATTTTCAAGTTTTGCTTTAATTTATTATTATTTTAAATTTTTCTTAATTTCTTCCTTCTAACTAACTAACTAACTAACTAACTAACTAACTAACTAATTAATTTTATTTTTTATCTTCAAAATATAAATAGTGGAAATAAAATTGGTGCAGTTGGGGCAGTAAGCTTAGTTTCTGGTTTAGGAAAGTGCACTAATCTCTCTAATTTGATAATTAATCTTGAGTAAAAATAGTTTATTTGTTTTGGATTGTGATATTTTTTTACATAAAAATACATTAAAATAGCAAAACCATTTTAATTTAATTATTTATTAGCTTTTTATTGATTTATTTTTTTGTTTTGCTTTTTTTTCTTCTTCTTTTTTTGTTAGTTTCACTAATTACTCCTTTTTTGAAATTTTGCTTACGTTATCAATTTACTGATTTCTTATTATACCATATTTATTCTATATTTTTACCTTCTCATTGCCTAATAAATTATATAATTTTTTCTTCAATATTTAAAAAGTGTCAATTAATTTGGTGATAAAGGTGCATCAGGCTTAGGTTTTGCTTTAGTTGAGTGCACTAATCTCTCTAATTTGACACTTTCACTTTGGTAAATACAGCTATTTGTTTTGGGATTTCATATAAAAGTTATTTAAAATAATAAAATTCCTTTAGTTTATTTATGTTTAGCTTTTTATTTGACATATTTATTATTTTGTATATATATTTTTTTTTTGCTATCTTTATTAAAAATTAACTGATTTTTTTTTTTAATTTTGCTTTCATTATTAATTCATTTATTATTATTTCAGGAATTTTTTTCATTTTTTCCTATTTCTGATTAACTCTTTATTTTTTCTTCAATATTTAAAAAGGTCGGACTAAATTGGTGATTAAGGTGCATCGGGCTTAGGTTAAGGTCTAGGAAAGTGTACTAAACTCTCAAATTTGACACTTTAACTTAGGTAAAATAATTTTATTCATATTGGGTATTTGTTTATTCTGCTATTGTTTTTATTATTTCTTTGTTAATTTAATACCTTTTTCATTTTCAACTTTTGCTTTAATTATTTATTTATTAATTAATGAATTTTTTTTATTTTATTTCATATTTTTTCTTCAATTTTTCCTTCAAATCAAATTATTAATTAAAATTTTTTCTTCAATTTTTAAAAAGTAAGAATTAAATTAAAGAAGAAGGCGCATCAGCCTTAGGTTCTGCTATAGGATAGTGCACTAATCTCTCAAATTTGAAACTTGAATTAAAGTATAAACAGGTTTTTTATTTATATAAAAATGAATTTAAAACAACAAATATCATTAAATTTATTACTTTTATTTAATTTATTTACTTTTCTTTTTTATTTTGTTGATATCTTTTTCTCTCATTTTTAATTTTTAACTTTTGTTATCATTAATAATTAATTTCTAATCATTTCTTTTTTCTTCTTCTCTTTTTCATTCTAACTAACTAATTAATTAGCATTGAATATTTTCTTCACCATTTAAAATAGGCTCAATAAAATTGGTGATAGAGGCGCATCAGGCTTAGTTTCTGGTTTAGGAAAGTGCACTAATCTCTCAACTTTGACACTTGATCTTTCGTAAAAACAGTTTATTTGTTTAGGATTGTTTTAGATTTTAATATAAAAATTAATCTAAAACAAGGAAAGGCTTTTATTTTTTAATTAATTTACTTGTTAGTTTTTTATTTAAATAAATTATCTTTTTATTCTACTTACTTCATTTTATCTTTCTATGCTAATTTAACTCATTTTTCATTTCAAACTTTTATTTTCGTTATAATTTAATTAATTCATTTCTTGTTACTTAATATTTTTTCTTCATTTTACCTTCAATCTATCTATCTATCTATCTATCTAACTATTTAATTTTATATTTTAACTTAAATATTTAAATAGTGAAAATTTTATTAGCGACAAGGGTTCATCAGGAATAGGTATTGCTTTAGAAAAATTTTCTCATCTCTCAAACTTGGAACTTGATCTTTAGTAAATTCAGTTTATTTATTTTGGATTGTTTTAATTTATTTATTAATTAATTAGCTTTTTATTTTGATTTATTTTTCTTCTGCTTATGTTTTTGTTATTTTCTCTGTTAATTTAACTCATTTTTCAATCTCACCTATTGTTATGATTATTAATTAACTCATTTTTTACTATTTGATATTTTTTCTTCATTTTTTCATTCAAACTAGCTAATTAACTATATATTTTTTCTTCAAAATTTAAAAAGGGGAAATTTGATTGGCGAAATTGGTGCATCAGGCTTAGGTTCAGGTTTAGGAAAATGCACTAATCTATCAAATTTGAAACTTTGCCTTTAGTAAATAAATACAGACATTTTAATTATTTTGGATTATGATCTTTTAATATTAAAATGAACTGAAACAATAAAACTCATTTAATTTATTTATTTGAAATATTTTTTCTTTCTTTCTTTTATTATTTAATTCATTGTTTTATTTAAACCATTTTCTTTTATTATTAATTTATTCATTTCTGAATATTTTATGTTTTTTTTAAATCTGTCAAATTTGGCACTTGATCATACGTAAAAACAGTTTATTTGTTATGGATTGTGATAAAAATATAATTATCAATTTAAAACAATAAAAATTTTTTGTTTACTTATTTTTTAAGTTTTTATTTCATATTTTTTATATTTTAATTTTATTTCTTTCTTATGATTTAAAATATTTAAAAAGTGAAAATTAAATTAATGATGACAGTGTATCAGGTTTAGGTTCTGTTTTAGAAAAATGCACTAATATCTCAAATTTAACACTGGATCTTAGGTAAAAATAGGTTAATTAATTGTTTTGGATTGCGATAAATATATAAAAATGAATTTTTAATAACAAAACTCTTTTCATTTATTTGAATTATTTTTTATTGTATTTGTACTTTTTTTCTTTTTCTTTATTTAGCTCATTTATTTTCCTTATTATTATATATTTTTTCATCATTTTTCCCCTCTAAAAAACTAATTTATTATATAAATTTTCTTCAATATTAAATAAGAGTCAATATAATTCGTGCTTAAGGTCTATAAGGCTTAGTTTCTGGTTTAGCAAAATGCATTAATCTCTCAAATTTGGTGCTTGAACTTTAGTAAATACCTTTTATTTATTATGGATTATGATGACTTTTAATATAAAAATCAATTTAAAACAATAAAATTTTTATAATTTATTTATTAGCTTCTTTTTTCATATAAAAATATATATCAACTTTTATTTTGTTTGTCTTTTCTTTTCTTTTCTTTTCTTTTCTTTCTTTCTTTCTTTCTTTAGTAATTTAATATATTTTTTCATTTCAAATTTTGTTTTTGCAGATTTTTAATCCATTTCTTAAATATTAAAAAAATTTTTTCCTTCTAATTAATAAAGTTATTAAATATTTTTTCTTATTTAAAAGTGGAAATAAAATTGGTAATGAAGGGGCATTAGGCTTAGGATTGGCTTTAGAAAAATGCACTAATCTCTCAAATTTAAAACTTTATCTCTCGTAAAAACAGTTTTTTTACTATGGATTGTGATATCTTTTAATATAAAAATAAAATTAAAACAATGAAACAAACTCTTTTGGTTTATTTATTATTTAGCTAATTAATTTTTTGGCTTATTTTTTAATTTTGTTTGTTCTTTTTTTTCTTATTTCTGACTTTATTAACTTAACTCATTTATTTTTTCATTTTCAACTTTTGCTTTCATTGTTAAAATTAGTTATTTTTATTTCATATTTTGTCTTCACTTTTTTAACTAATTAATTAATTAATTACTTATATATTTTTCTTCTATATATGTAAAGAGGAAGCTAAATTAGTGATGAAGGAGCATCAAGCTTAGGTTCTGCTTTAGGAAAGTGCACTAATCTCTCAAATTTGACACTTGAATTCACGTAAAAGCAGTTATTTGTTTTGGATTGTGAAATCTTTTAATATAAAAATGAATTTAAAACAATAAAACTCCTTTATTTAATTCCATATTTTTATAGTTAATTTATTTTTACTTTATCTTTAACATTTAAAAAGTAATTAAATTGGTGATCAAGGTGCATCAGGTTTAGGTTCTGATTTAGCAAACTGCACTAGTCTCTCAAATTTGACACTTATTCTGAAGTAAAACAGTTTATTTGTTATAACTTTTAATATAAAAATCAATTTAAAATAAAAAAACTTTAATAATTTATTTAAATATTTTTATTTGGATGATTTTTCTATTTTATTCTGCTTTTGTTTTTTTTATTTTTCTTTGTTAATTTAGTTCATATTTTCTATTTCAAATTTTTATTTCATTATTAGCCAACCAACTCATTTCTTATTATTTCATTTTTTTTATTTTTTCCTTCTAAATAGCTTTTTAATTTTACATTTTTTCTTCAATATTTAAAAAGTGAAAATTAAATTGGTGCAATAGGTGTATCATGCTTAGGATTGGCTTTAGGAAAGTGCACTAACCTCTCAAATTTGATACTTCAACTTGAGTAAAAAGTCTTTTTATTTTAGATTGTGCTATTTTTAATATAAAAATAAATTTCAAACAATAAATCTCTCTGAATTTTTTATTTATTAGGTTTTATTTTATTTATTAATTTAACTCATTTTTTTATTTCCAATATTTGAGTGCTTTCATTATTAATCTACTATTTAAATTCTTATTATTTATTTTATACTTTTTCATATATTCTATTACTAAATAACTAACTAATCATATTTTTTCTTACTAACTAACTAACTAACTAACTAACTAACTAACTAACTAACTAACTAACTAACTAATTATTTTATTCTTACCAACTAGCTTATTAATTATTCATTTTATTTACAATATATATTAAAAAAGCGAAAACAATATTGGTAATGAAGGTGCGTTGGGCTTAGGCTCTGGTTTAGGAAAGTGCAATAATCTCAAAAGATTATAACTTAATCTCTAGTAAAAAAAATTCATTTGTTATGGATTGTGATATTTTTTATAATAAAAATGAATTTAAAACATAAAACATTTTTTAATATTTTTAATTATTAGCTTTTTATCTAATTCATTTTTATTTCTTATTTCTTAATATTTTTTCCTTCATACTAACTAACTAACTAACTAAATACATTTGTATATTTTTTCTTCTATATTTAAAAAGTCGAAATTCTATAAGTGATGAAGGTGCATCAGGCTTAGGTTCTGGAATTAGAAAGTGTACTAATCTCTCAGATTTGTATCTTTAACTTATGTACAAACAGTTTAGTTTTTATGGTTTTTTCCTTCTAATCAACAATTTAATTTTGACTTTATCTTAAATATTTTAATAGTAGCAATTAAATTGGTTAAAAGGGTGCATCAGACTTAAGTTCTGATATAGTAAAACTCACTCGTCTCTCAAACTTAATGCTTAATATAATGTAAAAACAGTTTATTTATTTTGGATTGTGATATTTTTAATCTAAAAGATCACTTTTTTATTTTATTTATTTATTTTTCTTTTTTATTCAGTTTATTTTTTAATTTAATGATTTAAAATATAAATTTTAATTTAAATATTTTATTGTATTTAAATTTGATTTATAATTTGCATTTAATTTTTGTTATAAGGTATAACTAAATCGATTAACCAGAAGAATTAAAATTAATGAGCAAGTGTTTTAAATTAATTAGATTAGTTTAATTTAATATATATTTAAAATGATGATAAACAAAATCTGAAAATAGGAAGAGTAAATAAATATAAAAATAATTGAATAATACAAAATAATATTTATTTATTTTTTTAAATATTTAGTAATAGATCATTTAATCTATAATATAGATAGGTAAATAAATAAACAGATTTTTTATAATAGAAAACTTTAAATAAATATTATTCTTATCTAAATTACATGAATAATAAAATTATAAAAGCTATCAAATATAGATAATACATATATATATTTAATATCCCTATATATTAGTTGGATTATTATTAAGTATATACTTGTTATATATTAATGTATGAATATATATATAAATAGATAGAGAGATAGATAGATTAATGATTATTTTTATATTTATTGATATAATATTTTTTATAAGTTAATAAATAGTTTATTAAATAAATGAAATTTTTAAGTTGAATTTTCTTAAATAAAGTTATTCCTCTAAGCCAGCACTTGGTTTACATCAAAAATGATAAAATTTTTAATAATTAATAGTCGCTTATTATATCTTATTAAATTACATACATGATACAGGCGGAGCCTTTTTATATGATGTTTTAATAATGGTAATTAATAGGGAGCGACCAATAAGTTACGATTTTTTTTAGGGAAACTTTTTTTAAGCCCCCCCCCCCCCCCCCCTTAACAATAAAAAAATTGCTTGAAATTTAGCTTTTTATCAGAAATATATTTATAAAGGGCTAAAATAGATTGATAGATTAAACGAATATTTATGAAAGTTTTTTATCACTTTCCCCTAAATGTTTTCCTACTTTTTAAAATATCTTTTTTTAAAAATTGATTGTTTGTTTTTTCGAACTTTAAAATCAATAATTAGAATTTTCTATTTTTGAAGTATCAATTTATATTTATCCAAATAGTTTACTTGAAGTAATTTTTTAATTACTTTTTACTATAATTAGCATTTTTTTCAAAAAACCTATTTAATATGCACAATATAATTTTAAAGAATTTTACAATACCAACATTACTTTCTAAGCATTTAAATTGAAAGTAATTTACTATACCAATACTTAAAACTAATTTAAAAATTCATATTTAACAATTTAACAAAATATACAGAAATTTATGATTTTTTATTTCAACTGTAACGCTTGATTAGGTAGGTAGAACTAAATAATAAATTAATTTGATTTCTAATCATTATCAGAAAATTTTTTTTACAAAATAAAAACTTATTTAGCTTATGATTGGACTAAATTTAGTTACATAGAGAGTTTTAAAATATAAAAAAATGGTTAAATTTTATTAATTTTTAAATGAGAATAACTTTTCTAATGAGGAAATATTTATTTTTAGTCTAGATATTATAATTTTTTGAAGTTCTTGATTTTTTAATTTAAGAAAAAATCATCAATTACTTTTATTTATCAATAATAATTAAAGCGAGGTTAAAAATGTATTTCAAAAATTTAGTTCTTAAAGAATTTGATTACTAACAAATCTTATAATAAATAAAAAAGAATTATAAAGAAATACTATAAAATGAAACTATACAATCTTCAAAAATTTATGTTTTAAACATAAAAGAATATTTTGCTTAATGTAAATTTAAACTTTAATAGTTTTTGCTCAAAATAATTCTAAGATTTCACTTAAATAAATCAAATAATTTAAAAAAAATAAATTTCTAAGTGTATTCAGTATTATTAGAGAAGACATCTGCAAAATTTAACTCCAAAATTTAGGTTCAGTCAATAAAATGCTAATCCTAATATGAAATTGAAATAAAAGGAGCAGGCTTTTGTTAAGATTTTGTAAACTAATCCTTAATCTTACTAAACATACGAAGAATTAGGAAATGTTTATTTGGAAATGGGATAGTTTGAAAACGCTAAAAATAGCTTTTATAGTGCATTGGAAATAAATCCTTAATCTGCAAGAGCATATTGCGGTCTAGGAATTATCTGCTCTGAATAAAATATGATCAAAGAGTCTGAATAATACTTCTAAAAGTCTTTAGAGCTCAATCCTAAATCAGCTATTACACTTTCAAATTTAGGAATTCTATATGATAAATGCGTAACTATCGATCAGAGAATATTTTGTTATAAGTAAGCTATAGAAAGCGATCCAAGTATTCATTAATCATATAATGGACTTGGACTTGCTTATCTTGATAAATAAATGTATGGAAATGCAAAATAACTATTTTAAAAATGTCTAGAAGTAAATCCTTAAAATATTAACGCGCATTTCAATTTAGCAACTATATACAGAAGTGAAAATAATTATTAAGATTGTATAAATTGCTTAGAGACATGTTTAAAAATTTATCCCTAAAATGATGCGCCTTTTAGCATTTATTATAATTTAGGAGAGGCTTATTAGTAATTAGGTATGATGGAAGAAGCCATAAAATATTTAAAGAAAACTATTGAAATTTAACCCTAATAGTATTTACTACATGATAAAATAGGTGACATTTACTTTCAAATGGACAATTTAGAAGAATCATTAAAACACTTCGAAACTGCTTTGAAAATAAATCCAGAATCAGCTAGAACTTTAGCTAATTTAGGTCTAATTAATATTAACTTAGGAAATTATTAAGAAGCTTAATAATAATTATAATATGCTTTATAACTAGATCCTGGTGCTTAAATTTGTTATCACTATTTAGGGTATTTGCATCTTTAATAAGGCCGTTTTGATGAGGCATAATAAAATTATGAATCTTATTTTGAGATAAACCCTGAAGATGATAATTTAAATGCTTTGGAACATTTAGGAATTACATACATGAACTAAATAATCTTTAAAGGCAAAAGTACATAACCAATATATAAATTATATAATGAATACTTTAGCTATTTTTATAGTTTAAATATTTTTAACATGAATTAGAATTTTAAATTATCAAAGTTTTAAATAATATTTTAATATTTTTTCTTTTAGCCTAATTTATTTATTTATTTTATATATTAAAAGGGGATTTATTAGATAAGACAAGGGATTTATATGAAAAATTACTTAAAATAGAACCTAATAGTGTAACAATTTTACTTAATTTAGGTAGCATTTACTATAATTTGGGATAACTAGAATAAGCAATAAAATATAATTAAATGGCTTTATAAATTGATCCAAACTATGATTAGGCTAATTTTAATTAAGGAATTATTTACCATTAAAAAGGTATGGCAGAAAAGGCTATTAAATACTTTCAGAAATCTTTTTAGTCAAATTCTAAATCTAGTGACGCTATTTACAACTTAGGAATCATTTATGGCTAAAATGGAAACTTATAAGAAGCAGAATACTTTAATAAGTTGGCTCTATAAGCAAATAATGATTTTGCTAAGGTTTATTAACTGCTTGATATCTCTGAATCAGAAATTAAAATAACCTCAGAAATAAAAAGCATATGTGATAAAGCATTGAATGCAAAAATTGAGCAAGGAGTTGACTATTATATTTTAGCTTTTGTTTAAAATTTATTAGGTTATAAAGAATAAGCGTTATATAATTGTGAGATGGCTGTGAAATACAATGAATTACTTGCTGATGCCTTTTAACTCAAAGGATAAATTCTAAAATAATAAGGCTAAGAAAAAGAAGCCATTAAATGTTTTGATAAAGTTCTTGAATTAAAACCTTATTAAACATTCCCTAATTAAAAAATATGAAGTAGATACATTTTCAATGCTTTTTAAAAATAATTTTAAAAGAAATCTAAATACAAAATACTTAGTATTTATTTAACAAAAAAATAATGTCTAATTTAATTTTTCATTTATAATTTAAAAATTCTATTTTATTTTAAATTTTACTATTTAAAATAAAACATAATAATACCTAAAGTCTTTTTACTTCATTTTTATTTAACTTCATATCATGTTTAAATTTATTGATAAAAAATATATTATTTTTTAAAAACTCTTTAATTATAGCCAAAAGCCATTAAAAAATTTAGTGATTTGAGATCACTATTTTTTTGAATGGCTGATGTGTTTGAATATTATTTTTATAAAAATAAATAATTTTATAATAGAATTTAATATATAATATTTATTAATCTTTATGATTTTTCAATTAAATTTTTAATTTATTTTAGCCTTTTTAAAAAAATGTATTAATTACTAGAATTTTTTCGAATATGACTAACTGTTCATCTATAATTCCTACTATATATATTTTTAAGTATAACTTTTTAATACAAATATTAAGATTAAATAATGAATGTTAAATTAATTTTTCTTTGATATCTCTTCATAAAACCAAATTTATAAATTAATATTTGATAATTAATTAATTATTATATTTTATTTATTATTTTTATCCATTTATTATTAATTAATTAAAATCCATAATTTTCTATTCAATATTTTTGAAAAAAAATAAATGATATAATAGATTAAAAGATATTATAATTTGGAAGAAGTAATTATTTATTTTTTTATTAATATCATTTAAATTTATGTTCTTTTATAAAAAAAGTTTATAAACTCTTCACTTTTATCTCACGAGGTTCTCCATATTCATCTCAAGTATATTTTATTTATGATTATTATTTTTATTATTATTCATATTTTTAAATATTTAACTTTCAATTTATTTAAATAAATAATTTTTATTATAGAAATTATCATTCTTGATTACTTATTGATTTTTATTAAAATAAATATTATTTAGCTATCTTAACTTAATTTTCATTTCAATTTTTAATTATTTATTATTCATTTTTTATTATTTGATATTTTTTCTTTATTTTTTGCTATTATAACATGCACTTAATAAAAGCAGTTTATTTCTTTTGGATTGTAATATTTTAATAATAAATGTTAATTTAAAACATTAAACTCTATTAATTTATTTGATTCATTTTCCTTTTTATTTTTATTGTGATATCTTTTTTTTTCATTCTTTGTTAATTTTACTAATTATTAATTAATTTTATTATTTCATATTTTTTCTTCATTTTTTCTTTTAATTAACTATTTAATGATATATTTTTTCTTCAATATTTAAAAAGTTACAATTAAATTGGTGATGGAATGGAATGGAATTTACTCGCACATGTAACATGCACTCAGAAAAAATAAATTGGTGATGAAGGTGCATCAGGCTTAGGTTCTGCTTTAGCAAATTGCATTAATCTCTCAAATTTGACACTTAATCTTCAGTAAAAACAGTTTATTTGTTTTGGATTGTGATATTTTTAATTATAAAAACTAATTAAAAACAAGAAAGCTCTTTTTTATTTTTCTTTTTATTGTGCTTGCTTTTTTTTGTTCATTTTTTGTTAATTTAACTCATCACTTTATTTTCAACTTTTGCTTTTATTCTTAATTAATCTATCTTATTATTTCATATTTTTTCTTCATTTTTTCCTTCTAATTAACTATTTAATGATATATTTTTTCTTCAATATTTAAAAAGTGGAAATTAAATTGGTGCAAAGGGTGCATCAGGCTTAGGTTCTGCTTTAGCAAATTGCATTAATCTCTCAAATTTGACACTTTACTTTAAGTAAAAACAGTTTATTTGTTTTGGATTGTGATATTTTTAATTATAAAAACTAATTAAAAACAAGAAAGCTCTTTTTTATTTTTCTTTTTATTGTGCTTGCTTTTTTTTTTGTTCTTTTTTTGTTAATTTAACTCATCACTTTATTTTCAACTTTTGATTTTATTCTTAATTAATCTATCTTATTATTTCATATTTTTACTTCATTTTTTCCTTCTAATTAACTATTTAATGATATATTTTTTCTTCAATATTTAAAAAGTCGAAATTAAATTGGTGATGAAGGTGCATCAGGCTTAGGTTCTGCTTTAGCAAATTGCATTAATCTCTCAAATTTGACACTTAATCTTAGGTAAAAACAGTTTATTTGTTTTGGATTGTGATATTTTTAATTATAAAAACTAATTAAAAACAAGAAAGCTCTTTTTTATTTTTCTTTTTATTGTGCTTGCTTTTTTTTGTTCATTTTTTGTTAATTTAACTCATCACTTTATTTTCAACTTTTGCTTTTATTCTTAATTAATCTATCTTATTATTTCATATTTTTACTTCATTTTTTCCTTCTAATTAACTATTTAATGATATATTTTTTCTTCAATATTTAAAAAGTCGAAATTAAATTGGTGATGAAGGTGCATCAGGCTTAGGTTCTACTTTAGCAAATTGCATTAATCTCTCAAATTTGACACTTAATCTTCAGTAAAAACAGTTTATTTGTTTTAGATTGTGATATTTTTAATTATAAAAACTAATTAAAAACAAGAAAGCTCTTTTTTATTTTTCTTTTTATTGTGCTTGCTTTTTTTTTGTTCTTTTTTTGTTAATTTAACTCATCACTTT